GTCTCAGACAGTGGTAGACCCTCGGAGGCGTCCAGGACGGGACAGACACAGCCAGGCCGAGGACCCGCCACACCTTCCTGACCTACAATACCTGCACGTCCAGGCCAACACAGGGACACCTGCCTGAGGGGGGGGCCCACACATTTCCAGCTCACACCTCCCACTGGCAGCTCACGGCCTAGCTTAGGAACTGGAAAACTCTGGGGCCAGCGCTGTGGTGCAGCAAACCACATAGGCCGGTTCCAGTCCCGGCTGCTCCACTTCTGATCCAGCTCTCTGCTGTGGCCTGGGAACGCAGCAGAAGATGGCCCGGGCCCCTGCATCCATGTGGGAGACCTGGAGGCGGCTCCTGGCTGCTGGTTTCAGACTGGCCCAGTTCCAGCCGATGTGGCCATTTGGGGAGTGAACCAGCAGAGGAAAGACCTACCCCCTGCCCCACCTATGACTCTACCTCTCTGTAACTCTGCCTTTCAAATAAATAAATAAATCTTTAAAAAAAAAATTGGAAAACCAGCTTAAAAAGAAATCACATAACCACTAATGTGTCCAGGAGATCTGTAAGTCAATACGTGTGAAACGGCCTCTGCCAAAGTCATTCTAACCTGCGGAATCTGAGCGTCCGCAGGGACAGAGGATAGCGTTACCCTGACAGAGAGGCTATGCCATCACAACGCTCACCACGCAAACTCAGATCTCCTCAGGCACAAACATGCTCTCAAGGTTTCACTGCTGGGGAAAGAAGAGAGAGGCCACCAGCTTTCTTCTTGCCTCCGTTACGCTTACTCTGTAGCTCTCATTTAAGAAGTGCGTTCTCCACTGCCTCCGTATATCCTGTTTTACATTTGCTTCATCAACGCAAAAACAAGGAGGAGGAAGAGCCCGTCCTGGTGAGCAGCCGGAACACAGAGCAACGCCTGGGCCTGGCCTGCTGGTGCCGTCCTGCTCCCCCGGCAGCCCTCAGGGAAGTACCTCCCCGCACCCTCACTCAGCGACGCCCACCTTCCAGAGGCCCAACGCTTTTGCCCAGGAAGGTTTCACTCCTGTATTTGAAAGGCAAAGTTTGAGAGAGAGAGATTCCATCCACGGGTTCACTCCCCAAATGGCTGCACTGCTGGAGCTAGGCCAGACCTAAGCCAGGAGCTGCTCTGGTCTCCCACGTGGGTGCAGGGTCCAAGCACTTGGGCTGGTCCTCCGCTTTCCCAGGCGCGTTAGCAGGGAGCTGGATCGGAAGTGGGGCAGCCGGGACTCGAGCTGCTGCCCCTATGGGACGCTGGCACTGTGGGCTAGAGCTGTAACCCACTGCGGCGCAGCGCCAGCCCCCAGAATCTTGAACACCAACTGCGTTTCACAGCTGACGGAACCGGCTTCTTTTCGCCTTCCTCCTGAAGTGTCTGACTTCCTGATCAAGGGCACTGCGCTCATCTTTCATTTTAAAAGCTGGTGACAAGGGCAATGAATACAATAGTTCAGCTATTTTAAGACGACTGTGGTTTGCTATTCACCTATGAAGACTTTAAAATGCTGTGGCGCTGCAGGTAAAACTGCCGCCAGCAGAGCCGGCATCCCACATGGGCACTGGTTCTAGTCCCGGCTGCTCCACTTCTGATCCAGTTCTCTGCTGTGGCCTGGGAAAGCAGAAGCTGGCCCAAGTCCTCGGGCCCCTGCACCCGCGTCGGAGACCCGGAAGAAGCTCCTGGCTCCTGGCTTTGGATCAGCACAGCTCCAGCCGTTATGGCCATCTGGGGAGTGAAGCAGCAGATGGAAGACCTCTCTCTCTCTCTCTCTCTCTCTGCCTCTCTTTCTGTGTAACTCTGACTTTCAAATAAATAAATCTTAAAAATAATAATGAACAGCGCTGTGGCACAGCGGGTTAAGCCGCCACCCGAAGTGCTGGCATCCCATATGGACTCCGGTTTGAGTCCTGGCTGCTCCACTTCCGATCCAGCTCCCTAATGCACCTGGGAGAGCAGCAGAAGCTGCCCAAGTCCTAGAGCCCCGGCACCTGCGTGATTCCCGGCACCTGCGTGATTCCCGGCACCTGCGTGATTCTGGAGGCATTCGGGAGACGTTAGAGGAAAGCACACCTGAGCAGCAGCCACAGGCCGGCCTTATTTAAATACCCAATAAAGGAAACAGTATTTTTTTTTCCTAAAGCAAATGCTATTTCTACCAGCACTAAGAAAAGTGGCCTTCCTAACACTTGACTGCGCACGCCCAGTTCTCGGCACAGGTAGAGACGCCGGCCGTAACATCCTCACGCATAGAATAAGGATGCACAGGGCAGGATAGGACCTGCCCCTAGGGCCACAATCCTGTCGCACTCCTTCAGTGTCCACTGCTCACACGTCTGTGTCTGCTACAGCTACATGGGACGAGAATACCAACCCTGCACCCACAGAGCGCTGCAAGTTGCCAACAGAGTCTAAGCAACGCGAACAAGTACTCCCGGGAGACCTGCAATCAACCGGGAGACTCTAACCATCGGAAGGGCCAATAGCAGGCCGCAGGGCACTCCGCTCCATCCTGAAGACACAGCAGCAGGCTCCAGGGAGCCCAAGGGCGGCACGGGCACCGGCTGGAGAAGCAGAGCAGGACCACAGACCCACCCCGGGGCGGCCAGGAACGGTGCCCTAGCTGCAGGCTCCCTGCGTGTGGCAACCCAACCAGCCACTTTGGCAGGCTCCCCGGCTGCTTCTCGGGCTGGTAATCCATTGCAGTGACCGGGATCTCAGTGACCGGGATCTCAGGGCAGCGGCGACTGGGGACTGTCACCTAAGCCCCTCTGCTGCAACTTCTTATCAGCCGGCTCATGCTACTGGAGGCGACTGTCCAAATGTCACCAGAGAGACAGATGTGACCGACCGGGACCCGCAGGCAAAGGGACACCGTGGTCTCATGTCCGAGAGAGCCGGACCCGACGCTTCTGCACAGACAGGCCTGCTGGACACAGAAGGACAAAGAGAGGCTCTCGGGAGCCACAGGACGGCATCCCTCAGTGACTCTCCCTTGGGCCCGGTGTTGTGCTGGGGCTCTGGCCAAAGCCAACTAAACAAATGTGGATCCTGATTTCCCTGAGGAAGGGCAGAGGAAAAACAAAGTGTCAATCAGTGAACACTGGAACACAAGACCACAGGCAGGAGAGAGGCTGGCACTGCCCAGGGAGCCTCCAGATCTGCACCCCGCAGGCCACGGCTCACCCCACGTTCCTTCCTGCGAACCGTGAGCCGTTCTTGCACACTACACTGCCCGGTAGTGAAACCACAGCTGCCACACAACAGTCACTCACAAGCTTAACACCGACCCAGGATTAAAACCAGAAAACACTGAAGTCACAGAACACACACGAGGGACTCCAAAAAGTCCATGCAAAGTAGATTGAAAAGATGTATTTAGGGGCCGGCACTGTGGCACAGTGAGCTAAGCTGCCCCCAGCACTTTATCAGAGGACCAGTTCTGGCTGCTCCACTTCCTAGCCAGCTTCCTCACGCACCCGCGAGAGCAGTGGAGGACGGCCCAGGTGCTTGGGCCCTGCACCCGTGTGGGAGACCGGGATGCAGCTCCTGGCTCCTGGCTCCAGCCTGGCCCACCCCTGACCACTGCAGCCTGTGGGACGTGAACCAGCAGATGGAAGATCTCTCTCTCTCCTCCATCCTATCTTTCAAATAAGTAAATAAATCATTAAAAAAAATAGAGTCTGAATATCTTCATATTTCTTTTTAAAAAGCACACAAACAGGGGCCAGCGTCGTAGCGCAGCAGGTACAGCCGGCATCCCATACGGCCGCCAGTTCACATCCCAGCTGCTCCACTTCTGATCCAGCTCCCTGCGAGAGCAGCGGAACATGGCCCAGGTGCTTGGGCCCTGCACCCATGTGGGAGACCGGACGCAGCTCCTGGCACTGGCCTGGCCCAGCTCTGGCTGTGGTGGCCATCTGGGGAGTGAACCAGCGGACGGAAGACGGAAGATCTCATCTCTCCCTCTCTGTTACTCTGCCATTCAGAATAAACAAACCTCATGTATATCTATCTAAATATGTATTTGCAAAAAGAAAGTTCAAATATCTAGTTTTTAGAATGCACTTTTTCCATGAGCTTTTTGAAGACTCCTCACATGCATGGATTTCAACATTGTTTTTCGCACCAAAATCATCTTTTAATTCCATTTTTTCCAAGAACATTTCGGAGGTACCTGACAGTACGACAGCATTTATAGAAACTTCAGAAAACATTCAGAACTGAAATAAATACTATTTTGAGATGCATATACATAGTAAAACGAGGGCTGGGAGAAAAAAAAAAAAAGAAGAAGAAAGGGAACCGATGAGCTCAACAGCGCAGTGTTTACCTCCGCGAAGGGAAGTGGCGGCGGGAGGGGCTCCGTGGACCCAGGACTGCTCGGCGTCTCCCTTTCTACACTCGATAACCGTGCAAAACACAGCCGGGGGTGGAGGCGGCAAGGCCCCCTCGGCGCGTCTGCCCAGGCCGGATAAAGAGCAGGGAGAGAGCCCAAGACCGCCCAGGCAACACGGCCACCGCGGCTTAGAGGTGACAACGCGACAGCGTCCCCAGGCCCGGGAGTCTCCCTCCAGACGGGTCCAGCCGACCGGGGAGCGGCCGGCGCGCAGGCACCAGGCCGTGATCTCGCGCACGAAGCACCGGTGACCAAGTTGCTACCGGGAGCAGGCGGTGAGAAACGTACGCGAAAGGACCCCAAACTACAAACGCAGGGAGTCCCGCGCTGGCTGCGTGCGGCCAAGGCCAACCAGAAGCCGGAAGGGTCAGCCGCTCCGGCCCACGCCGAGCACACCAGCGAAGCCAGACCCAGACCAGCCCTCGCCGCGCGCGGACAGCCCGGGGGCGCCGGCGAGGCCGCGTCCGCTCAGCCCCCGGCGGGGACCGGCGCCCCGAGCGGCCGCAGAGGGCGGGTCCCCGGATCCGGGGAGCAGCGGGCGCCCCCGGGGCGCCGGGACCGGAGCGCGGCCCCACCCCGCCGCCGCTCACCTGGGCACGCAGCTGGACGAGCTCCGGTCCACCTCCCAGGTGGCGTACAGGTTCATCTGCACCGGCGCGGGAGTGCGGCCTGGCCCCGGGCCGCCGGGAGTGGCGGAGCCCGAGGCCACCGCGACGGCCATGGAGGTGGAGGTGGACGAGGACGAGGACGAGGCAGCCGCCGCCGAGGTGGAGGACGACGACGAGGTGGCCTGGGCCAGCTTGGGGGGCGTCGGCTGCTGCGGCGGCTGCGGCGGCGGCGGCGGCGGCTGCTGCGGGGACTGGGCGACCCCAGAGCCCCGCGGGCCGCTGCCGCCCCCGGCGCCTCCGGGACCACCGCCCGCGGCTGCGCGCTCCGCCATCGCTGGGCCAGCGGCAGCGGCGCGGGGTGAGGGCACCGAGGCGACTGGGGGCCGGCTCCCGGGCTCCCCCCGCGGCGGCGGCGGCGGCGGCGGCGGGGGCTCGGCGCCTCTCCTCAGCCCGCCGCCCGAGCGCGAGCCGCCAGCGAGTCTGCACGCACGCGCGGGGCCTCGCGGCGCGCGGTCCTCGCGCTCGCCCGCCGCCGCCTGTTGCGGCTCGCGCCGCCGAGACACTGGGTGGGCGTGCCCGGGCGGGGCGGGGCGCCGGGGCGGGCTGCCGGCGCGCGCCCTCGCCGCGCGGCCCGGGTCCGCGGGCTGCGCGCGCTCCCGGCGAGGCCGAGGCGGCCCCAATCCTGCGCTCTCCTGCCCGCCGCGCCCCGCCCCGCCAGCGGAAGCCCCGCTTTTCCGGGGCGCGGCCCCGGCCGGGGGTGGGAGGGCTGCCGCGGGAGCGCGCCGCGGGCCCTCCGGGGGTGCGCAGCGGGGACCGAGGCCGCCGCGGGCCAGCGCCGCCCTGGAGCCGGTTCTCCCGGCGCCGAGCCACGCACCTGGGCTCCCGCACCCAGCCCCGAGGCCCGCCGGCCACCACCGCGGGCGCCCGCCGGGCAGCTCCCGCCCCGAGGCCGGCAAGGGCTAATTCTCCAGCTGGGCCCGGCTCCCCTCCCGGAAGGAGCCTCGCTGCTAGTGGATCTGAATTCTGCTCCCCCCGGCCGCCCTGTGCCCGAGGGACCGCCGAGGACCCGGCCTGCAGCCTGCACTCACACCTAGGAAGCATTCTCAGGCCAGGGGCTGCGCCAGCACGAAACCCATTGATCGGCCCTCCCTGCACACCTGCCCCATCGCAGCGCTGAGGTCGCTGGAACCCGGGGCCCATTCAGACACAGGTAGCACACGGCCTTCTGGCCACACCTGACCTGGCCTACTTCCCACCCCGGTCACCTCCCGGTCCGCCAGGGCGCTAAGCTGCCTATTTTTACTCCCCAAGGACAACGCAGTAAGGTGAACCAGGACCCGGAGGCCCTGGCCCAGAGCCTTCCTGCAGGGGGGAGGGGCGCTGGGAAACCGCTCGGCACAGGCCTGGCTTCATGGTCTCACCTGCAACACCTGGTGCAGGTGCGCGGCCTGGCGGCGGGTAGCCCAGGGGTTACAGGAGGGGGCCATTTCAGTCCTGGAGGGAGGGCGCATCAGCAGTGTTACAGTCATCTCTTTCCTTGGGAAACAGCTTTATTTACAAAACAGGTCTAAAATAGGAACATGAAATGACAAGCCCTTGGGGACTGCAGGGACCCACGCGTGAAGCCGGGCATCCAGAAAAAGGGCCAGAGGGGGGCTGGGTGGGGCTAGAACTTGAACTCCTTGTACTTCTTGCTGCCCCCGCGGCTGTCCTGGGGCTGGGCTTTCCGCTTCTTTTGCTACAGGAGAGAGAGAAGCCGGTTACAGCAGCTTACACGTCCACCTGGCCACCACACGGGTGCGGGTGGGCAGCCTGACGCAGGCAGCAGTCCGTGGGAGGAGCGCTACTCTGGACCCCGGTCCCACCCTCTCCCACGTGCAGGAGCCCTTGCCCTCCCGCCTGGTCCCACCATCCTTAGAGGCCGCCTGCCAGAGCCTACGGAAGCCTGTGCCCGCCCTCACCACTAGAGGGCACCATCCCGCACGGCGGCCGCCCCAGGCCGAGCCCCACCTTCTGCTTGGCGGCGTGCTCGGCCACCATGTCGCTGAAGTCCTCCTTCTCCACCTGGGCCTGCTGCTCCCGCACGTGCTCCTCGTACTTCTGGGTCATGGCCATGGGGTCCAGCTCCAGCTCCTCAGGCGCCAGGGCCACTTCCACACCCTGCAGCTCAGGCGCCGGGCCCTTGCGGCTCATGACCTACGAGAGATGGGGCCTTGTCCTCTCCAGTCTCGGAGCCCCCTCTCCCAGCCCCCTAGCAGTGTCCTCCAAGTGCTCACCGTGGACATGTCGTAAATGTGGGTCGACCCCATCATGGCCCCCCCGACGGTGGCTGTCCTCTTCTCTGGCAACACGGTGAACAGCTGAGGCGTTTCACTTCTGCAGGGGAAAATGCAGTCAAGCCCGGCAAAGGGGCTAGAGGGTCTCAGGGAGGGACGGCACCTTGGGCTCTGACACGGGGGCACAGCCTCAGGTTCACCGAAGCCCATGAAGAGAAGAACCGGAGGTGGGGCTGCGGTGCCGATGCCAGGGGATACGGCCTGGAAGGGGCGGAGGCACCAAGAGGCCCCTGACCAGGTGAGGGGGTCAGACCCAGGACCTCACGCCAAGGGGCTGAGGATCAGACAGGCAACGCTGGTGCAGGGAGGCTGGCGGCTGGTGCAGGGAGGCTGGCGGCAGGGAAGAGGCTGGCGGGCACCGTCTGGAGCTGAGCACACGGCGCAGGCAGCCAACACAGCACAGCCAGGGTCACAGCCAGAACACGGAGTTGGTGTGCCACCGCCACCCCGAGCACGGCCTCTCCACCTCCCTCCCCCAGAAGGCGTGACGATCTCTCCACACAGTAGCCAGAGTGAACACCTTGAACAGAATTCAGATCCTGGCACTCCTGCTCCAAATCCTGTGAGGTTGCTGATTATCAATGGAATAAAACGTGACCATGACCTAGGGGCCGGCGCTGTGGCATAGTAGGCTAAGCCTCTGTCTGTGCCACCGGCATCCCACATGGACGCCGGTTCAAGGCCCAGCTGCTTCTCCCCTGATCCGGCTCTCTGCTGTGGCCTGGGAAAGCAGTGGAAGATGGCCCAAGTGCTTGGGCCCCTGTGCCCGCGTGGGAGACCTACAAGCAGCTCCTGGCTCCCGGCTTCAGACTGGCCCAGCTCCGGCCACTGCAGCCACTTGGGGAGTGAACCAGCGATGGAAGACCTTTCTGTCTGCCTCTATTACTCTACCTCTCAAATGAATAAATAAAATCTTTTTTTAAAAAATGCTACCATGACCTGAAGGGTCCATACTCTGGTCCTTAGGAAATCCCTCCGCGCTGCTGTCCAGAGCACCGTCTGCTTTCTTCCTTGAACATGCGAAGCTCGACTTCTGCCTCCCGACAAGAAGCAGCCACCAGATTTATCCCGAAGCTGATGCCAAAAACCACCAGAAACTGGATAAAATACACAGGGGTGCACAGCCTGGTGGTGGTGTGCTCCCCAAGGAGGCGGGGTCCCTGGTCTGGCAGTATAGAAATGGTAAAGTGCGAGGTGTGGGGGTGCTGCCCCCCGAAGAGATGAAGCAGTACCCCTCAGTCAGCGCTGGAAAGACTGAGCTGTTACAAAAGCCAGAGCCGCACCCCCGGTGCCCCCTCTGGCTTCCTGTCTTGCAGTGAGATCCCCAAGCCCACCCCGGCCCCGCCGGATACCACCGTCCTCAGGCCCTCACCAGAGGCAGAAGCAATGGGCAGCTGGGTCTGCAACGTTTGGTCTCTACAACGGTGCGCTAAATAAACCTCTTCTCTTAGTACGTTTCACTTAATAATGAAAAGGAGATGAACACAAGTAGCTTTCAAGACACTAGACGTGGAGCCGTGAAGGCCAAAGAGTCTCCCGGCACAGGAAACAAGCGAGGTTAACCCTTCGGCTGTCCCGGTACCTGCCCTGAGCTTCCAGCCACGGAACCCAGAGGAGACCTGGGACAGCTAAGAGGACCCCTTGAGCTCGGGGAATGGAGCTCCGAGTCCAGGGAGTCCAGGGCAGCCAGAGGCCCCAAGACTGAGAACGGGAGAGGACTCGGCCCACAGAGGTCCAGCACACGCACGAGGAAAGGACCAGGCTAGGCAAAGCCCCAGCAGAAAGGACCAGTGCCGACGGAGCCTGCTGCCCACTCAGGATGCGAGGAGCGCTGGCGCCACTCGCCAGACGGAAACCCGACTCCCAGGGTGTGAGGCCGCAGATACAGGAGACATGTGCCCCTTACGAAGAGGATCCAGTGTGGCCTTGACACAGTGAGACGCCAATGGGAACACGGAAGTCCAGACCCAACAACGGTGCATCTCACAGAAACCATCACGCACGCAAAGACACAAGAAAACGCAACCCATAGGGGCCAGTGCTGTGGTACAGCAGGTAGAGCCACGGCCTGCAGTGCCGCCATCCCACATGGGCGCCGCTTCAGGTCCTGGCTGCTCCACTTCCGATCCAGCTCTCTGCTGTGGCCTGCGACAGCAGTGGAAGATGGCCAGGTCCTTGGGTCCCTGCACCCACGTGGGAGACCCCTAAGAAGCTCCTGGCTCCTGGCTTTGGATCAGCGCAGCTCCGGCCATTGCAGCCATCTGGGGAGTGAACCAGCAGATGGAAGACCTCTCTCTCTCTCTCTACCTCTCTCTGTAACTCTTTCAAATAAATAAAATAAATCTTAGAAAAAAAAAGAAAAATGTTACATGTTTTAATGTCAGAATACATATTATGGAAGAAAATGTTAAACTTGAAGACACAGTAATAAAAACCTTTCTACATTTAAAGAAAATTTTCTTATTTCTTTAAAAGTGAACAGAATGTCAGCGTCTAGTAGGACAACTTCACAAGACCCAAGAGACGTCTAACTGCAATTCCTAAGGAGGAGAAAGAGAACACTAGAAGTATTTGGAGAAATAATGACCAAATGTCCCCAAAATTAATTTAAAAAAAACTATGAGAGTAAACTCACAAATCCAAGAAGCTCAACAAATCTCAAGTGAAGAAAACTACACCAAGGCTCCAAACCAGAAATAAAATCTTTTTTTTTTTTTTACAGGCAGAGTGGACAGTGAGAGAGAGAGACAGAGAGAAAGGTCTTCCTTTGCCGTTCGTTCACCCTCCAATGGCTGCCGTGCTGCGGCCGGCACACTGCGCTGATCGAAGCCAGGAGCCAGGTGCTTCTCCTGGTCTCCCATGGGGTGCAGGGCCCAAGCACTTGGGCCATCCTCCACTGCACTCCCTGGCCACAGCAGAGAGCTGGCCTGGAAGAGGGGCAACTGGGACAGAATCCGGCGCCCCGACCGGGACTAGAACCCAGGGTGCCGGCGCCGCTAGTGAGCCGCGGCGCTGGCCCCAGAAATAAAATCTTAAAAGCAGGCACCGGCGCTGTGGCATAGCCTCTGTCGGTGGTGCCGGCATCCCATATGGGCACCAGTTCATGTCCCAGTTGCTCTTCCAGTCCAGCTCCCTGCTGTGGCCTGGGAAAGCAGTGGAGGATGGCCCAAGTGCTTGGGCCCCTGCACCTGTGTGGGAGACCCAGAGGCGGCTCCTGGCTTCAGTTCAGCCCAGCTGCGGCCATGTAGGGAGTGAATCAGCAGATGGAAGACTCTCTCTGTCTCCCCCTCCCTCTGTCTGTAACTCTACCTCTCAAACAAATTTTTGAAAAAGAAAAAAATCTTAAAAGCAGCCAGAGAAAAATGCGTCATGTACAAAGGAACTGATGGAAGGATGCGAGCTCCCCCACACTGAACCATGCAAGATGCTAGAGCAACATCCTGAAAGCACGCAGAGGAAAACACAGCCCAGAGCCTTAGACCTGGCGGCAACCTGCCAAAAGCAAAGTCAAGGGGCCAGTGATGTGCACCGGGTTAAGCCACCACCTGTGACATACTGGAGCAACTGTCCCAAGTCCCCTCTGATCCAGCTCCCTGCTAATGCGCCTTGGAAGGCAGCAGCAGATGGCCCAAGTACTTGGACCCCTGCCAGCCACATGAGAGACCTGGATGAGGCTCCGGACTCCTGGCTTTGGCCTGGCCCAGCCCCACAAGCCCCCCAGTCCCACAACCATTTGGGGAGTGAACCCACAAATGAAGAGCTCTGTTCCTTCTCTGTCATTTCTGCCTTTCAAATAAGTAAACTAAATCTTTAAAAGAAAAGAAAAAGGTCAAGTAAAGAACTCAAGACTACCAAAGCTGAGGGGTAAGTACCTGTCCTAACAGTTAACATGTTTGCATCCGAATTGAAATACTCGAGTTTGCTACCCAGCTCCAGCTCTGGCTAGACTCCAGCTTCCTGCGAATACAGACCGTGGGAGGCAGGGAAACAATTCAAATCATGAGGCTCCTGATACCCATTTGGGAGACAAGACCTGAACTGGGTCGTCAGTTCCCAGCTTCCACCTGGTCCAATCTCGGCCACTGTAGGCATATGGGGGGTGAAACAGCAGATGAGAATTCTCTATCTTGTGTGTGTATGTGTGTCTTTCTCTGCATCTCCAATAAAGAAAAATGATTTCAGGGCCAGTGTGTGATACAGCAGGTTAAGCCACTGCCTGTGACACCTGCAATCCCATTTGGGCACTAGTTCATATCCCAGCTGCTCCACTTCTGACCTAGCTCCCCCTGCTAATGCACCTGGGAAGGCAGAAGATGCCCCAAGTCCGTGGGTCCTTGTCTCCCATGTGGGAGACCTGGATAGAGTTTAGGCTCCTGGCTTCAGCCTAATCTAGCCCTGGCCACTGCGGCCATTTGGAGAGTGAACAGCAGACAGAAGAACTCTCTGTCTTTCCCTCTCTTCTGTAACTCTGCCTTTCAAATGAACAAATAGATCTTATTTTTAAAAAAATTTCTTTCAGCTGAATGAAATTGTGACCAGCAGACCCACAACAAGAAATGTTAAAGGAAAACCCTTCAACTAAAAAGAAAATGAAAAAAAAAGAAAAGAAAAAGAAAATGATACCAGAGAGAAACCCAGATACACACAAAGAAATGGAAGAACATTGAAAATGTTATCAACAATTATGGTTGCTATGGTTGTTATTTAAATCTCACTAAAAGATAACTGACCACGGGCCAGTGCTGTGGCACAGTAGGTTAAAGCCCTGACCTGCAGCGCCAGCATCCCTTATGGGCAACAGTTCCAGTCCCGGCTGCTCCACTTCCCATCCAGCTCCCTGTAAAGGCCTGGGAAAGCAGCAGAGGATGACCCAAGTGCTTGGGCCCCTGCACCCAGAAGTTGTTCCCGGCTTCAGCCTGGCTCAGCCCCAGCCCCAGTCACGGCAGCAATTTGGGGAGTGAACCAGCGAACAGAAGATCTGTCTCTCTTTCTCTCTCTCTGTGTCTACCTCTCTAATTCTACTTTTCAAATAAATAAATATCTAAAAAAAGAAAAAGAAAGTATAAAATTGGACCGGTGCTGTGGCATATCGGGTAAAGCCACCATCTGCAGTGCTGGCATCCTAAATGGGTGCTGGTTCGAGACCCGGCTGCTCCACTTCCGATCCAGCTCTCTGCTGTGGCCTGGGAAAGCAGGGGAAGATGGCCCAAAGCCCCAGGGCTCCTGCACCCAGAAGAAACTCCTGGTTCCTGGATTCAGATCGGCCCAGCTCCGGCTGTTGCAACCATTTGGGGAGTGAACCAGCCGACAGAAGATCTCACACTCTCTCTGCCTCTGCCTCTCTATAACTCCAAGTTTCAAATAAATAAATAAATCCTTTAAAAAAGGCAATATTTAAAAAATGTAACTGAGCATATAAACAGAAATAACAGCCGTGTGCTAGTACAGGATTTATAGCACACGTAACGTAAAACATACGACAGCAGCGTGAAAGGCCAGGAGAGAAGCCAGCCCTGCTGCGCGGAGCCTCTGGCAGATGACGACGCGGGTGGGAACGATGAGCAACCACGGAAACTCACAACAGAGGTCAGCTCATCAGCCAGCAAAGGTGACACGGAGCCAAGCGGAGTAAACTGTTCAGTAGCCCGAAAGGCAGACAAACAGGACAAAGGGAGCTGCGCAGAGGTCCGAGAGGTCGCTTCTCGGTAAAGGGGCCAAATGGGGAAGACTTCGGACTCCGTCTCCACAGCTCAGAGCTTCGAGACCCCGGCCTGTGCACAGCTGTGCCTCTTGGGGCCTCGGCACACACCTCCGGCCCCAGGCCATCCGCAGCCGTCTCAGCTCCCACACCCCCTTCTCAATGAGGTCTTCCCGAAGTCCAACTCCCACCACACCCCTCCACAGCCACTACCGGGCTCCTCGGCCCCAGCACCCTCATCTACATCTGAAACGACCTTCGACGGCGGCTCCCTCGACGGCCTCCCTCACGCTGCCTCCCCGCTGCCCACAGACGGCCTGGCCCAGAGCTGGTGTTCGACGACGCTGACAGAAGGGGCGGGGGGGGGGGGGCAGGGGCAGCGGAGGCAGCCCGCTGGCCCAGAGCTGAAGGAAGAGAAACCTCCCCCCACCCCAGCCTGCCCGCTCCACTCACCCGTCCATCGCCTCCTCGATCTTCTTCTTCCTCAGCTCGATGAGCTCGGGGGTCTCCATTCCAGCGGGCACCGACGAGAACCCTCCTGGGGTGATGAGGCCACTGAGGAGAGAGGAGTCAGCGCAGGGCCAAGAGGGAGCCCGCGGGGAGGGAGCCCACAGGGAGGGAGCCCGCGGGGACGCACCCCGCAGGGCCGCTGCGCCCACCTGTCTGCCGGCGTGATGAAGCCCGTCTCATCCGGCTTGTCTTCGTCGCTCTCCTCCTCTTCCTCTTCCTCCGAGGACTCCTCGTCTGAGGGCTCCAGCTCCCCCCAAGGGGTCCGATCAATCTCTTCTTCCTCAGTCTTGGTCTAGGAGAGATCACTCAGTCATTCAACAAAGGTTCACTAAGTGCTACCGCGTGCCACGCTGTCGTGAGTGGGAGGGGCACAAGTAGCCAGCCCCTGACCCGAGCTGGGCACAGCGCACTCTCACTGCAGCACAGAACACGCGCCCCCTCTTCACTCTGAGGAACACCCAGCACCAGGGTACTGACCTATAGCGGCTGCCTCCAGCCAGCACCCTCAGGCCTGCGGGGACCCGGCCCGTACCTGAAATTCAGCAGCGTTGGTTCCAAACACGTCCCCGTAGAGCGGCTTCCCGGTCTCGTCTACTGGGGGCTTGCCCCAGCCGCCGGCATGGTACCCGAAGGAACAGCTCTGCAAGACGCGGGGCACAGTCAGCTCCACCGCTGAGCTCGAGACCGCCGCAGCCCTAGAGCAGTCACTCTTCCAAGGACTGAACGTGCGCTCAGGAGTCCGGAAACAGTGTGGAGAACCGAATCCGCGGCCCCACGGCGGCACAGGGCGGTCAGAGAGACAGCACAGGCCGGACACTCCCCTGCACGGCGAGGCGAGGGCGGCCTCCGGCACTGGTACCTCCAATTTCATCTGAAGCTTAGCAACGCCACTTTTTTACTTCAATGGCCTCACTTTTTTTTTTAATTTACTGCCGTTTTGAAATGTCATGCTGTTGCTGAGATGAAATCGGAGCTGCCTGCCTACGACGCACGTGCGAGGCACAGGGAACGCGCCGCCTCGGTCGGTGTGGCTGTTTCTGCGCTCGCCGCAGCAGCAGACGGGGGAGCCCGGCGCGCGCCCGCACAAGCACGGCCGTGAGTTCACCACGTGTCCTACAAGCCCTGGGCGCGTCTGGTGACGAGCCTGCCGCTCGGCTCACCTCTGGGCTGCTAATGCTGAGGGAACACTTTATCGTGAGCGTGTCGCTTTTTTAAACCAGTAGAATCTGTTACTTCCTTTTTGTTTTGTAACCAGAGTGGAGACGAGGAGAAGGACACAGAAACCCCCTCCGTGAGACAAGCAGAGGCAGCCAAGACCGAGAGCAGGGACGACACTCACCTCGGGGATGGGCGAGTTCAGCCCGGGGATTTTCAGGTTGGGGTACGATGGGGGTGGTCCGTACCGCTGCATGGCGATCAGCCACGGGGGCGGGACCTTGTGGGCGTTCTGCAGCACGAGAGAACAGGAGAGCGTCTGCCTACCCTGCGCTGCGCCCCCGCCCCGCCCCGCCCCGCCCCCAGCCGACCAGCACTCACTGGTCCCACAGGCATCCCCAGGGAAATCCTGAGCTCGTCCGACAGGTCACCGGGCTTCTTCTCCTTCAGTCGCGTCTCGAACTCCTTCCCCTGGGAATCAAGCAAAGGCTGCTATTGCGGGGACACCACGCACGCACTGAGCTCCGTGGCAGGAGAGGCCAGGAGAGCAGAGAAGCCCCAACCACGTCAGACACAGAATCCCAGGCCGCCGGACCGCTGCCCGCTCCCACCCTGACTCTCATCACGTCGCTCCCCAGCAAGGGCAAGAAACAAGCACAAGGCCAGACGCTCAGGGCCTCCCTGACCACGGTGACAACGTGGCCAGCCTGCACCTTCCTCACCCGTCGGATGAGCCCAAAAGCCTTCAAAACCCCCAGACTGCGGATCACTACTTCAAGGCCAGAAAAGAAGAAACCTTCTCTCGCACTTCCAACGTTAAATATTCCTGAAAATCACCCACCACTTGGCCCCTCTGTCCCTACGCCAACACACCACTCTGTAACTATAACCACTCCAAAGACATGGTGTGCATTTTCCCACCAAATGACCTGATTTTAAAAATTCAAAGTCCAGGGCTAGGCTGTGGGCCAGGCTTGTGGCAGAGTGGGTTAAGCTGCTGTCTGTGATGCCAGCATTCCATAGCAGTGCAAGTCACGGGGCAGGTGCTGCGGCACAACAGGTAAGGCCACCGCCTGCAGTGCCAGCATCCCGTGTGAGCGCCAGATCGAGACCCGACTGCTCCACTTCCAATCCAGCCCTCTCTAATGGCCTGGGAAAAACAGAAGAAGATGGCCCAAGTGCTTGGGCCCCTGCACCCACATGGGAGACCCAGAAGCTCCTGGCTCCTGGCTTTGCCTGGCCCAGCCTTGGGTGTTGAGGTCATTAGGAGTGTGGACCAGCAGAGAGAAGAGTGATCCCTCTCTGTTTCTCCCCATCTCTGTAACTCTCTTTCAAGTAAGTAACATAAATCTGTAAAAAATACATAAAAATAACTTTCAGATTCCGTCTCATCCGAGACTAAGACTGTGGCGCCACCGACCCAGGGCTAACACCTTCTACCCGAAGGTTACGCAGTCATGACTCCAAGGCCCAGCCCTCCACCAGCCCCCCAACCTCATAGTACAGGTCCCCATGGATGGTCAGCTTCGGCTTCGTCTGCCACTTGAAGAAGGCGTCGTGCAGCTTCTGGTAGTCAATGTCAATCTTGCCCATCTTGGGCCGAACCTTCTCCCGCATCTTTGACTTCATGGTTTTCTGTTCTTCCTATGAGAAAGCAGAGGACGCCCTCTGTCTCATCTGAAAGTCAGCAAAGCCCTCTCTATTCAACCCCACCATGGGGTAAGCTGCACACGAGGCCGCCTGAGCTCTGGGCCCCGTGACCAAGAACCCAGGCTCACGACTTGGCTCGAGAGAAGCGGGATGGAGCTCATCAGGAGGCAGGCCCGCCGAGCACTGCACGGGCCTCCACACCACAGCCACGTGCTGGCTGTCCCTGCCAGAAGTCACCCCCTCGCACTAGGACTGTGCGGCCGCAAAGCGCACGCTGGTGAGGACCCGGGGAGGAAGCGAGGAGCTGCCTGGCCCGTTCCCTCCCCTCCGCCGCCCGCCCGCGCTGTGCAGTGCTGACTCCTACGCTGGAGGAGGGACCCTCGGCCGCGGGCGGGGTCTGGATTCCAGTTCTGGAGAAGGCCCTCACCTTCTCCTGCAGGGCCTCCCGCATCTCCTGGATGCCTGTGCGCTTGATGAAGTCCGGCAGCTCAAAGGGGGGCTTCTCGATGCCGCGCTTGCCTTGCAGGTACTTGCGCTTGAAGCACCAGTGTCGCGGCACCGGCACCGAGTTCCGAGTGGCCTTCAGGTGCACCAGGAGCTTCGGGTCCTGCGCCGTCACATCGTGCATCTCCACGACGTCGGGCCGGGCCACCAGCTGCAAAACGCACACGAGGCCCTCTGGGGGCGCAGCTCTCGGGTCCGAGGCTCTCCCTCCTTCTCCGTGGAGGACCCACACCCACGTCTCCGGGCCTCCTCCCACGCTCTCCCGGCCTCACCTGCTTGAGCTCAGCCACGGTGAAGCGATTCATGCGACGCAGCTTCTTCTTGGACAGCTTGGGCGCTTCTGGCTTCTTCTCCTGCCACGGAACAGTCATCACGCGTGAGCAAGGCCCTCGGACGGAATCTAAGGGCCCAGCCCACCCCAAGACTTGCGCTCCCAGAGCCCGGGCAGAGGTCAGCCCATGGGCCCCGCGCGCCGTCTCCGGCCAGGCCCCGACCTGCTCGTCGTCGCTGCTGTCGTCGTCGCTGTCCTTGTGCTCCTCCTCGAAGCCCTTCTTCTTGGGGGCGGCGGCGTTCTCCAGCTTGTCCAGCTTCTCGGGCTCCTTCTCCTTCTCCTTCTTCACGTCATCGGTGAGCTGGGGGGGGCAGAGGGCGCCAACGGCCAGTGCGGGGCCTGCGCGCCGGCCAGACCTCCCGGCCCGGTCTCACCCGCCCAGCCCCTCCGGCTGCGCCGCTCCCGGTACCTTGAAAGCCTCAAAAATCCTCTTGAAGAAGATGAAGTTGGGCTCATAAATCTCGGGCTCTTCGGTCACGTACTCGATCTCCACGTCAGCGGCTGGGGCGTCCGAGCCGCGCGGCCGGCCTGAGTCCTTCTCGCGCTCCCCAGAGCTCTCCGAGGGCGCCCCCCGCACGCGCTGCGGCTTTTTCTTCTTCTTCCGGTTCCGGCGCTTCCGGTTTTTCTATCGAGGTGAGGAAAAGCCACCAGGTGAGAAATCACCACACCTGACCCCCAAGCCCTGACCCCCACAGTTCCCCCAGCAGCTCAGGCTGGCTTCTCCCAGGGGGCGACCCCAGGCACGTGGTGCAGAGGCCGGGAGCGCGACTCCAGAGCCCTCCACGCTCAGGCTGCGTGCCCCTGCGACGCTCCTGTACCCTCGAGGCACAGCTCCCCTAGCCGTGAAGCACAGTGAGCAGACACGAGGAACCCAAGAGACACAAGGCGATGGAACAAGACCCGGGAGAGGCTCAGGACAGAACCCACACAACAGCGGCCAGCCCTCACTGGACACCGAGCCGGGGGCTGCTCTGGTGCCCACACCCGGCTTCTAGGCCAGCTCCGCCCCGTACCTCCTTCTTGGATGTGGACACCGCATCCTCCTCGGTCTCGGAGGCCGAATGGCCCAGGGACGAGCGAGTGTCTGTTTCCATCTCCTCTTCCTCTGCAAGGGGGGAGGGTGGCGATCAGGGCCCTGCTCAGCCACCTCTTTACCATGCAGGCGCGCGCCAAGCCCCCCGGGGGCAGAGAGGGAGGACGGGCCGCGCTGGCCAGGCCCCACCACTGTGCCGCACCAGGCCCGACACCCACCCTGCTGCGCCCCGCCAGGCCCGGCACCCACCCTGCTGCGCGCTCATCTCCTCCTGCCGGCTCTCCTTCAGTTGCAGGATCTTCTCCAGAGCCTGGGGGATCTTGGGGCCCACAGAGGGGTCCTCCATCTGCCGGAGACACCCAGTGAGGGCCCTTGCCCTCCAACGCCCACCTCCTGAGCGAAAGGCTGCCGCCAGGTGACGTGGGCAGTAGACGGGCGACACGAGCTGCACTCGACAGGCTCAGCACTCAGAGGAAACCCCAGAACTCCACCCCGGACCCGCCCCCCGACGCCTCTGCCCTCCCCCACAATGCTCTGAACAGGACCTCTCCCTCCCCCAACAACTGAAGTCCCCCTCTTCCCACAGAATCCCCCTCGGAAACTCTAGAAACAGCCCCCCAGCCCCCACTCTCCTGTCCCGAGAGAGACCATGCGTCTCACCTCTCTGTTTTCATCCCCAGGGGGCGGTGGGGGACCACGAGGACGAGGAACGGGGGCCCCCATGGGCAGAACAGTCGGGGTGGGACCCACCGGGCCCACGGGGGCAGCAGCTAAGGGAGGGGAGAAAGTTCACCGTGAGCAAAGACAAAACACTTTTTTTTTTTTTTTTTTTGACAGGCAGAGTGGACAGTGAGAGAGAGAGACAGAAAGAAAGGTCTTCCTTTTGCCGTTCGTTCACCCTCCAATGGCCGCTGCGGCCAGCACATCACGCTGATCAGAAGCCAGGAGCCAGGTGCTTTTCCTGGTCTCCCATGGGGTGCAGGGCCCAAGCACCCGGGCCATCCTCCACTACACTCCCTGGCCACAGCAGAGAGCTGGACTGGAAGAGGGGCAACCGGGACAGAACCCGGCACCCCGACCGGGACTAGAACCCGGTGTGCCGGTGCCGCAAGGCGGAGGATTAGCCTAGTGAGCCGCAGCGCCGGCCCAAGAAAACACTTTTAAAAAGGGACTTCCTGGGGCAGGCACTATGGCGCAGCGGGTCAAAGCCCTGGCCTGAGCACTGGCATCCCATATGGGCACCGGTTCTAGTCCCAGCTGCTCCACTTATGATCCAGTTCTCTGCTATGGCCTGGGAAAGCAGTAGAGGATGGCCCAAGTCCTTGGGCCCCTGTACCTGCATGAGAGACCCAGAAGAGGCCCCTGGCCCCTGGCCCCTGGCTCCTGGCTTCGGATCGGCACAGCTCCAGCTGTTGTGGCCATCTGGGTAGTGAACCAGCGACGGAAAACCTCTCTCTGTGTCTCTACTTCTCTCTGTAACTCTGACTTTCAAATAAAAAGGGACTTCCTGGGGCCGGCACCATGGCTCACTTGGTTAATCCTCCGCCTGCGGCGCCAACATCCCATATGGGCACCGGGTTCTAGTCATGGTTGCTCCTCTTCCAGTTCAGCTCTCTGCTGTGGCCCAAGAAGGCAGTGGAGGATGGCCCAAGTGCTTGGGCCCTGCACCCACATGGGAGACCAGGAAGTACCTGGCTCCTGGCTTCGGACTGGCGTAGCTCCAGCCCTAGCGGCCATTTGGGGGGGGTGAACCAACGGAAGTAAGACCTTTCTATTTCCCTCACTATCTAACTCTATCTGTCAAAAAAAAAAAAAAAAAAGGAATTCCTTGGGGCCAGCGCTGTGGCACAGCGGGTTAAATCCCTGGCCTGAAGCGCCAGCATCCCATATGGGTGCCAGTTTGAGTCCCTGCTGCTCTACTTCTGATCCAGCTCTCTGCTGTGGCCTGGGAAAGCAGCAGAGGATGGCCCGAGTGCTTGGGCCCCTGCACCCACATGGGAGACCTTCACATCAGCTCAACTCCAGCCATTGAGGCCATATGGGGAATGAACCAGCGGATGGAAGACCTCTCTCTATCTCTACTTCTCTGTGTAACTCCGTCTTTCAGATAAATAAAATAAATCTTTAAAAAAAAAAAAGAAGTATTTCCTTGCTACAAGTTAGGGTGCTGGGTACCCTTCAGGGAAACTGGAAGGGAGCCTAGGGTGTTTGGGTTTTGGTCCGGGCAGGGCTGTGGGGGTATATTCGGGTTGTGAGTACGCCTTGAACTGCCCACTCACGACAGCAGCCCTCTCTGTGTCACATGCACAGCGGTCTCGCAGACACCAAAAGCCAGACGCTGACGTTCCCCACGTACAGTGGTGTAGCACTTGCATGTAACCCATGCACAGACTCCTGTGTGCCTTAAGTCATCTCTGAAGATTTACAACGTGTAACATGACATAAACACTACGTAAACTGTTGCTGTATTGTTTAGACACATTGCTTAGTGAGACTCAAAACTTTTCCTGGTTATTTTCCATCTGTGGTCAAGTAAGTGGTTATGGAACCAGCAGATACAAAGGGCTGACTGTGTTCATGAAGTGGGTGACTGCCCTTAAAAACTGTTTTAAAAACTCCTGGGCCGGCGCCGCGGCTCACTAGGCTAATCCTCCGCCTTGAGGCGCTGGCACACCGGGTTCTAGTCCCGGTCGGGGCGCCGGATTCTGTCCCGGTTGCCCGTCTTCTAGGCCAGCTCTCTGCTGTGGCCAGGGAGTGCAGTGGAGGATGGCCCAAATGCTTGGGCCCTGCACCCCATGGGAGACCAGGAGAAGCACCTGGCTCCTGCCATCGGATCAGCGCGGTGCGCCAGGCGCAGCGCGCCAGCCGCGGCGGCCATTGGAGGGTGAACCAACGGCAAAGGAAGACCTTTCTCTCTGTCTCTCTCTCTCACTGTCCACTCTGCCTGTCAAAAAAACAAAACAAAACAAAACAAAACAAAACAAAAAAAACTTTTTGGACCAGCACTGTGGTATAATGGGTAAAGAAAGCTGCCACCTGAAACGTGGGCATCCCATACGGGCAGCGGATCTAGTCCCAGCTGCTCCACTTCCGATCCAGCTCCCCGCTAATGGACTGGGAAAAGCAGCGGAAGACGGCCCAAGTGTCTGGGCCCCTGCACCTATGTGGGGGACCCGGATAAAGCTCCTGGCTCCAGCCTGGCCCAGGGGCCCAACCCTGGCCGATGCAGGCATCTGGGGAATGAATCAGCGGATGGAAGACCTCTTCCCCACTCCGCCAACTTTGACACACAAATAAATAAATTAACAAACACTCTTAAATCACCTTCCTGTCCTCCCCTTCCCGGTTCTTACCTCGAGGACCCAGAGGAGTGCGAACGCCCATCTGGCCCATGTCCTGTGGGGGCCGAGGGACTGGGGTGCCCATCTTGGCAATCTCCTGCTGCCGTTCCTGCTCCAGGAGCACGGCTGCCTACGGCAGGGAGGTGGAAGCGGGGACGCTGCTGAGACGTTGTCTGGCAGGCAGCCCCTGGCACAGGCAGTCTCCTGGCTGGGCCAGGGGCCCACGGAGAGCACTCAGAAACCACTTGGGGTCTGACTTCCCCTCCACCCCCCACGCTCCTGATCCAGGATGGGAAATCCCTGAAAACAACCCTAAGGAAAGCCCCGGACACGCGGCTCCTAGCAACAAAGTCAACAGTCGGCTCGACAGTGCCTCCCGTTGTCGCAGTGAAGAGTTTTATCTCCGAAAGTTGAGTTACTCGGAAGGAACTCTGAAGTCCACCCTCTGAGACGGTACAACCAGCAGAGACAGCACGTCACGTCCGTTTCCCTACCTACGCTGCTTCTCATGCTTATCTCCCAACACTCCGGAGCAACCCGTCGGGGAACACCTGGCACAGCGCACCTCTGGGGCCCGAGATCTCGCCCCCACTCCCAAACTTAGTCCACCAGTCACCCCACGTCTGACGCAAAGGGTACCTTTCCAAGGCACCTAAGGGGACGTCGTGTGGACTAGTGGTGGACCAGTGGGCATCAGCCTCCACGGGCTGTTGTGAGGACTTTGCTAGACATTCTTGATTTGGGCTTTTCTTACAACAACCCTTTACAAATAGGAAAAAAATTTTCAGCTCACAGCTCAGACAGACACAGGCCACAGGTTGTGGTTTGCCAACCTGTGGGCTGAGGAACAACGGAATTCTTCAAGAGATGCTGGAATTTAGCTGGGGATGAGGCAGCCTCCAAAGAAAACGCGAACGGTGCCTCTCGTCCTGCACACTAAGCACGGTTAAGTGACAGCCAAGGCCTGGACCGTGAGGTCAAAGGTCAGGAAGGGGGGCATTACCCGCTTCTGCTGCTCCAAGAGCTCGTGCTCCTTCAGTGAATGATCTCCCTGCTTAAGAGAGAAAACAAGCTCACACCAGCACAACTCCCCACGGCCCGCCTGCCCCAGCTCTGCCGCTAGCCTGCGGCCTGGTTCTGCCTCTGGTCCCGGCGCCAACTCCCCGAGCCCACTCTCTCCGCAGGGACCCACGAGGCCAGGCCCAGGCTCCCCCGCCCTACCTGCTTGGCGCGCTCCTCTTGCTGCATCAGCAGTGCCGCCTGCTGCTGCGCCAGCTTCAGCCGCTCTTCTTCCGACAGCGCCACCGGCTCACCCACGCGGAGAGGAGGCGGGGGCCCCAAATTTGGTGGGTGGGCCATGGGAAAGCCAAGGCCAAGGCCTGGTGGGGGTGGAGGGGGGGGTGGAGGGGGCTGCAGAGGAGGGAGCCCCATGGGTGGCGGTGGCATGGGAATCCCAGAGAGCTGTGGAGAAAATGCGATCGTGAGCCAGGAGGCATTCGCCCACGCCCTCTGCCAGCATCCGCTGGGAGCCTGCTCTGAGCCAGGCACTGGGATTCCAAGTCAGACGAGATCCTGGGGTCGGTGCTGGGACACAGTGGGCTAAGCCTCCGCCTGTGATGCCAGCAGCCCGTATGGGTGCAGGCTCGTGGGGAGTGAACCAGCGGATGGAAGACCTTTCTCTCGGTCTCTGTCTATAAACCTTCCTCTCAAATAAATAAGTAAAAAAATATTCAAAATCAAGGAAAAAGACAGAGACGTGATTTCTTGCTCTGTAAGAGACTGCTCTGTGCACTGGAAGAGAACGGGAAGTTCTCTGGGATACCATCCAAAGAAAGCTACCGACTGTCTCCACGGAAAAATACCACGAACACAGCTGCTCCACACGACTCCAGGACACTTGAGGGACCAGCGCTGGACACAGCGGGTTAAGCCAGCGTCTGCAGTGCCGGCATCCCCTACAGGAGCTGGTTTGAGCACTGGCTGCTCCACTTCCGATCCAGCTCCCTCTAGTGCTCCTGGGAAAGCAGTGGAGGATGGCCCAAGTGCTTGGGCCCCTGCACCCACGTGGGAGACCCAGAGGAAGCTCCTGGCTCCTGGCTTCAGCCTGGCCCAGCCCCAGTCACTGCAGTTATTTGTGGAGTGAACCAGCGGATGGAAGACCTCCGTCTCTCTAACTCTGCCTTCCAAGTAGATAAATAAACCTTTTAAAAAGAGACACTTTTAAAAAGAGCCACGGCTCACTAGGCTAATCCTCCACCTGCAGCAACGGCACCCCGGGTTCTAGTCCTGGTCGGGGCGCCGGATTCTGTCCCGGTTGCCCCTCTTCCAGGCCAGCTCTCTGCTGTGGCCAGGGAGGGCAGTGGAGGATGGCCCAGGTGCTTGGGCCCTGCACCCCATGGGAGACCAGGAGAAGCACCTGGCTCCTGCCATCGGATCAGCGCGGTGTGCCGGCCGCGGCGGCCATTGGAGGGTGAACCAACGGCAAAGGAAGACCTTTCTCTCTGTCTCTCTCTCACTGTCCACTCTGCCTGTCAAAAAAAAGAAAGAGCGAGACAAAGGCCGCTGAAGGAGTGCAGAGCCATGGGTCAGAGGCACTCTCTGGAGGAAAAGCATCAAATCCTGCATAAGTGACGGACGCGAGACAACCGCTCTGCTGAGTCCACCCGCGCGGTTCAGTCTCGCGCGACACGGCAGCACGCGGGGCGGGCCAAGAGGTCGACACGGCAGCACGCGGGGAGGGCCGCATTCAAGCGGAACCCCCGGGGCCAGAACTCGAAGGCGCGGACGCCGGGAAGCGGGCCGGACCCGGAGCTCCCACCTCCGCACGGCAGCCCGACGCAGGCGAGAGAAGGGGGCGCCCCCTTACCTGTGCCGACATGGGAGGGGGCGCGGCTTTGTCCCCATCTTCCCCTCTCAAGACCGGCCGGTTCAGCACGATGCCCGTCTGCGAGAGAGAGAGCGAGGCTCCAGGGCGGCCCACCAGGGAGCCAGAGACTCCTCCGCGCCGGGGCCGGCCACCACGACGCCGGGCGGGCCCCCTCGGCCGCCGGCACTCACCTGGCGCGTGTAGCTCTGCAGCCGCTCCACCAGCTCCTCGCGACTCCCTGCGGGCGAGGCTCGGGTCAGCGGCGCGGGCCCGCCCCCGCCCCCAGTCTCCCGGGTAACCGGGCTCCGCGTCTCCACGGACCCTCGGTGCCCTCCCGGCCCCTCCAAGCCCTCACCCTGGATCGGAGCGCCTATCTCTGCCAACTTGGCCTGGAGCTCCTGGGCAGCCCAGGCGCCATAGTGCCCGGGAGGCGGCGGCGGCGGCAACTGCAATTCGCCTTTGGGAGGCTCGGGATGCTCGGCCGCCATCTTGGCCACAGGAAGGCGCGCGACCAGCCCGGAAGCTCCGGCCGCCCTCGGGGCCTACTTCCCGGAACTTCCGGCAGCGCCGCACGCCACGTCCTCTCGGCGGCGGAGGGAGCTCGGCTTGTCACGTGACTCGCCGGCCGGCCGCCGAGCCTTCTGGGAGTCGTAGTACTGAGGCCGCCGAGCCTTCTGGGAGTCGTAGTACACTGAGGCCGCGGCTCCGACGCGGAGCGCAGACCTGGGCTGCGGCGCCCGGAGCGGGGCCGCGCGGGCGGCGAGTCCCGGCCCCAGGGAGTGCTTTCTGCGTCTCGCCCGCCCGAGCGCAGGCTTCCAGCCTCTGGCTCGACTCCCGGGCCAAGCGTGAGAGGCCTGAGTGCCTGCGTTCCCAGGGGGTCCCGAGGGACTCGCTCCGCGGCGGGAGCGGAAGGTCGGGCCGATTGTCTGCCCGGGCCCGCACGGACGGAGTGGAGCGCTCGCTGCCACCCAAGCCCCTTTCACATCTTCCAGGCCCGCCCTCTCCGGCTTTCCTGGAGTTCTCGTAATGCGTTCAAATCTGCTCCATCTTGTTCAAGTCTTGGTCTTTGCACTTACATCCGCCTGAAAAAGACGAGTCGGGGCTTGATCCAACGGCTGCAGCCCCTGGCGTGCAAGGGGCGCCCAATAAAGGTGACCGGAAGAGCGGATCTTCAGCGACATCACTTGTTATCTTTTTTGGTCTTGGTCAGCCCCACTCCGCTGGCATCCCCTGCCGAGCTCACGGAGAGGCGAGCAGGGGACCCTGCCTGCCCAGCTTCCACGTTTGACTGCGCTGCCCCATCGGCTGCATTTCACTTTCCACCTGTGCCACCAGCTCTGCGTCTCCAGGGCCTGTGTGAGTCCTTGTGCTGAGTGACAGGAAGACTCACGAAAGGGTCTCACCACACGCGCGCACACACACACACCCTCAGATCCTTTCTCCACCCAGCTGCATTTAACTGTCCTCAGTGAGAAATACCTGGAAGCCAGGAGCACAGCCCAGAAGGTGAGGGTTGGGGGCAGAGCAAAGCACCGGGCCGGGGGAACCTGGCTCACACCCCTCCCTCCCACCCACTAGGTCACCAGCCCACGGCTCCTGCTGCCAGTCCCAGGGAAGTCACAACAGCACAGGGAAAAAAAAAAAAAAAAAGCGGTGCCCTTCTCTCTGGCACATCAGCCCACTCAGGCAGAACCCCTCCCGGCCTGAGGGAAGGTTCTTTCTGCTCCCTGTAACCGGAGAGCCCACCGGGGCAGGTCGGCTGAGGCTGCAGGCACGGAGCCACGTGCCTCCACTGTCGGGAAGGGGGATCTCTGGGCAGGAGAGGAAGGGCTGCTGGTGACAGAGCGGGGGCCGGGGGACACACCAAGGCGGCCTGGTTTTACCCCAACAGCCCCGGGATGCAGAGAGGAGGGGCGGGCGGCGAAAAGGAGTTGACGTGCGTGTCCCCGGGGCCAAACTGCGGCCACGGCGATCTGACTCTGCCCTTCTCCTAGTGCCCGTGTGGGCCCGCAAGGGGGAAACCAGCCCAGCCCAGGATCCCGGCCTTACAGGCCCAAAGCAAAAGAGGAAGCAGGGGCCCACACCAACCACACGACCCTGCAGGGAGCTGCTGCCGCTCCCAGGTGGAGAGCTAAGGACAGAGGTGGCGCCTCCTCAGCACCCCTGCAGCTCAGAGCACAGCCCCTCACAGGGGAGGTGCTGCCTGTCCACCCGGGGCTGCACGGAGAAGCAGGGCTGAACTTGGGCTCTCGGGGCTGGGGTCCCAGGCGCATAACCCCCTGGTCAGGAGTCCTCGAGGGGCCTGCAGTGCTGGGCGAGCAGCAGGAAGCTGCGTCAGGGGGACAGGCTGGAAGGGGAGGGGTGGACAGGGCCAGAGCAGGCTGGAGGTGTGGGGAGGAGAGGAGGGTGGCAGCACAGCGCCCGTGACTGCACCTGCTGCCCAGCTCTGCAGGGAGCACCGGCGCCCAGCTCGGCCGGCAGAAGGGCGCCCCTCGCACCGGGAGCACCGGCACCCAAGGACGCGCAGCCCTGCGGGAGCAGACACCTTCCCACCAGGCTCAGTCCCCTCCTCTGCTGAGATAAAGGAGCTGTCCACCTCGGACAACGGACAACGCTGGCCGAGCAAGACGCCTGCATGCAAAGATTCTGCCGCCCGCAGGGTGTTCACTGGCAGCCACGAGCCAACGGAGCCCCCTCCCCTTCCCTCCCCCCACCCCTGCGCGGCCCGGCCCCCGCCCCGCCTCCGGTGTGCGATGGGGGGCGGGGGGCGGGCAGAGCCGAGAGGAGCGGAGCCGAGCGGACGCCGCCACCTGATCCCATGCAGGCGCGGTGAGCCGAGCGACCGGCACTCGGCGCGCAGGGCCCGGGCCCCCTCGGACCCGGTGCGGCTTTCGGGACGAGGGGCGGGAGGTAGCGGCGGCCACCCGCAAGGCGGGTCGCAGGCAGAGCCCGCAGGCGCGGCGTGAGTACTGCAGTGGCGGGCCTGGGGCTGGACGAGGACCGGACAGGGATGGGGGCCGTGAGGAAGGCGGGAGAGCGTGGTGGGGGCAGAGAGCCCGGGGAGCGTGCGGAGGGGCGCTGTGCCCCTGGGGAGAGCCGCAGACCGGCTCGGGGGCGACTCTAGCCCATCCCCTAAGGGGACCAGATCCTGGTGGCCGCATCCCTGGGGGAGGCTAGGATGCAATTGAAAGAAGGGGGTGGGTGGGGGTGGGTAGTGACGGAGAGAGTAGGATAAAGGGGATCTGGAGGCGGAGATGTGGGGGTGGTCGAGAGGAAGAGGGGGCTGGGGACCAGGGATGGGGGTGGAAGGAGCTCGGCTCTCCTGGCCCCTCCCCTCCAGCCCTGGGTCAGTTTCCCTGGGCAGCGGGCTGTGCCCTCGGTCAGGTGGGGATGCAGTGTCCGGGTCAAGAGCTCTGCTCAGGTGGTCCAGGCCAAGGCACCCCCGCCCCGTAATGCCCGGAGCTTGGCCTGGACAGAGTGGGAGGGGCTCATCTGGGAGCAGGTGGGCTTCCAGGCCAGTGTTGAAAGCCCTGGCCGGCCATTCCTATTTCCCTGGAGAAAAAGGAAGCAATGTGCAAAGCCGGTGGCTGCCCGAGGTGGACGGCTTGGACTAAAATTAGCACAGGCGTGCTGATGAGCCTGGCGTCCTGACCTGCCGGGGACAGCTGAGGGACCTCTCTGCGCGGAGAAAACCCGGGAGATGGAGTAGTCTCAAGTCTCCCGGCGCGAGCCCAGGGCCACTGCTCCAAGGCCTGGCCCACACAGCCCAGCCACTCAGCCCCAGGGCCCCCCGTGGCCACCGTCCCCGGGGCATCTCCAACAGAGGCATCTTGGAGTGAGCTCGCTGAGGAAGGCAGAGGGCAGGCCGGCCTCCTCCAGCGTCCACGCAGTGCCCCCCCTCCCCCGGGGACCTGGAATGTCGGCCCCAGCCAGAGACAGGGTTACTGCTCCCGAATACCTGGAGGTCTGTCATGGAGAAAATGTTCCGTGTGCTCCTGGAGGGCAGCACAGAAACAGCGCGACGGGGAGCCGAGGGGCCGGCCGAGGGGCACTGCCAGCCGCGGGCTGGTGCCAGCTGCCCCAAGAGAACTCTGCCCACACAGAAGCGGAGCAGCCTGTCGCTGACGGCCGGCAGTAAGCAGCGCCCGCCAGCAGGGCCTGGTGTCCAGGGAGTTCCCAGGCGGACCTCAGGCAGTCTCCGGCCAGCTCCCCAGGGCTGAGCCACAGAGGGGAGTGTGGGAGGTCCAGGAGTGGGGTGGAGGCGGGCAGCAGGCCCACAGGCGGGTGCAGCCCACAGGCCGGCCCTCCTGGGCTGGCCCAGGCTCCTCTGAGAAGCAGGGTGGGCTCAGCAAGGTTAGCACAGGTGGGAACAGGCTTCGCCCCCCCCCTCCCCGGGAAACTCCGTCTGCTCACCAAGTCCACCGGGCGGATGAGAAACAAAGGGAAAAGCCGTGCATCCTGCGAGGGCCAGAGCTCCCACTTCCTCCCGCCGCGGCCCCCAAGGCCAGTCAGCCCTCCATGGCCCCAGAAAGCCCTGCAGGGGCTTCCTCTGCTGTGCCCTTGGTCGCCCTCTGTGGCCGTACCCTACAGCCCCTGGGCTCCAGGCGGATTAAGTTCGTCTGCAGGCTGGTGAAGAAGTCCAGGCAGCGGGGCCTGGAGGGAAGGGAAGGCAGGGCCCGGACATCTTTCCTCCCAAACAGGTTAAATGTAATCCAGGATTAATAGGGGGTGCGGGGTTAAAGCAGCCAAGCCCAGGGCCCAGGGGAAGGTGACGGTCACGGTTTTCACGTGACCTCACCCCTCCAGGGACCCAGGTGCCCTACTTCCCCTTTGGAGAGGAGTGTGTGTGAGGACCTGACTGGGACTAGGAGAAACGCCCTCGGCAGGAGCCGAGAGCCCACCCCGGCCCAGGCCAGGCACGGCTGCAGAGGCGGACCCTCCACCTGGACCGCCAAGGGCTGGGCTCCCCTGAGCCTCGGCCGGAAAGCGGGCCCTTCTCCCCCACCACACCACCACTCACCTGGGAGGAAGGCTCGCCTGGAGACCGGCCGGCGGCTGGCAGGAGCCACCTCTGTGCCGCCCCGCCCCCGCCCCAGGCGGCCAGCCCATCGCTTGGCGGGGCACCTCCCGGGGCCACCCGGGTTTCAGGTGTCTGGGGAGGGAATCCAGATTGAGTTCCAGGATTTCAAGGGCCCCCCTTTTTTCTCTCTCTCGTGGACTTATCAATCTTGGGCTCCAAGGGCAAGAGCCCAGATGGGGGGCTCCGGCTGGGAAGCAGAGGTCGGTTCTCCATGAAAACAGCACACGGCTCTGGGCACGGTCTCTGACGCAAGAGCGGATCTGAGGCCCCGCTCTGCTGCGACTTCGCCTCCCGGGGCCCCGCTTTCACCTGTAAAGTGGGACTAGCGCCCGTGTCACGCGTGTGCTGGGGATTCCACGTGCAGTGACCCAGCAAATGCAGCAAGCCCGCACCCGGAGGTGTGCTCTGTGTCAGTCCCGGAGGAGGGGACCCGGAGCCAAGCTCCACGTTGAGGCCAGTCTAATGGGCAGCAGATACCAATGGCCAGGAGACAGAGGAGTTAGGGACAGGGCTGGGGCTGAGCGCTGGCCACACCCCAGCCCTGTAATTCCACCCAAGACCAGGTTATCTGGAGCAGGGAGGAGACAGGGTCTTGTAACGGGAGGGAGGAACCCGATCCGCCCTGGCCTCTCCGCTCACCCCACCACGGCAGCTCGCCTTCGCCACAGTCCTGCCGGGGCCCGGAGCCCATCTCCTCTGCCCAGGGCAAACCTGTCTGCCTCCTTCTCCTGCCAGGCCGCTCAGGAACACTGGCCCTGCTACCAGAGCCCCAGGAGCCCCCATGAGTGCTGGCAGAGGGAGCCCTGGCTAGCGAGGCCCTGGCTGGTGCCGGGGCGAGCGCCTCACCATGCCGCCCGTCCTCCAGCGCCTGCAGCAGGCCACCAAGCTGATGAGTCGCAGGAAGATCCTGCTGCTGGTGCTGGGGTGCAGCTCCGTGAGCCTCCTCATCCACCAGGGGGCGCAGCTCAGCTGGTAAGTGGGCCGGGGCTCCGCGTCACGGGTCAGGGAAGGGCTCCAGGCCGCGGGGGCCTCGGAACTGGCAGCTGGCCTTCCCGTGCTTTGTTTTGTTTAAGATTTATTTATTTATTTGAAAGGAGAGAGAGAGAGCCAGAGACAGAGAGAGGTCTTCCATCCGCTGGTTCCCTCCCCAAATGGCCACACGGCCGGAGCTGCACCAATCTGAAGCCAGGAGCCTGGAGCTTCGTCCAGGTCTCCCACGCGGGTGCAGGGGCCCAGCGACTTGGGCCATCTTCCACTGCTCTCCCAGGCCACAGCAGAGAGCTGGATGGGAAGAGGAGCAGCCGGGTCTTGAACCGGCACCCATATGGGATGCCGGCACCGCCGGCGGTGGCTTTACCCGCTACGCTGTAGCGCCGGCCCCTGCCATTCCCATTCTGGTACTTTCCAGAAGAGGCCTTCTTCTGGACTTTGCTGCTTCCCCTGTTCCGAAAGTGCTTCCCACACAACCCTCAGAGCCACGCGCACTGCGGGCAGTGTCCGGTCTTCCTTGAAAAGGCCACGCGACTGCTCCCGGCTGCAGACGGCTGGGCAGACTTGGCTGGGACTCGCAGCAGCCGGTCTTCCCTTGGCTTCGCGGCGCCTGCCTCTGTGGCGCCAGGCGAGGCTGCTCCTCCTCTGGGCCCCAGTTTCTCCTCTATAAAACGGGATGATGGCACGTGTGACCCAGCCCGGCACCCTGCGCCAGGGTGCGGTGTGATGGCTCGTGGGAACCCTGACCTTGCTGTTGGCTCTGTGCAGACCCAGCAGACCCCCGGGCCCCCGTCTCCCCACCCTCTGTACGGTCTGCCCCTGAAAATGCCGTGAACGGGCCCAGGCCCCCCGCCGGAGGACCAGCTGGTCTGTGAGTGATGTCCGGTGGACACTGCCCCGAGCCCAAACCACCCAGACAGGCGCTCTCTGTGTTCTCAGTGTGCTTAGAGTTGGCCTCCTTACGGGGGAGAAACAGGAGAGCAGAGCAAAGCACACAGGGACCCCGCAGGTCACCAGGGGTCCCAAACAGCTTGTCTGAGGAAGGGGGGACAGGAGAGTGGTGGGAGGTTGGGGCCATTATCTGTTGCGGACACGGTTGGACCTTGAGCCTGGAGCTGTGCCTGGCCACCAGTAACTGTCCAGTGACCACGGAAACACGTAACCGGTAACGAAAGCCCCCGGTGGGCGGCGCCACGGCTCACTAGGCTAATCCTCCGCCTTGCGGCGCCGGCACACCAGGTTCTAGTCCCGGTCGGGGCGCCGGATTCTGTCCCGGTTGCCCCTCTTCCAGGCCAGCTCTCTGCTGTGGCCAGGGAGTGCAGTGGAGGATGGCCCAAGTGCTTGGGCCCTGCACCCCATGGGAGACCAGGAGAAGCACCTGGCTCCTGCCATCGGATCAGCGTGGTGCGCCAGCCGCAGCATGCCGGCCAGCCGCGGCGACCATTGGAGGGTGAACCAACGGCAAAAGGAAGACCTTTCTCTCTGTCTCTCTCACTGTCCACTCTGCCTGTCAAAAAATAAATAAATAAATAAAAATATTTAAAAAAAAAAAAAGAAAGAAAGAAAGCCCCCGGTGCCGGAGTACAAGTGAAAATGAGAATCCGGTGACCGAGCCGCCCCAGCCTTTCCGTGGCCTCTCTCTCCACGCGCGCCAAGTCTCCACATCTGTAACCAGGGTTCCTCCCGGATCTCCGAGGGCCCTCGCGGCTTCTGGTGTCCACTTCTGCGTGAATGAAGTCCCTTACGGGGCAGCCGAGAACAAACTCTCGCCACCTCGCAGCTTCTGTGAGCGCAGGTGTGCCTCACTGGGAACCGCGGACCAGGCGTCCGCCCTGTCCAGGCTGGCTCGCGGGGTCCGGGACTGACGGCCCCAGCTTCCTGGGGGTGCCGCGGCGTGGGACCTCCCGGGAGGGGTTCCTCCCCGCAGGGCAGCTGGCTTTCCCCGGCATGCGTTAGCCCGCGGAGGGCGAGAGGCGCCCAGTTCGAAACCACGGCCGTCTTCTGACGCCATCTCGGAAGGGGTGTCCGGCCATTTTCGCCCTGTGCTGTTCCTTAGACGCGACAGCCCCAGATTCAAGGGGAGGGGAAGTCGCAAGGGCACGCGTTCCAGGCCAGCGGGAATGGGGGCGGGGGGCGAGGCCGTGTCCCCCAGGCCCTGGGTAAAGCCAGGACGGGCCGCCCGGGGGCTCGCTGCACCGCTGGCGGCCACCCCACCCCACCTGTCATCTCCCGTGGGTCCCACAGGTACCCCAAGCTGTTCCCCCTGAGCTGCCCGCCCCTGCGCGACTCGCCGCCGCGCCCCAAGCACCTGACCGTGGCCTTCCTGAAGACGCACAAGACGGCGGGCACGACCGTGCAGAACATCCTCTTCCGCTTCGCCGAGCGCCACAACCTGACGGTGGCCCTGCCGCACCCGAGCTGCGAGCACCAGTTCTGCTACCCGCGCAACTTCTCGGCGCACTTCGTGCACCCGGCCACGCGGCCGCCGCACGTGCTGGCCAGCCACCTGCGCTTCGACCGCGCCGAGCTCGCGCGCCTCATGCCGCCCGGCACGGTCTATGTCACCATCCTGCGCGAGCCGGCCGCCATGTTCGAGTCGCTCTTCAGCTACTACAACCAGTACTGCCCGGCCTTCCGGCGCGTGCCCAACGCGTCCCTCGAGGCCTTCCTGCGCGCGCCCGAGGCCTACTACCGCGCGGGCGAGCACTTCGCCATGTTCGCGCACAACACGCTGGCCTACGACCTGGGCGGCGACAACGAGCGCAGCCCGCGCGACGACGCCGCCTACCTGGCGGGCCTCATCCGCCAGGTGGAGGAGGTCTTCTCGCTCGTCATGATCGCCGAGTACTTCGACGAGTCGCTCGTGCTGCTGCGGCGCCTGCTGGCCTGGGACCTGGACGACGTGCTCTACGCCAAGCTCAACGCGCGCGCCGCCAGCTCGCGCCTGGCCGCCATCCCCGCGGCGCTGGCGCGCGCGGCGCGCGCCTGGAACGCGCTGGACGCCGGCCTCTACGACCACTTCAACGCCACCTTCTGGCGCCGCGTGGCGCGCGCCGGCCGCGCGTGCGTGGAGCGCGAGGCGCGCGAGCTGCGCGAGGCCCGCCAGCGCCTGCTGCGCCGCTGCTTCGGCGACGAGCCCGTGCTGCGGCCGGCCGCGCAGATCCGCACCAAGCAGCTGCAGCCGTGGCAGCCCAGCCGCAAGGTGGACATCATGGGCTACGACCTGCCCGGCGGCGGCGGCGGCGCGGGCCCGGCCACCGAGGCCTGCCTCAAGCTGGCCATGCCCGAAGTGCAGTACTCGAACTACCTGCTGCGGAAGCAGAAGCGCCGGGGAGGCGCGCGCGCGCGGCCCGAGCCCGTGCTGGACCACCCCCCGCCTCGGCCCCTCCGGGCGCTGCCCCGCGGGCCCCAGGGCCCCTGAGCCCCGGAGTCCCGTCTGGGGCAGCGTCCATCGGGGCTCCTTGCCGAGAGTCTGGGGGCGCGTCCTCCTCCCTAGTGAGCACTTAGCCCTCCGCCTCCCCGGAGGGCGCCCCCAGGCCCAGCGGAGCCCAGGGCCGCCCGCTCCGTCCCAGCTGGTTGGTGGCTGTGACGGGAGCTCTGCGGGCTGTCCAGAACTGCCCACCCTTGCCTTTTTCCGGGGGGCTGAGCCCTCGTCACCTGTGTCTCCAAGTGGCTGAGCCCAGGTCCCTGGGGAGACCCAGCTTTCGCTGTCGGCCTGGCCGGGCCGTGGCTCCCCGGGGGTCTCAGAGCCCCCCCACCCCACCCTGTCTCTTCCACGTTTCTACCCTCCCCCATAGACCTAAGCTGCTCCCGGACGCCCAGAATCAGAGTTCTGGGGTTGGGTGTTTTTGTTTGTTTGTTTGTTTGGGTTTTCTTTCTTTTTTAATAAAACGTCGTTGAAGTGGGTGGCTTGCGTGTCTGTCCTGGAGGGCACGGTTGTCCACGATTGAGCTTAAGAGAAGCTGCAGCTGTGGCCGTGAGGAGGCGCCCAGACCCCATGAGGCGCCTCTGCTCTCCCTCCCAGGGGCCCACACCCCTCGGTGGATCCCCTTGGCCGGGCACTGCCCAGTTGTTCCTCATTCATAGGCTACTGTAACGTGGGGCGCAGGTGAGCAAGACGGACAGGGCCTCCATCCTCCCAGGGGAGGTCGTGTGAACAGGGGCGGACTGGAGGGGCTGAAGCAAAACCCAGCTGCTTGGGCAGAGCGGAGGCTGGAAGGAGGCCACTCCGGTGCGGGGGTGAGGACTCGGAATTGTGCCTCCCCTGCATGTCCCCAACGTCCCCACGGGTGTCTCACTCCCTCAGCGTAGCAGGGACAGGGACCTCTTGCTCACGGTCTGGGTGAGTGGTACAAACAGCTAAAACGGTCTGTGTGCAGGCACTGTTTCCCGCTCAGACATCTTAGGGGGTGAGCACCGTTCTCTGGGGAAGGGAACGGAAACTTGGAGAGGATGAGTGGCGGCAGGGCCACACAGCTAGAAAGAGGCCACTAGGGTTTGACCTTTTTTTCACATGTCCATTTGTTGATTAAAGAGGCAGAAAGAGCACACCCGTCCATCGGCTCATTCCCCAAATGCTCACACACACGCACACATAACGCCCCAGGGACTCCATCCGGGTCTCCCGCACGGGTGGCAGGAACCCAGCCGCTTGGGCCGTTACTGCTGCCTCCCAGGGTCTGCCGTGGTGGGACTCGGGACCCAAAGCCAGGAGCTGGGCCTGAGTCCCACAGACAGCGTCCCTGCTCTGTCAGCCCAGGCGCCTGCCCCTCATTTGCCATTAAGGTAGGAGGGTGCTGATAGGCCAGCTGTTGTGGCACAGCGGCTTGGGCCACCGTTCGGACACCTGCAGCCCGTGTCGGAGTGCTGGTGAGAGCCCCAAGTCCCGCGCTCCTACCAGCGCCCTGCCGCTGTGCCTCGAGTATCCGCGCCCTGCCACCCATCTGGGCGACTCAGACGGAGCTCTGGCTCCTGACTTCATCCTGGCCCGCGCCTGGCCCTGAGACCATTGGAGGAGTGGCTGGGAGATCCTCTCTCTCCCTCTCTCTCTCTCTCACTGCCTTTCAAATAAATAAATAAATCTTTAAAATAATAATAATAACAACAACAAAAGGGGCGCAGCCCGACAGAGCCCAGACTCTGAAGCTGTCCTGGTGCTGGATCAGCTCCTCTCCATCTTACTTTTTTCTTTTTTTCTTTTTTCTTTTTTTTTTTTTTTTTTTTGACAGACAGAGTGGACAGTGAGAGAGAGAGACAGAGAGAAAGGTCTTCCTTTGCCGTTGGTTCACCCTCCAATGGCCGCCGTGGCTGGCGCGCTGCAGCTGGCGCACCGCGCTGATGCAATGGCAGGAGCCAGGTGCTTCTACTGGTCTCCCATGGGGTGCAGGGCCCAAGCACCTGGGCCATCCTCCACTGCACTCCCAGGCCACAGCAGAGAGCTGGACTGGAAGAGGGGCAACGGGGACAGAATCCGGCGCCCTGACCGGGACTAGAACCCGGTGTGCTGGTGCCGCAAGGCGGAGGATTAACCTAGTGAGCCGCGGCACCAGCCCTCCATCTTACTTTTTGCCGAGACAGTGGCTGACCCGCGGGGCAGTAGACTTAGCCGCGTTGGCTGGCAGGTCACGTGACGCTCCCTGTGCGAGAAAAGGGATTGTTTGTGTGGCCCCCTGCTGCTTACCAGGCGAGGGCACCGGAAAGCGCGATTCAGTTTCTGGTTTCTGACGTTCAGTGGCAGGAAAGACGCTTGCTAGTTCTCTAACTAAAGGCAGGCCGAGAAGGGGTCTGGCAGCCGCTGTCCCCCACCCCTGCCCCCGCGGCTGCCACAACATCTTCCAGCTCGCCCTGGTCCACCCGAGACACTGAGCTCTGCCCTTGTGGCCTGGGCCACTCCTGCCTTCCGGGACGGCTCACCGACCGGCCCTCCTTTCTAAACCTTGCTGTGTTCGGCAAGAACCTGACGCCGGACTCAGAAGAATCTGCATCAGGGCCCGTCGGCAGCCTCAGGCACTGGGAGAGGCTTTCCGTCTGGCTCGGGAGCAAGAGCAGACGTTAACGCCAAACAGGGGCCCCGAACTCCCGGGTCCAGGCCTTTCCACCCGGTGCCCTGCAGACGGGCTCCCGCCACCAGCACACACTTGGTGCTGCCCACTCTGTGCCTGCCCGCGGGGTTCCGGAGCTCTGGTGGGAGGTGAAAGGTGGTCCCTGCCTCCAAGGGCTCACCATCGGGTCTGGTTCTGCCGCTTACAGGGGGGTACGCTTTGAACGTGGCCTTTGAGCCTCACCCTTCTCCCCTGTGAAATGGACAGTTCAGTTTCCCTGTGTGAGCTGAGCGGAGGCACACGGCGCAGGGCCTGGCGCAGGGAAGTGCGCCCGAGGTGGCACCTGGGGCTTCTTCGGGGCGTTTTACGCGTGTGGTTAGCACATCCATTACTGGAGTTGTCTGGGAGGTGGAATGAAGCGTTTGAGGAAGGGGAACACAAGCAGCAGCCTGGGCTTTTACCACTAGACAGAGCTGTGCAGGGGCTCGGGCAGCAAAGAGAAGGCCGGGAGGGACTGCCCGGCGCCCGGCGAGGCTCCCTGAGCAGCTGAGAACAGGGCGGGGAAGGGCCTCCAGACACAGACAGTGCATACGGGTGTGAAGATGGCAGCCAGGGCCATCTTGGCAGAAATACGCCAGCGCCAGGTTCTTCCATGTCCTGCTTAGACGTGTGGGTTGGCCCACGTGTGCGACCGTGTCTGTTTGAGTCTCCATCCAGAAACAGGGGTGCAGCCCGAAGGGTCCGGAGCAAATGGAAGGGGCCGGCGTTGTTTTGCACAGGCTAAGACACGACTTGAGACACCCACGTCCCATGTCAGCACCTGGATTTGAGCCCTGGCCCCGCTTGCTTTCCTTGCTTTTTGTTAATTATTTTTATTTGAAAGGCAGAGTTACAGAGATGGGGAAAGATGGAGACCTTCCGTCCACTGGTTCACTCCACAAATGGCTTCATGGCCGGGCCTGGGCCAGCTTGAAGCTAGGAGCCAGGAGCTTCATCTGGGTCTCTCACATGGACCATCCTCTGCTGCTTTTCCATGCAGATTAGCGGGGAGCTGGATTGGAAGTGGAGCAGCCAGGACTGGAACCAAACGACCATACAGGATGCAGGTGTTGCAGGCTTTGGCTTAACCCACAATGCTTCCCCCTCCCACCCCCACTCCTGCTTTCAGTCCACCAGCTTCCTGCTAATGCGTGCCCTGGGAGGCAGCAGAGATCATTCAATTACTTGGGTTCTTGCCACCCATGTGGAGAGTCCTGGATTAAGTTCCTTGTAGCTCCTGGCTTCAGCCTGGCCTAGCCCCGACCGTTGTAGGCATTTGGGGAAGGCACCAGTAGATGGATCTCTCTCTCTGTGTCACTCTGCCTTTCAAATAATAAATAAACTTTCTTTAAAAAAAAAAAAAAAGCCACCGCAGTGAGACTGTTGGCAGCTTTGGTGACAGGAGCCTCTCCAGGTTCCTCCTCCACGGTCCTTGCCTGCGGTGTGCAGAAGCACTCTGTGCCCCAGCGCTGTATCAGGGTTTGATGTGGTCACTCAAGCCCAGTCTGAGGCTGGGGACGTGGCCACATTTGCCAAATCCATTCTGCAGCAGATGGAATTGGATCTAAGGCCACCCAGTCCTTGATTCTGGCACACAACCAAGAATTGACCCGGCACTGGTACTGTGGCATCGTGGGTAAAGCTACCACTTGTGACCCCATCATCCCATATGGGTACTGGTTTATGTCCCAACTGCTCTATTTCCGGTCCAGATCCCTGATAATGGCCTGGAAAAAGTAGCAGAAGAAGATGGCCCAAGTCCTTGGGCCCCTGCCACCCACAAAGGAGACAGGAGAAGCTCCTTGCTCCAGGCTGGGGCTGGCACTGCCCGGGTTCTTGCAGCCACTTGGGGAGTGAACCAGCAGATGGAAGATCTCTCTCTCTCTCTCTCTCTCTCTCTCTCTCTCTCCATCTCTCTGCAACTCTGCCTTTCTAATAAATAAATAAATCTTTGAGAGAGGCTGGCACTGTGGCAAAGCGGGTAAAGCTGCCGCCCACAGTGCTGGCATCCCATATGGGTGCAGGTTCGAGTACTGGATGCTTCAGTTCTGATCCAGCTCTCTGCTGTGGCCTGGGAAAGCAGAAGAAGATGGCCCAAGTCGCTGGGCCCCTGCACCCGCGTGGGAGACCCGGAAGAAGCTCCTGGCTCCTGGCTTCAGATTGACCCAGCTCTGGCCATTGTGGTGGCCATTTGGGGAATGAACCAGTGAATGGAAGATCTCTCTCTGTCTTTGCCTCTGCCTCTCTGCAACACTGCCTTTAAATAAATAAATCTTTAAAAAAAAAAAAAAAAAACACTGGCCAGCAGACACAGAAGGTGGCCGTGGCAATGAGAGATCACATGTGTGTCTCCTGACACACCTGCAGGGGGCAGCACGCGTGTGCTGAGGCAGAAGCTGCAGCTGGAGGCCCCCAGCATGGTGAGCTTTCCTGGCCCCAAGTCCAGCGTGCCTCACACAGGTACCTGTCTCCCCAGTATTTCAGGGAGGTCTTATTGGGTAAAGCTGACGAAATGTTCAGGGGTGGATTCGAGGACCAGATCTAGGATGCATTCCAAAAATTCAACAGGAACACCCAGGAGTTTTGCCATCAGCTACAGCGCCTTCCCGTGTGCTTGACCTGACCAAGAAATTCACGAGGGACCCCATCCGGATGCTTGCCGAGAAGGACGCGTTCACCCTGGAGGGCAAGGAGGAAGAGGAGCGGAAGCTGGACAGAGCGGGTGGCTTGTGGGAAACAGCCCGTCTCCCAGGTGCTGAGCGGCCCAAGTGCTTGAGCCCCTGCACCCACGTGAGAGACCCGGAAGAAGCTCCTGGCTCCCGGCTTTGGATCAGTGCATCTCTGGCTGAGGCTGCCCTTTGGGGAGTGAACCAGCAGATGGAAGACCTTTCTCTCTGTCTCTCCCTCTCACTGTAACTCTACCTATCAACTAAGTAAAAATCTTTAAAAAAAAAAAAAAAAAAAAAAAAAAAGAGCGGTGAGAGCAGACATCCTTGCCCGGCTGCAGATCCTCGGGGGAAGACGCTTCCCCAAACACAGTCACCCTTGCTTCTCGCCTGCAGGAGCAGGCCCACTGCTGACATCACAAAGGGCGGAGTTCTGGGGGCGTGGTCAGGTCTTCTCGGAACCCCGTGCCACGGCCAGCATTGAACCTACGGCGACAGAAGCAGAACCCAGACAGGGGCCTGCTGCACCCCAGGCTTGAGTTCTCTTCGTGCCGAGGTCCCAGCAGAGCCCCGGATCGGCGCTCAATGTCTGAAAAGGGTCAAAATGAAGCAGACCCCGACGGCGGGGGTGTGTTCACTCGTCCCCACTCATCACCCCCACAGCACAGGCCAGGCCACGGTGGGGCCCTCCGCCACCACGAGTCCCACCACCACCGGGGAGCGTCTCAGCACCGCGGCTTAGCCCGTCCTCACGGCGGACCGCGGCACCCCCGTGAGTTCCAAGACAACCAAGACGATCGTGCCTTCTCCCATCATGCCCCCCGGGAGGCCCACCATCCCACATCCCTTGGTCTGAGCCCCTCCCGTAGCATTGCCCCCTCCCACCATTCCTACTCTGAGGACAGCTCTGATGATGACCAATACCATGGCAACAGGGTGCATCACCACCATGCCGAGTCCTCTCCCCACGGTGGGCGTCAACACCTTACTGTGCCCCCTCCCTACAGTGGGCCTCACCACCATGCCGAGCCTGACCCCCACGGTGGGCCCCACCTCCTTACTGTGCCCCCTCACCACGGTGGACCCCACCACCATACCGAGCCTGGTCACCATGGTGGACCCCACCACCATACTGAGCCCGGCCACCACGGTGGGCCCCATCACCATGCCGTTTCTGATCACCATGGTGGGCCCCACCACCACGCTGAGCCTGACCCCCACGGCGGGCCCCAGCACCTTACTGTGCCCTCTCACCACGGTGGGCCCCACCGCCACGCCGAGCCCCCTCACCACGGCGGGCCCCACCGCCACGCCGAGCCTGACCCCCACGGCGGGCCCCACCGCCATGCCGAGCCCTCTCACCACGGTGGGCCCCACCGCTACGCCGAGCCTGACCCCCACGGCGGGCCCCACCGCCACGCCGAGCCCTCTCACCACGGCGGGTCCCACCGCCACGCCGAGCCTGACCCCCACGGCGGGCCCCACCGCCACGCCGAGCCCTCTCACCATGGCGGGCCCCACCGCCACGCCGAGCCCCCTCACCACGGTGGGCCCCACCGCCACGTTGAGGACGGCCACCGTGGAGGGCTGCCTCACCACGGTGAGCCTTCTTACCGAGAGGAGTTCCACCACAAGCACGCCAGGCCCCACCATCATGACAGCTCCCCGCACCGACGGCACCCTCGCTACGGAGACAACGTTTCCTGCACCTCCCTGGACGGGTCCTCCCACCACGGCACACCTCACCACCGGGAGTACCACGCCCCTGAGCACCCCCACGGCGAGTGGCCCCACCACAGAAGCAAGCACCAGCGTCCCAGGCAACCCGACGACCACCCACACAGCGACCCCCGCCACAGGGACTACCTGTGGAGCCCCTCCGACCAGTCTGTCCCTGGCACCTCCCAGGGCTCCTCCTCCCTCTCTCATCCGGCCACCCCCCACGCCCACGTGCACAGGTGGAGCTCTGGCCACAGCACAGCTCCGTCCCACGTGGCCGGCTCCAGCAAGGTGTGCTCCCAGGAGAGCAGCTCCAAAGACTCGGAGAGCTACACGGAAGACAACGAACAACTTCGGAAGCGCAAAAGTGAGTCTGTGCTGCGCCCCGGGCCACCCCTGCCCCTTCGGCAACTGTCGAGGTCCGACCCACACAGGCGTCCCCCCACGCTCGCCGGCCCGGCCCTGGTGCCCTAAGTGGAGCTGTGCCTTCGTTCTCTCACCACTTGGCTCGCCCGCACGTCCCCTTCACAAGCGCTGGTTCCAGTGGACGGCGCCCTGAGGCTGGGAGCAGCCACTTAGGCTGTCACAGGCCCTCTGGGGGCAGGGCCCTGGGTCCTCCACGTCAGAACAGGGAACCACGATGGCTACAAGCTCCCGGCCAAGTCTCCCGAGAGGGCGGAGAGGGTCCCACTGGCCGCAGGCAGGAGAGGCGGCCACGAGGAGACGGGGGTTGGGCAGGCTCTTCGAGGGCGAGGGAGGCTTTGCTTCGAGTGGCTTGGAAGCTCCGGTTTGCCCAAAGCTGCCACACGGGCAAAGACAGGCATGGAGGTGTGCTGGTGGCAACCCCCAAGTCTGCTTAAGCTGATTCCAAATTCCAGACAAGCTGAGATGAGGCATGGGAAGGGGTTGAGCCTGCGGCCCCCAAAGCAGCGCAGGACCCCAGGGAGTGGACAGTGGAACGACACTGGGCCCCACCCCGTCTGGGCGCGCCTGCACAGACCTGCTCCTCCGGCCCCATACAGCCCGCCGGACCCCACGGAGCCGCAAGAAGCTGCAACTGGAGAACTGCTTCCAGTGGTGGTACGAGAAACTGATAGTCCTCTTCCATGGCCTCCAGAGAATGCTCTGGAAGCTGACGCACTGCCTGGCCTTTGAGACGTTCATCTTCCTGGTCGTCTGCCTCAACACCATCATGCTCGTGGCCCAGACCTTCGCCGAAGTGGAGATCCGGGGTGGTAAGAGCCAGGGAGCCCTGTTCACGTGCAGGAGGTCCATGATGCTGTTCCGAGACCTCCTGAGGCCTGACCCAGTCCCAAGAGACTGAGCCCGGCTTGCTTGCTCCCTACCCCTGGGAAGGAGTGTCCGAGTCTCCAATGAGGCTGGTTAGGGTTCCCTGGCCATAGAACTAAAAACCCCGCCGCCCAACGGGAGGCTTGCCGTTCGCGGCTGCGGCCAACAGGTGGCGCACCTGTTCTGGAAAAAGGCCGCTCTGGGTGGGAAGCCCAGGGTCTGGGCAGAGACCCTCAAGGAGGAGGCCCTGCACGGGTAAGAGTGGACAGCCTGGGAGGGCTGGCCCCTACCACCCCGCGGACTGGTCAAGGAGAGGACCGGCCGGAAGCCGACTATCCCAGGCTCTGCTCTGGGCACTGTGTCAATGTGTTCACCGCCCACACCCAAGTCTGCCCAGGGGACTGCAGACAAAACCAAGACACAGAGTGGTTAAGTCACACAGCAATTTAGGGCAGAGCCTGGGAAAGCCTAGGACTTGTGTGAGGACCCCGTGGTGAGGGCCAAGGCCGGGGGAGGGCGGGGGGCTGCAGTGGCCCTGAGCGAGCCCCTGCTGTCCCCACAGAGTGGCACTTCCTGATCTTGGACTGCATCTTCCTCTGCATCTACATGGTGGAAGCTCTGCTCAAGATCATCGCCCTGGGCTTTTCGTATTTCCATGACTTCTGGAACAACCTGGGTGGGTGAGGAGGGGGCCGGGAGGGGGCTGCTGACCTGCCTGGGGAGGGGAGGCTGGGGGTCAGAGAGGGCCCTGGAAGCAGCCGGCCTGGCTCAGGTGCCCGCCCTGCCCCCCAGACTTCTGCATCATGATGGTGGCCGTGCTGGACTTCACGCTCATGCAGCTCAACCCCCTCTCCTACTCCTTCTACCACCAAAGCCTATTCCGGATCCTCAAGGTCTTCAAGAGCATGCGGGCCCTGAGAGCCATCAGGGTCCTGCGCAGGCTCAGGTCAGCCAGTCCCGCCGGGGGTGGGGTGGGGGACTCCCACGGCCTGAGCCCCCGGGAATCGGTGATGCCCCTCCTGGGGGTGGGGGAGGGGAGGCCACTGCCTCCCACCCGTCTCCTCATCTTCAAGGCAGAATCAGCTGTGGCCACTCGAGGGTCCTCCCGAGCTGCCCCAGCCTCCCTCTCCTCCTGTGCCCACAGCTTCCTGACCAGCCTCCACGAGGTGACAGGGACCCTGGCCCGCTCCCTGCCGTCCATCACGGCCATCCTCGTTCTCATGTTCACCTGCCTCTGTATCCTGCACTGTGGGCGGCCTGGCGGGGGTTGGCGGGGTGGGGTCAGGGAGCGGGGTGGGGAGGTCCCGAGTGAGCACTGTGGGCAGGTTGGCGGGGTGGGGTCAGGGAGCGGGGTGGGGAGGTCCCGAGTGAGCACTGTGCGCAGGTTGGCGGGCTGGGGGCAGGTTGGCGGGCTGGGGGCGGGGCGCGGGGAAGGGGCGGGGCGCGGGGAAGGGGCGGGGCCCGCGAGCGCCACGGTGGCCCTGAGCAGCCAGTCCTCTTCTCCGTGGTCCTGCGCGCGCTCTTCCGCAAGTCGGACCCCAAGCGCTTCCAGAACATCTTCAGCACCCTCTTCACCCTCTTCACGATGCTCACCCTGGACGACTGGTCCCTCATCTACATGGACAACCGGGCCCAGGGTGCGTGACGGGCTGGCTGGCACGCCCTGAGGCTTCGGCCACCGGCTGGCAGGTGACCCCCGTCTCCCGCCCCAGGCGCCTGGTACATCATCCCCATCCTCATGGTCTACATCATCATCCAGTATTTCATCTTCCTCAAGTGAGCGCCCCCCCCCCCAGGTCGGGCCCCCCAACCCCTCGGGCCCCATGGAGCCCAGGGCAGGAGCCGGGCCTCTCCCTGCTGAGCACGTCCCCCACCCCCACCCCTCTGCAGCCTGGTGATTGCTGTCTTGGTGGACAACTTCCAGATGGCTCTGCTCAAAGGCCTGGAGAAAGTGAGGCAGGAGGTACTGCCCAGGGACCCCATCGGGAGGGCACAAGGAGGGGGCCAGCTGCCGTGGGGGGTGGGCGGTTTGGGGCCAGTAGGACCCAGGCCTCTTCTCCCCAGAGGGCGGCCCGGATCCAGGAGAACCTGTTGGATGACTCCCTGACGGAGCTCCGCCAAGCAGGTACCAGCCCTCCCCGCCTCGGCCCTACCTGGTCCAACTGGGGAGCAGAGCGGGGTCTCTCCAAGCCCCCCACCTCCTTCCACAGCCAGACACAGTGGAGTTCCCAGCTGCTTCTCAGGGCTCTGGGGCGACCCTCCCCAGGCCCGCAAAGCCGGTCATGAGAGATCCATGTGTGAGCCACTGCTTGGCCCGATGGTGATTCCCCCGCCCCCACCCATTTCCGTCAATGACTCGTGAAGTCCACAGCGCGTGCTCTGCCACAGGATGGGGCCAGGTGCCTTTGCGGGCCCTGTGGCCGCTGCGCTGTCCAGGGTCGCCTGGCTGATTCCACCGAGATGAGCGTTCCCATACACACTCACTCTCCCACACGCTGACTTTCTGATTCTGAGCCCGTTGGTTGGCTTCCTGCCTGGGGAGTCTCAGGACCCTAGAGTCTGCACCCCAGCACCCCACCGTTAGGACTGTTGGGGCCCGAGGGCCTCGGGGTTCCCTTGCCCCGCACCCGTGCCCTCCACCTGGGCTGGACACCCAGCGCAGACCAGCTGATACTGGAAAAGAGGTTCATAGCAAGTTGATGGGGCGTGGGCTTGCAGGACTGGCTGGATCCAGGATTCAAGTGATGACCGGCACTGGAGCTCCTTACCGCTCTGCCCTCCCCGCAGAAACAGGGTTCACTGCGTCCCAGAAACTGACCCTCCCTGGCTCTCGGTTGAATCACATGACCAGATCCGAGCCAATCCCTGCAGGGCCGCTCTGCTGGGCCAGCCCTTAGCCACAGTCCCCCAGGGCTGAGAAGGGGTAGAAGGGTGGTTCCCAAGGAAACCGGGGACACTTTCACCCAAAGACAAGGGAAGGGAAGCTGGACGGGCAAAGGAACGTGCAGACTGCCCGCTGTCCACGTGCCCTCGCGAGCAGCACCTGCCCTGCCGCTGAGCGGCGTCCCCTCACCGTCTCCCTGCACCCCTCTCCCGTCACAGTGCTGGTGACGGGCCTCCCTGCCCTTCCCCCAGAGCCCAAGGAGATCCGGAGCGAAGGCACCATGCAGAAGCAGCTGCTGGAGAAGAAGTTCGGGACCTTGACCGAGAAGTGAGCTCAGGGCGAGTGCCAGGGCGTGGCGGGCGGGGGCAGCTCGGGGCCTCCTTACCCTGGCCAAGGAGACCAACTGGAAAGAGGGGGGGCGTCTAGGGTGATGTGGGGGAGGGGCGGCCGGCGGGCGAGAAAGCCCAGCCCTGGCCCTCGCGCCCGCAGGCAGCGGCAGCTGCTGTTCCAGTTCCTGCAGCTGGTGGCCGGCGTGGAGCAGCAGCAGCAGAAGTTCCGCTCCCAGGCGTCCGTCATCGATGAGATCGTGGACACCGCCTTCGAGGTGAGGCCGCCAGGCCCCGGAGGCGGGGAGCAGTGGTCAGGGGAGGCGGCCCTGGGGCAGGCAGTCCTGGCTCAGCCCCCTCCCCCCTCCCCTTGCAGGCCGGAGAAGAGGACTTCAGGAAGTGAGCCGGCAGGGGGACACGACACATGGACGTCAGCCTCTCCAAGCTGCCCAGCCAGAGGCCGCCGGGACGGGTCCCAGATCTGCTGGCACGATTGTCCAGGCCCTGCAGGCCCAGGCCGGGCGTCCCAACAGTCCCAACAGGGTTTTAGCCCCAGTGGCTGTGCGTGTCCTCACTGGCCAGGCCGAGGGAGGGTGACGCAGGCAGAGGGCCAGGCCCAGGGCCGGCTGCGCTGGGAGGCGCGATACGCCAGAAACCTGCCCGGCGGTCAGGAGCCAAGGAACAGGCTGGCACAGCGCAGGATTGTCAGGGTCTTGGGCCCCAGGCATAGGGGGGCTCAGAGCCCAGGAACTCGGGCCTGGCAGGACCCCAGATCCAGTGTAAGGTGCTGCTCACCAGGGATATCACGGACCCAGAGGTCAGAGGTCATGGCCAGCCCCCGCCCTGCCTGGGCATAGACTACAAGAGCCTCAGTGGGGACAGGCTGGCAGGGAAGGCGGGGGCAGCCTCGTGGGGAGGCGGCAGCAGGAAATGAGGCTGGGGGCTGCTCCCAGCACCACCTGCGCCAGGGCCTAAAGGAGCTCCCCCCACTCACAGCTCCAGCTTAGGCAGAACGCCCGGAGCCCCCGTGCCCTTGGCCGGGGATGGCGGTGGCGTGGCTTGCCCAGCAGGCAGGGTCCAGCCCTGGCTTGGGGGCGCCCCTCCGGGGCAGGGCTCTCACGTGGTGGGCCCTGGCCTCTCACCTCCAGGGCAGGCCCACCCAGAGGCAGGAGTGGGGCCTCGGGACAGTCTTGCCGTCCCCTCCTCCCGGCTGGAGGACAGGAGCAGCACCCCCACACCCTGTCCCCCCCCATCCCGGGGGGAGGCTACCCCAGGGCCCAGGAATAGATGGCCCAGAGGAAATGCACGTGGGGTGGGGTCGCTGACCGACACCTCCCGCTCTCCCGTGGTGTGTCCGTGGCGGGGGGGTGCGTGTCCCCGTCCGTGGCGGGTCTGTGTATGTCTGACTGCTGTGTTGAAGGGTTCACTCCTCCCCAGAGAAGGTCCACCTTCCTGTGCACTGCCCGGTGAAGGCAGCTGGAGGGTGAACACCTGCTCCCCTCAGGCTGTGGGGGTAGACCTGGGGGGCTTCTTGCTCCGCCCCTGTCTGTCTGCTGAGGGTGGTGGGCGGGGCTGCGCTGTGTTGGGGGGCAGCAGTCACAAGTTTAGGTTCACAACCTTGCAGCTCTTTCTCTGTAAGCGACATTCGCCTGGGTCTGTCCCCCATCCCCCCTGCCCCTAGCAGATGGAGCTCGCTCCCCCTGGGGCTCCCCATCAAGCCCCTCCTAAGGGGGATAAGGTATTGGGGGTGGCATCCTGGGGTGAAGCAAGGTGCTGTCCTCGCTCTCCCGGTCCCTCTGCCTACCGGAGGTGGGCCCCAGGCAGCAGGGAGTCTTCCCAGGCTGGGAGCCAGCCTCATGCCTCCGAGCTGTGCCCACTCCCCGCCCCTGAGACCCCTGGGCATCTGTGCGTCTGATGGTGGAATGATTGAGGGGCTGCAGATCTTGGGGCTGCACCCTCAGCACCGCCTCTGGGGGGCGCCCTGTCGGCCGAGGGCAGAGGACACAGGCTGCTGCCAGCCCTGGGAGTGGGGGCGTGCAGTGCACAGAAGAAACCGAGGCAGGGGCCAGCATTGTAAAGCATGTAAAGCCGCCACCTGCGGTGCTGGCATCCCATATGGGCACCGGTTCGTGTCCTGGCTGCTCCACTTCCTAACCTGCTCTCTGCTGTGGCCTGGGAAAGCAGTGGAAGATGGCCCAAGTGCTTGGGGACCTGCACCCGCCTGGGAGACCCAGAAAGTTCCTGGCTCCTGGCTTCAGATCAGCACAGCTCTGGCCACCGCGACCATCTGGGGAGTGAAGCAGCAAATGGAAGACCTCTCTCTCTCTCTCTCTCTCTCTCTCTCTCTCTCTCTGTAACTCTGCCTTCAAATAAATAAAATCCTTAAAAAAAAAAAGAAGAAGAAGAGGAAGAAAAGAAACCAAGGCAGGAAGCGTGCTGGGGATTTATTGTGGCCGGGGCCAGAGCTGCCCTCGGCGGCCGCCCGCCAGGGGCCATCACAGTGGCACACAGTCCTGCTTCAGCAGTTTGGAGGAGTTCTGCCAGGGGACGACCAAGATCTCGAAGTCACAGCGCAGCTTCTGCAGAGCGAGCACGGGGACACAGGCTCAGCCCTCCCCTGCCCCCCGGCAGTCACTGCCCCCAGGACCCCGGGTCTGCAGCTGCTGCACAGCCCACATCCTCCCTCCACTCCGCACCCTTGGGAAGCCCCAGCCACCGCGCCGCCACCGCCTCCCCAGCCCCATCCTGGCCTGGAGGCTGAGTCAGCAGAGGGTCAGACAGGTTCAGCCAGGCCTGGCCAGCCTGACTAGTTCAGGATGGACACGCCGAGGGCAGGCTGGGCTCCGAAGGGGCTGGCACTGGGGGCCAGGGCTCTTACCTCCTCCTCTACCCCTGCAGCCAAGGGGCAGGTGGTGAGGTCCACGTGGTCTCCAGTGACCATGCTCTTCCTGCAGGCTGTGCTGCCCAGGTCCATGGTCAGGTAGTACTTGATGCCTGCCACCAGCTGGGGATGGCCGCAGGTCAGGAGTGGCCACCTCGCTCCCCCTCCCCGGCCTCCCAGCGTCCGGGACCCACTGGCTGCTCTGGCCTCAATGCAGCCCGGGGAGGGGGCGCGCTGCTGGGGGTACCCAGAGGGAAAGGCAGAGGCTTGGCACCTGCGCACACCTTCCCTTAGCCTGGGCTGCCAGTGCGGGGCGCGCTGTCCACTGCCCCGTCTGCAGCCCCTCCGCCGCAGCCCACCCCGCCGGGGACTCGGGGGAGCTAGGGGGACTCCGTTGTGCAGTACAGGGCTGGCGCCTGCCTTTGAAATCTGGAGACTGCGCCCCGTGGATGTCGGGCACGCGTTTGTTGTTAAACAGCGCAGGAAAAGCCGTGCCGGATTGCTCCTCGGGCGCCCCTCCCCCGCGGGGGTCGCCGGCTCCTCCCGGCCCGGGCCACCGGCCCCTCCTCACCTGGCTCTGCGCCTTGATGACTTTGGTGTCGCGGAAGAAGTAGGGGCTGTTGTTGCCCATGTTGTACCCGGCCACGGCCGCCTGCGCCGCCTTCTTCACCTGCGGGTCGCTGGGCGACAGGTTCTGGCGCTCTCCGGTTCTGCGCTCCCGGGGCCAGGCCCAGGCGTCCCCGGGCAGCGCCAGCAGGCAGAAGGCGAGCAGGGCCAGGCCCATGGCCAGTGCGAGGTTCGGACGCGCCATGGCCGTCGGAGTCAGTGCCCTGCCGGCGGCCCGCGCGGCTTTTACGCGCTCCGCGGCCCCGCCCGGCCCCGCCCGCCGCCCGTGTTGCGCCCCCGCAGGCGGGGGGGGCGGCGGGGGGGCGGCCGCAGGCCAGGAGGGGGGGGCGGGAGCCGAGAGGCTGCTGGCACCTTCTGGGCGTCCGTGTCCTGCCAGGCTCTAGGGGACCCTGCGCGATGAGGCCTGGGGGGCACCCTAGGTCCGGGGGACCCCCGTATGCCCCACGCTTTCCCGCTCTTTGGGAAGAGGACAAGCGCCTCCGCGGGGGGGGGGGGGGGGCTCAGCGAGGGCTGTCACCTTGTCCCAGTTGGGCGACCTTGGGGAGGGGGCGTCCCCTACCCGCTCACTGTACAATGGCTGTTGTGAGCGCCCCACGAGCTGATACAGCTGGGTGCTACGTAAGCAGCAGGTGGGTAGGAGAGGCCACCTGCTGGGCCCGGCTGTTTACAGCCGTGGGACTCGCCTCTGCACCCACTCGGGACACAGAAGGGACGCCGAGCAGACGTGCCCTGGGACACCAGCTGGTGACACGGAGGCAGCCGTCCCTGACATCTGTGGCCGAAACCAGACGGTGCCCACAGGCCGAGAGCTGCCGGGATGAATGGGGCTGTAGGCCAGCTGTGCCACCCGCTGACTTGGGACGGGTGAGGCGCGGTGCCAGGCCTGTCCCGGCCTCTGGTCTCCCACGGGCGCACGGCGTGTGCTGCAGAGGTGGCGGGAAAGCAGCAACCCACGGCTGTTTGGGGAGAATCCCACTATTAGCGTCTGAAAAACAGCATCGGAGGCAGGGGCGGGCAGTCGGCACCGCCACATCCGTGCCAGAGTGGAGGGTTCAGGCACCAGCTCTCGCCCAGTTCCAGCTTCCCGCTCATGCACACCCGGGAGGCGACAGGTGATGGCTCAGGGTTCGGTTCCTGCAGCCCATGGAAGACGGAATTGAGCCCCCGGCTGCTGGCCTCAGCCTGGCGTTTGGAGAGTGAGCTCAGCCAGCACGTGAGACAGAACCCTCACTCTCTCCCTCTGACTTCCGAATAAATAAAATGAATAAAAGCTTCTTTAAGACCAGCCCTGCGAAGTCTGGCCCTTGTTGGTCTTCTCCGCCCGTGTGTTCACTCTGTCCCACCTTGTGCATTTCATGACACGTTTCTTATCTTCGGGGCACGAAAATCTTACCAGTGCTTGGATCCCTAGGGGGTCTTAACTGGGGCTTGGAAGGGACTGTGGGCTTGTTTATTTATTTTTAAAGAGTTATTTATTTATTTGAAAGAGTTACATAGAGAGAGAAAGAGAGGCAGAGAGGTCTTCCATCTGCTGGCTCACTCCCCAAATGACCACAATGGCCAGAGGTGAGCTGATCCGAAGCCAGGAGCCAGGAGCTCCTTCCGGGTCCCCCAGGCGGGTGCAGGGGCCCAAGGACTTGGGCCATCTTCTGCTGCTTTCCCAGGCCACAGCAGAGAGCTGGATCGGAAGTGGAGCAGCCGGGACTTGAACCGGCGCCCATATGGGATGCCGGCACTGCAGGTGGCGGCTTTACCGGCTACGCCACAGCGCGGGCCAGAGACAGTGGTTTATAGTCCCTGATAAACAACTGCCGGAGCTGTCATCATGACATGAGTAGGCACTCTGTTTACCACCCCCCACCTTCCTGGGCTACTTGGAATCCCTGGACCATAACAGGAAATGATGTCTCCATGGGGACCCAGAGTCCAGCCACCTGCCCCTGCCCTCCTTGGCCCAGCTATGGACAACAGGCCGTCACCTCCCAGTCACTGTCATCCAGCGGCGGGCTCAGTGTCTGCCGTGAAAGCAGACCCCGGCGGTGGGACAGCTGACCTGAGCTTGGCTTCACCGGGAGGCCGAGGCCAGGCGGGGACCTTGAGTTGAGAGCCGAGGCGGGCTAGGGCGAGAGGTCTGGGATGGCACCCGGGGAAGCGGTGGGGGAGACAGGTGACAGGTGAACAGAGAAGTCAGGACACTTGTCTGAGGTCACACAGCAGGACGTGGAGCAGCGGTACGGGAACGAAAGACCGCCAGGCTCTTGCTGAGCCCCGGGGCCCCCACGTAGATCCCCCATTCACAACAGCCCAGAAGCCGTGATGGGCACCTCTTCCCACAGGGAGGAGGTGGCGTTGAGGCCTGCAGGGGTACCCATGTGCCAGCAACGTCCCGGTGTGGGAGTCTGCTGGGGGCACGGTGTCCTGGGGGGGTGCTTTTCCAGGGCTGGGCACCTCCTACCCTGCCCGCTCTGGCTTCTGCAAGGCGGCCTGGGCCAGCCGTGAGCTCGAGGCAGGCGCATTCGGCAGTGTACCTGCGGCTCAGACGCCCCGACACCTCCTAACCCCAGGACCCCGCCCTCCAGGCCTTCTTGCTGTTTCTAGAACCCTCTTCCTTGAGCCTTCAGCTAGACAGGGCACTTCCCTCTCCTGTCCTGACACATCCCCTCGGGACAAGGACAGCCGAGATGCGACAGGGACAGCACTCGCCCTGCAGTGGGGCTCCCGAGTGCCCGGGGCTCGGTGGGAACTTCACCACCGACAGGGACTGACGCCCACAGCTCTGAACCAACTTCACCCCAGGCCCCTGCGGAGTGGAGGAGGAACCGCGCAAACCACGGCTGGCTGGGTCTTCAAGGTCATCGTCAGTCAAGGCTGGGAGTGACCGGAGGAAGAGCCCGGTCCCCGAGGGAGCGCCATGCTGGGAGGGGGTCCTTCCAGGCTGTCTGGAGGTGTCTGGGGCTTGAGTTGTCCAGGCAGCCCCCCGCTTCCTCTCCTAGGGTGGGAGCCCTTCAGGTCCCCCGAGTGCCTGCATTGGGTTCACCCCAAGCTTTCGGCGGGATCTGAGCACCCACTGCCAGACAAGCTGAGGGGCCACACGCTCTGGCCTGGGGCAGCCGAGGGGTGGGCCCCTAACTGCTGACTTCCTGGCCCTACCTGTGCCCCCAGAGGAGCCGGTGGCACTGCGGCCGACGCTTAAATCAGCCCTTGGGCAGCCTCACCACCCGCCCCACTTGCCTGGCCGGCTTTCCAGGCGGTGGTGCCTTTGGCCTACAGGCTGGCTTGGGCTGGCCCTGAGAATCTAGTCCAGATGTCCCTTGTCCCCTGCTGCCCCAGGACTGACCCAGGAACAGTGTGGGGCGCCTCCTGTCATAGCCTCTGCCTCGACGCCCAGAAGACGTGAGGCAGCAGGCCCGGCGGTGGGCCTGGGATGACACAGGAGGAAGAGGCGGCACGAGACGCAGCGTGCCACAGGGTCCCCGCGCCTCAGCCAAGGAGCAAGGCCAGGCAGCCAGGTGGGCTTCCTGGAGGAGGGTGCTCCATGGCCTCGCAGAGTGGAACCCCCGGAGCCCGGGAGCATCAGGACACGAGCCAGCATCCCCGGGGGGTCCCAGGAGGGGCCCAGCCCCGCGCTCCCCTCCCCCCGCCGACAGGCCTAGTTCCTGACTTGGTGTAAAATTGTTCCATCCCCAGGACTGCACTTTAGTCTTCTAGAAAAGGACACGGAACAGGATGACGGCGCTGCCACCCCGAGCGGCAGGCGGAGAGTGGAAACGCTGCCTCCGCCCGCGGCCCCTCCCTCCCCACGGGAATCGCGGCTTCTTCCCACCACTATTGACTTTTGCAATAACGCGTTTCCTTGTTAGCTTTATCACCTAGGGAGGGACCCCTAAGCAAGAATACACTTCATGGGAAGCCACCAAGCCATTGTCTTTGAACATTTTATTTATTTACTTGAGAGGTAGAGTTACGAGAGAGATAGAGAGAGAGTCTTCCACCCACTGGTTCACTCCCCAGATGGCTGCAACGGCCGGAGCTGGGCAGATCTGAAGCCAGCAGCTTCCTCCAGGTCTCCCATGTGGGTGCAGGGGCCCAACGCCTTCCCAGGCCATTAGCAGAGAGCTGGATCGGAAGAGGGGCAGCTGGGACCGGGATGCCAGCGCTGTAGGCGGAGGCCTAGCCCACTGTGCCACAGCGTCGGCCCCGCGACGCTCTCTGGTTTCACTCGCTCCGCTGAGATGCCCGATGCCCTGACAGCCACCTGGCCGCTTTCCGGCCCTGCAGCTCCACTGGGAGGCCCGCTGTGCTACCCACCGGGGGTCAGCAGCGGTGCCCGAGGAATGCGGCTGTGAGCATGCCCAGGGCCCCGCAGGTGTTCAGGAGCTCCTTGGAGGAATTGCTGGCTCACAGGGTGTGTCTGTTTTACTAAGTAACACCCGGCTGTTTTCCCAAAGTGCTCATACCAACTTCCACTCCCACCTGATCCCAGTTCCTGTTGCTCCATTTCCCACCAACGGCTGGTGCTGTGTGGCTTGGGGTGGCTGTCAATGGCATCTGTATTCGATTACTCGAAAAACCGACCCTTCTCCCCTGCGTATCACTGTCAGGCTGTCTCCGCTTTCCCCACTTTGCTATTGCACTACCTGCCTTTTCACTTGTCTTCATTTTATTTCCACGGCAGAGACAGACGGAGCGCTTCAGCCCACTGGCTCACTCCCCACCCAAATGCTTCCAACAGCCAGGGCTGGCCCAGGCCAAAGCCAGGAACCCAGACCTCAGTGCCCGTCTGCCCCGTGGGCGCAGGGGTCAGGCTCTCCAGCCGTCACCTGCTGCCCGAGCAAGCTGGACGGAAGAGGCGGCGGCGGGACTCGAACCCAGGGACTCTGCGCCTGCGTCTGGGCTGAAGCTCCGCTTGTGACCGGATGTGGCCGTCTAGATCCCACTGCAGACATCCTCCCCCACGCTGGGCTGTCTCTTCACGTGACGTTCTAGGTGAACAGAAGTTCCCGACGTTCATAGACAATCTCAACTCTCTCTCAGATTCATCCCTCTTGTAATATTATTAAAAAGCATTTAAAACTTATCCTGATTTTTATATTTGGATTTTTAAAAAAAGATTTATTTATTTGAAAGGCAGAGAGATAGAGAAAGGAGAGACAGCTTCCACCTGCTGGCTCAAACCCCCCCCCCAAAAAAAGGCTGTAACAGGGGAGCCAGGAGCTTCTTCAGGGTCTCCCACGTGGGTGCAGGGACCCAAGCACTCGGGCCACCCTCCATTGCTTTCCCAAGCGCATTAGCAGGGAGCTGGATCGTAAGTGGAGCAGCCAGGACTTGAACCAGCACAAATATGGGATGGCGGCACTGCAGGTGGTGGCTTAACTCACCGGGCCACAGCACCAGCCTCTACACTGGATTTTAGTATCTACCGCGCGCACCTCACGAGAAACCTGATCTGTTTACTCGGTAAGCCGCTCCTCGCAGACACAGCTTGGCATAGCCACGACTGGCAGTCAGCGTGCCATGTGGTCCCTACAACCACCCTCGAGAGGGGAAACTGAGGCTGAGAGGCTTCCAGGCACCAGGGCTTCCGACTCATCTTGAGTCCAAGCCTGTCTACTTCCCCACTAAGTCCAGGGCAAATCATTTGGCCTGGGTCCCAGGTTCCCAGGTCTCTCACCTGTAAATGAGAAAACTCATCACTGCGGAGGAAAACGATGTTTACAAACACCCTAGCTTCAGGTCTGGTCCACATGGGGCCGGCGCTGAGGCACCGCGGGTTAAGCCGCCACCTGCAATGCCAGCACGCATCAGTGACAGGTCACGGCCCAGCTGCCTGCTTCCAATACAGGTCTGCCAACGCGTCTGGCAAAGCAGCGGAGAAAGGCCCAAATCCTTGGGCCCCTCCACGCGTGTCGGAGACCTGGACAGAGCCCAGCCCTGGCCATTGTGGCCACTTGGAAAGTGATAAACATCCTAGCTTCAGGTCTGGTCCAGACCTTTCTCTGTCCCTCTGCCTTTAAAATTAATAACTCTGGGGCCGGCGCTGTGGCGCAGCAGGTTAACTCCCTGGCCTGAAGCGCCGGCATCCCATATGGGCGCTGGTTGGAGACCCGGCTGCTCCACTTCCAATCCAGCTCTCTGCTGTGGCCTGGGAAGGCAGTAGAAGGTGGCCCAGGTCCTCGGGCCCCTGCACCCATGTGGGAGGCGCAGAAGCAGCTCCTGGCTCCTGATCAGCACAGCTCCGGCCATTGCAGCCATCTGGGGAGTGAACCATCAGATGGAAGACCTCTCTCTCTGCCTCTCCTCTCTGTTGGCTTTGACGCCAACTGGGATGCCAGCACCGAATCACAGGGCCAGCGCTCCAGCCCCAGCTCCGCTGACTCTGGTCCCCCGCTGGTCTGTACAGATGCACCAGGTGACAATGCAGGTACTTGGTTCCCTGCCCCAGGTTGAGTTCCAGGCTCCTGGCTTCAGCCTAGTGCAAGCCTGGGTGCTGGGGGCATTCAGGAAGTGGCCATTCGATGGGAGATCTCTGTACCTTCCCCCTACCCCACAAAAATAATCAGGGCTGAAACACAGTCCAAGTATAACTCGGCTGTGACGCCCACACTCGCTCCCCTCCTAAAGGTGACAGGGCACACAGAGGCTGGGGCGGGTGCCGTGATGACTGGCAGGTGCTCTCCCACACCCGGTCCACCCTCTCCCTGGCACCCGACTCCCACTGCTTTTTCCACCAGGTGCTGCCGAGCCTGGCTGTTGACAGACAGCTGCTCCGACACAACCTGTCTGACTCCCAGGCAGAGGTCAGCCCACGCTCTCCCACGTCACCCAGGGATTGGGACACTCGGCGGCACCTGCCCGAGGCCCACGTGGCCGGGGCGGCTGCCAGTTTCGGTGTTCGCCGATAAGGAGTGCGAGACCCAGCGAACCCCCGGGGGGCCGCGGCTCCCGGCCCACTCGCTGCGCGACACACGGAGCACGGTGAAGGCCACTGACTTTATTGATTTAAAAACAGGACAGTGACGGTTCTGCCACACAGGGAGCCAAACGGCAAACAGACCGGAGGTGCGGGAGGGGCGGGAAGCCGCGGTCGCGGTGGGACCGGCAGGGGACTGCGGGGAGCGGCATGCAGGAGTGAGCTCCGGAGCCGTGGCAACGGTGAGGGCGGGCGGCGGGCGTCGCAGGTGAACAACCTTTTCCCATGAGGCGCACAGGGCCGAGCCCCCTCCGCTGCAGACTCCGGGCCGGGGGGCTCCCCGGGCGGCTCACAAGAAGGCGTCACACCACTCCCGGAGGCACCCGAAGCAGTCCCGGGACTGCTTGGCGTTGGCGCCACAAGTGTCCTTCAGCCACTCCCGGAACAGGTCCTCGTCTTTCTTTAGCACCAGAAACTGGCCAAGGACCACGTAGGCCTGCAAAACACAGGGAGAGACGGCCAGTGCCCCCGGGCCGCTCCTCCGGCTTCAGGGTCACAGGCCCCGCCCCGGCCCGGCGGCCACCCCGCACCTTGTCGAACCCCCTTTCCTCCAGCTTCTTCCCCAGGACCTCGCCGATGCCGGCCAGGCTGCCCACCGGCTTCTCCCCCATGGGCTCCGCCACGAAGTCCCGGTGCTTTTGCGACGTCGTCATCTTGCTCGGGCTTAATCTGGGAATCCCAAGAGAAGCCGGGTTAGGGCCTGCGGGCAGCTCACGCGGAGGGGCAGCCAGGCCAGCCGCGGGGCGAGTCCCCCCGGCTCATCTCCCCGATGAGAGAACGGGGGTCCGGGGGGGGTCTTTCTGCCACTACTCCAGAGGACCCCGCCCACTTCCCGCGGGAGCGGGGTTTGCCGACATCCCAGAAGGAAACACTCTCGCGGCCGAACAGGTGGCGCGCGCGGGTTCCCGGGCCCGGGAGCTGCCACTCCTCCTGTGACCTTGGCTGGGCAAAGCCGCTGACCCCGCCTGGGACCGGACAGTCACGTGGCACGCCGCGCCCTGACCCACCCGGCCGCCGCAGCCCCCTCGCCGCGCGAACGCGCAGCCCCGCAGCGTCCACGCCGCGCGCGCCGCCGCGCCGGCCCCGCCCCCCGGCGCGCGCCGCCCCGCCCCCGCCGCGCTCCACGGCTCCCACGCGCCGCCGCCCGCCCGCTGCGCGGCCCGGCCGGCCCGGGGCCGCGTCCTCCGGCCCGCCGCGGCGCCTGGGCCCGCCCGCCTCCCCGCGCCTCCTCCGGCCCCCAGCCGCGGCCCTGCTCCGCGGCCCGCGCGCACCGGCAGCTCCGGCTCCCGCAACGGCTCCTCCCGCCACCCGGCCGCTCCCGCCGCTCAAGCCACTAGAACTTTCTTCGACTTCCGCTTCCGGGTCGCCTCGGGAGCCGCCTTAAAAAATAGCCAAATTGGGCGCGTCTATCCCCTCCGAGCCACAGAGTGGAGACGCGCCCCCCACCCCATGTCCCGAGCCTGCAGGGCGTCCTTAACGCCCCCTCGCGGGAAGCCGGCTCGTCCCCGCCGCCTCACTTCTCGGGCCTCTCCTTGGCGTGCGGGAGAGGACTGTCGGGGGAAGACTTTCTCTCTGCTGCCCGACACGCGGAACGCAAGGGCTTGGGCTTGACTGACCTGGCGAGGGGAAGAGTTAGAGGGACGGACGAGGGAGGGGACGGGTGAGCGGACGGCTTCCGGGGGAACGGCGGAAGTTCAGTTCCTGGAAGGGACTGAGTTGGACTGCGGGGACCGGGGACGCCGGGGGCCGGAGCACAAGCGGACGGCGCTGTCTGACGGCCGGCAGCTGCTGCTTGTGTGCTTTCGTCGGCTCAGCGTTGAAGTGTGGGCGTCCAGCCTGGCGACGTGGGGGTTTCTCGGACAGCACCCGGAAAGCGAGGGCCGGAAAGTAAGCTTGGTCTATCCGAGGGTCTGTCCTCCGAGCTGGAGGGGCAGGAAGACGGGGTGGGGGGAGGGCGGCAGCTGCAGGCGGCACGTCGGAGGTCGGAGTGCCCCCAGCCTCGTGGTACCCGGACCCGCCCCCTGGCCAGCTCCCAGGTGCGGCAGGTGCGGCTGGCCAGGGCCGCGGCCCCCTCGTCCGTGCCCAGCGGCGCTGGACCGGGGCGTGCCTGCGTGCTGAGGACGGCACCGCCCGGAGAGGGCGCGGAATGGCTTTTCTGGACCCCGCGCGCAGCTGTGTGGTCATCCCGGCGTCGAAGGGAACAGGAGTCCACCTTCCGCGGCTGCTCCGGGCCGTTTTCGTTATCTCGCCCTCTGACGATCTGAGCCAACTCTTGGGGCCCAGGGAAGCGAAGGCAGCCAGGTAGGCGTCAGGGCCCCTCACCACGGCGCTCTCCCCTCAGTAACACGTCGCGTCCTGGCTCCGGAGCCTGCCAGTCCGGGGGATCTGGCGCTGTCTGCGGCCCTGCCCGCCCTGGCCAGGACCCAGCATGTCTCAGGCCACCAAGAGGAAGCACGTGGTGAAGGAGTTGCTGGGGGAGCCCGTGGTGCCCTCGGAGCAGCAGCAGATCGTGAGGGTGAGCGCGCCCCGCCCTGGGCCCCGTCCCGCCCTGCCCCCCGCCCCGCCCTGGGCCCCGCCCCGCCCTGCCCTGGGGCCCCGCCCCGCCCTGCCCTGCCCTGGGCCCCCGTCCCGCCCTGCCCTGGGCCCCTGCCCCGGCCTGCCCCCCGTCCCGCCCTGCCCCCCGCCCCGCCCTGGGCCCCCCGTCCCACCCTGCCCTGGGCCCCCGTCCCGCCCTGCCCTGGGCCCCCGCCCCGCCCTGGGCCCGTGGGTGCAGGAGGGCGCCGTGCGGCTCGCGGGCTGTGAGCTCTGGTGAGGCAGACTGGTGCCTGCTCTTTCCCGGACCAGGTCCTCCGGACCCCCGGGAACAACCTGCACGAAGTGGAGACGGCCCAGGGGCAGCGCTTCCTGGTCAGCATGCCCTCCAAGTACCGGAAGAACATCTGGATCAAGAGAGGTGAGGGGCGGCCCCGCGGCGGCCGAGCCGGCCGAGGCTTTCCCGGAGGGGCAGGACTGACGGCTCTCCTGCTCCGCCCCAGGAGACTTTCTCATCGTCGACCCCATCGAGGAGGGCGAGAAAGTGAAGGCTGAGATCTGCTTCGTGCTCTGCAAGGACCACGTGCGCTCCCTGCAGAGGGAGGGGCGATGGTAGGCGGGGCCACCGCGCTAGGGAACGGGCCCGGCGAGACGTTGCCTCGTCCGCTCTGACCCTGGTCCTTCCCTTGGCACAGGCCGGAGGCCTTCTCTGCAGTGGCGGAGGACCACAGCAACAGCAGGAGCAGGTGAGAAACAAGCGACCCCTCCCGTGTGAGCTGGCGGGCAGACCCCTCCCGTGTGGGCGGGGGCGAGGCCTGGCGGGCAGACCCCTCCCGTGTGGGCGGGGGGTGGGTGAGGCCTGGCGGGCAGCCCCCTCCCGTGTGAGCTGGCGGGCAGACCTCTCCCGTGTGGGCGGGGGGTGAGGCCTGGCGGGCAGACCCCTCCCCTGTGGGCGGGGGCGAGGCCTGGCGGGCAGACCCCTCCCGTGTGGGCGGGGGGGGGGGGTGAGGCCTGGTGGGCAGCCCCCTCCCGTGTGGCCTGGCGGGCAGCCCCCCTCATGGATGTCAGCTTGTGTCCCGGCTGCTCCCCTTCAGTGCAGCTCCTCTAGGGGTTTGGGAAGAGCAGTGGAAGGTGGCCCACGTGGGAGTCCGGATGACGCCCAGCCCGGCCGCGGCAGCCATCTGGGGAGTGACCAGATGTCTGTCTCTGTGGCTCTGACTTTCAGATAAATCTCGGGGGGTAAGAAGACAAGCCTTAGGGTGGGGGAAACAAACAGGGTTCACGCTGGTGCTGTTGAGGGAAAGTACAGCTTCTTTCCCCCGTGACGGGGTGCTGGGGGAGAGCCCCACATGCGTGGAGTGATAGGTGGGTGTGTCGCTGTTGGGAAGCCAGGTGCCCTGGGTTTTCCCACTGCTGCTGTGACCCCGTCTTTCCCCTTGGTCTTCAAGGCAGCACTGTGCTTTGGTGGGCCGGTGGTCTTCCTTTTGTGGGACTCCTTGGCTGCAGAATGGTTTTCCCCGAAGATGCTGGGCTGAGTGTCCTCTTCCGCCCACAGACAGACTCAGCCCGAACTCCCAGCCGAGCCGCACTCGCAGGAGTCCAGCTCTGAAGACGACTCTGACCTCTTCGTCAACACCAACCGCAGGCAGTACCACGAGAGCGAGGAAGAGAGTGAAGACGAGGAGACGGCCTGAGGCCAGGGACCGCCCTCCGCTGCTCAGGGACGAGGCCCTGGCTCCCCTGGGCTTGGACATTCCAGGTGCCCTGGATGGGAGAGAGGCAGGCGCCCTCTCTCACCGATTCTCTCGCAGGCGAATTAAACCCCCGGTGGGCGGTGACCTGCACTGGTGTCTGAGTGGCTCTCTGCCGGGGGGGACTGGATGCAGTCTCGGGGGAGACCCTCTGGCCGCTGGGTGGGAAAGAAATGGCAAATGGCCGAAGTCTCCTGAGGGCTTTATTTGCTCTGTTCTCTCTCCTGGGACGCTGAGAAAGCGCCAGGCCCTGGGCGCTGCCTCCTCGCGCCGTGTAACCACGGGGACCGGCTGCACTGGATGCGCTGTTTGCCGCCGGTACTGATGCAGGCTCTCAGGGTTGCGGCCCGAGGAGCTGGTCCCCACCGCCTCCGAGAGACACTCGGGATGAGCGCCCTGGTGCCGTGCGAGCCACGTCCCTGCCTGTGTGGCCATTTTACCACACGAGCGCTCAGGCCATGGTGCCTTGGACATCCCCTGTTTGGATCCCATCTTCGTCCCACCCTTAACTGTAACCTTCAGAACATGTAGTGTGGTCAGCAAATCTCTGTATCCATAAGGTTTTTTGTTTCTGTGTTTTTTTTTTTTTGTTTTTTTTTTTTTTTGTTTTTTGTTTTTTAAGGTTTGTTGATTGAAAGGCAGTGTCGGGGAGGGAGAGGCGGACAGACCCCCATCTGCTGGTTCACTCCCCACATGTCTGCAACGTCTACGGGTAGGCCAGGCCTCCTGTGTGGGCGGCAGAAACGCAGGTGCTTGGGCGCTAGCTGCTGCCTCCTGGTGCCTTGGCAGGAGGTGGGGTCAGAAGCAGAGTAGCCCGGACTGCAGCCAGGGAATCCGTGCGGGCGCACGCGTCCCAGGTGGCAGCTGAACGCAGTAGCACCAGGCCTCACTCTGAGTGGCCACACCCACTCGGTGCCTCCCTCTCAGTGGCCACACCCACTCCTGATGTTGCTGCGAACTTGCTGTCACCTGAGGACGGCGCCGTCCTCACTCACGGACTTGGCGCCTCAGCTCCGGGGCCCGGGGTCAGAGGCCGCCTGTGGCTACTCAGACCATCTCTGCCCACTGGCGGTCGGTGAACCAGGTTACCCCACTTTTTTTTTTTTTTTTTAATTTAATTATTTGAGAGAGAGGTCTTCCATCCACTGGTTCACTTACCAGGTGGCCACGAGGGCCGGAGCTGCACCAATCCGGAGCCAGGAGCTTCTTCCGGGTCTCCCAGGGGGTGCAGGGGCCCAAGCACTTGGGCCATCCTCCACTGCTTTCCCAGGCCGCAGCAGAGAGCCGGATCGGAAGTGGAGCAGCCGGGTCTTGATCTGGCGCCCATACAGGATGCCGGCACTGCTGGCGGTGGTGTCACCTGCTCTGCGCAGCGCCGGCCCCGGTCGCGTTTTGAGAGCTTTGTGGCTGTGCCCTGCGGGCGTTGACCTAGTCGCTGCTCTTTCACTGAAGTCCACCTCCCAGCATGGCCATCACCTCAGCTGGTGCATTTTCTGCGCCCGTGACGGAGCCGTCCAGCGGTTTGCTCCCTGGGTCCTTGTTAGCCCAGCGCTAAGGAAGGCCCTTGTCTTCTGGTCGGGCCTGCTGCCTGCAGCCCTGGGCACTCCCGGGAGCCCCGAGGGTTCCCTACAGCGACAACACCTGAGCGGTGTGTCCTCCACCCCGGCCTCGCTCCACTGCGCCCCGTGCCCCGCCCCCTCCTGCACTCCCTCTGCTCCCAGCCTCCTGCACTCTGTCATCTGAACCCTGACCCTGGGTGAACCCGTCACTGTCCACACCCGAGTCACTCGCCAGGCTGGAAGGCCACTAGTCGACCTCATGTCCGGGATTAGCAGCCTGAGCAGGACACTCGGCACTGCCCGCAGTCCCTGTAGGTGTCGATTTCAGAACTTCCGTCCCGTCTGCCGTATCCCGCTGCCGTGGAGGGTCGTGCCCACCGCAGCTCACATGTCGTTAAGAAATGGTAGCCTTGGGGCCGGCACTGTGGCGCAGCCGGTTAATACCCTGGCCTGCAGTGCCGGCATCCCATATGGGCGCCGGTTCGAGACCCGGCTGCTCTACTTCTTGTCCATCTCTGCTGTGGCCTAGGAAGGCAGTGGAAGGTGACTCAAGTCCTTGGGCCCCGCCACCCGCGTAGGAGACCCAGAAGAAGCTCCTGGCTCCTGGCTTCGGATCGGCGCAGCTCCGGCCGTTGTGGCCCATTGGGGAGTGAACCATGAGACGGAAGACCTCTCTGCCTCTCCTCTCTGTAACTCTTTCAAATAAATAAATCTTAAAAAAAAAAAAAAAAGTAGCCAAAAACAAGGAGCCACGTTTTTGCCTGAGCCCTGCCCCGCCTTGATTCTGCTGCAGTGGGACTGGGCCTGGGCCTCTGGGACGGGTGGGTTCGTGGTGTTCTGAGCCGGAAGAAAAGCGCTGGAGAGAACCCTTGCCGGTAGCAGCCTCGGGGATGTCGCGCACCGGCTGAAGCCGGCAGTGTCTGCCTCCTCCCTGGTGCCAGAAGCTTGCCCCTTGCTCTCCTGAGGACGTCGTCGGTTTTTGTTCGATTTTGACTTGGCCTTTTCGGGGGAGGGGCAGACTTGGGGGTCACGCCACAGGATGTGTTGGCATCCAGCGTGCTAAGAACCTGTACTGACGAGCTGCGCCTCATCCACTCCCTGTTGCTTAGTGTGATTTAGTGCGTGTGTGTACACGAGTGCTTCCGGATGTTACGGAAGACTGGGGTGCGCTTTCGGTGCAGGATTGGAGGTGCCAGGTTCAAGTCCCGGCTCCCCCCTCCTACCCAGCCACCTGCCAGTGTCTGTCTTGGGAGGCAGCAGATGATGGCTCAAGCGGTTGGGCCCCTGCTGCCCACTTGGGACAGCTGAATGAGAGTCCCAGCCTCTTGGCTTTGGCCTGGCCTAACCCTAGCTGTTATGGACATTTGGAGAGTCAACCAGCAGATGAAGGGTCTCATTTTGGTGCAAAATTTTTTTGAAATCCATGGATAGTGTTTTCTTTTTAGATGTATTTGAAAGGCAGAGTGACAGAGGGCGAGACAAAGATCTGCTGGTCCACTCCCCAAATGGTGCAGCAGTAGGGGCTGATCGAGGCTGAAGCCAGACAACCAGAACTCCAGCAGGTCTCTTGTGGGTGGCAGGGTCCAAGAACTCGGGTCACCTGCTGCTTCGCCAGGTACACCGGAGGGAGCTGGATCGGAAGTGGAGCAGCCGGGACTCGAACCAGCATTCATGTGGGATGCCAGTGTCGCAGGTGGCGGCTTAAGCCACTGAGCCACAATGCTGGCCCCTAATTTCATGTTTTGAAAAGTTGATTCCTTATCTGAGAGGCAGAAAGAGAGCTTCCACGCACTGGGCCACTTGCCAGACGCAAACCCATGGCTGGCAGGAACCCGTCGCCAAGCCATCACCACTGCCCCAGGTGTGTGTCACAGCAGGCTGGGGTCGGCAGCCTCTGAGCTGAACACCGAGCCTCTCCTGTTTTATTAAAATTTATTTATTTGAGATAATTTGAAAATGAGAAGGGTCTTCTACGTGCTGGTTCACTTCCCTTATGGCCGCAGTGACCAGGGCGGGGCCAGGCGGAAGCCAGGAGCTGCTTCTGGGTCTCCACGTGGGTGCAGGGGCCCAGGGACTTTGTTACCCTCCACCGCTTTCCCAGGCACTTTGGCAGGGAGCTGGGTTGCGAGTGGAGCAGCCGGGACTCAAACCAGCATCCGTGTGGGAGGCCGGCTCCACAGGCAGTGGCTTAGTGTGCCACCCACAGCATCGGCCCCTCTGTCCTGTCACCGACGTCGGCATTCATGCTGGCCTAGCAGATGGTTTAGACGTTCCATCAGTTTATTCAGGCTTGAGTAGCGGGTGTGTTGCGCAGGAATGTGTTTATAAAATACCTGCGCTTGGTGGTGGCCTCTCTAGGGGCGGGTCTCTGCCTTTAGATTCTGTGGCATTCGGGCTACTGAGGGTTTCTGTCAAGTTTGGTCATTTATGTCATCCCATGATCACCTGTTCATACATGAAACTCTGGAGCAGTCTCATGGGGGCTGCCTGTACGTGCAGACCCCTGCAGGCAGGCCGGCCGCGGCCTGCTGTTCCCAGGTTCCCCTGGGTCCCTGTACGTGCAGACCCCTCCAGGCAGAGCTGGCCGCGGCCTGCTGTTCCCCTCACGGTCGTCTCCGTGCCTGCTCCGCCGCTGTTTTCTGTGAGCTCCAGTTTACACGTGGTCCTTACGGGGACCCCTCCGTGTGTCAGGAAGGCCGGGGCTGGGGCCAGGGGGCTGGATGAGCCGCAGCTGACCACAGGGCTCTGTCCCACGGCAGGCAGGCAGGTAGGGGGCCGCGTGTGCGTGCTGGGGTTGCAGCCCCCGCCGGTGGGTGTTTGCTCGCTTCTGGCCTGGTGAGCTGTCTTCCCGGTCACGGAGTTTGTCTCCTGTGCTCGGGCTGTGCGCCTTCCTCTGAGGACGGAGTCCCCACCTCACTGGACACCGCATCTAGAAGCTTGGCCCTGAGTCTGAATTTCACCTAATAAACCCCCTTTTCCCCAGAAAACCTCCCCTTGTGTCTCTCCGCCACGTGGCCTCTGTGGGCTGCAGCCCAGCACCCTGACGGAGGCGGGCTGCTTGTCCCCGGCACTGCGCTCTGTAGTGTCCACGCCCCTGCTTTCCCGTGAGGGGACGGAGAAAGGCCCAGACTTGTCCATTTACAGCTAGAACCCTCTGCCATGGGAACGCACCCCTTCCCAGAATGGGGCGGGGGTGGGGAGAGGCCGCTGCCCTGCCCAGCTATCTGGGGTTGGAGTGGGACTCAGCGTCCATCCAGTCTAACCTGGAGCAGCTGCGGCCTCTGCAAGGACTGACCCCAGCAGGCGCAGGGAGGAGTCCCCGCTGCAGGGCGGAGACACGGGCGCCCCTGCAGCTGCCCTGAGGCCACTCCGCCCCACTGGGCTGGCCAGTCCCAGGGGCTGCAAGGGGCCAGAGGTGGGGAGGCCCAGCTGCAGCCCCCTGGGTTGAACCTTCTGCCACCTTGGCTGGCGGCCTTTGAAATGAGAGGGTTTGCCAAGCCACTACAGCGCCAGTCAGAGAAGGGGCCCCCAGGTGTCGGCAGCCCCTGGCAGCAACTGGAAACCTTGAGACCTGCAGCTCAGCATCTCCCCACAGACCTGGGGGAGGCAGGCCCAAGTCACCGCAGCTGCACGCTACAGCGGGGAGGGGCTGGGACGGGAGTGCTGCCCGCAGGGAGAGTACGCCAGGCGGGAGGCGGGAGGCAGAGGCCCTGCTGGTCTGCGGGGGGGGGGGGGGGGTGGGTGTCCAGCCGAGGCTTCCACAGCATTCGGGAAGGTGACTGTCGCTTCCCTCATCACCCTCCTTCCTCACACCCCTCAGCAGGTGTTGGACATCTGAGAATTCTCTCTTCACCAGGGCCAACCTCAGCCAACCCTAAGGACAGCCCCAGGCTGTGCTCCCCAGGGGCTGGGTCTGCACCCCAATGCGGGTCCCCTACACGGGGAGAAGGGGCAGACTCTGCCCAGGCTGGGTGAAGGCAGGTTCCCCGCCCTGTGTGCGCAGCAGGCCTCACTCCATCGTGAGGGTCAGCCACAGCAGACGGGAGCCCCCGGCTGGGGTGTGGCCACTGGGGCTTGAGGGGCTGGGGGAGCCAGGCAGAGGGGGGCACAGCCCAGAGGGAGCAGGACCCCACAATGAGGGGGACCCAGGCCTGTGGGAAGCAGCTGTGTGGCCAGGCTTCTGGGGTCAGAGGGGCGCCCACCTGTCAGGCCCAGGCCCAGCGGCCTGGCTGGTTTGTGCCCCTGGACTCAGTAACACTTGTGTCAGCAGTGAGGAGCAGAGTCCACTCTGCCGTCCAGGGCCCTTGTCCACGGCCCATTCTGCAGAGAACACGGGACTCTGTGGCCGGGGCGCTTCCTGAGGCGAGGAGGCAGCCCTGTCCAGGCCCTGCCCCCACTGCCCCCGGGGCCCGCCTGCCCTGGGGTCTCGGGCTCCTGGTGCACTCGGTGGTGGTGGTCCTTAGCCCCACCAGGGGCAGGCTCTGCCTGGAGTCCCTCAGGGCAGAGTAGGGCGAGTCCTTGGCCTGGGGCTCAGGAGGTGGAAAGCAGCAGACACTGGCAGCCCGGGGGGGCTTCCTGGAGGGGGCCTCTGAAGGTGTCTGAAGTCCCTTTGCTTCCTCGGCATTAGTGGTCTGCTGGGCCCACCACAGCTGTAGGGCAGGCCTCGGCTTTCTCAGCCAGGGCCCATCGCCACACCAGGGTCACCAGGACTGCCCGTCCCCAACACCGAATTCCCCAGCTGGAGACGCGGCTGGACACCACGCACACCCAGCAGGTGCCAGGCCCGAGACCGAGGGAGGGTCTGGCGGGAAAAGCAGCAGCAGGCCTGAGTGGGGACCGGGAGTGCGAGTGGCGACCTGGCCGCAGAGTGGGCCCCAGTCCCAGTCGTCATTGTCAGGGACGCGCACTTGGTCCTCAGATCTTCCCATCCCGAGACGACGTGTTACGTGTTCAAATCCGGCTGCCTGTGCTAACGGGGAGCGGTGAACCACCAGGGCCGTGACGGGCGTCTGCGCCGTCACCTGCCCGTGGACTCCGGGCTCCAAGGAACCCCTTCGCGGAGTCACCGTGGGTGGACACCCCCGCGGGGGAGGAAGCCCCTCCGCCCCGCAGAGCCCAGTCCCTGGGCTGCCCTGTGGACACGGGTCAGGGTGACTGGGCGGTGCCTGTGCAGCCTGGGAGGCCAGGGGCACCAAGTCTGAAAACACCCTCCCCCCGTAGCAGAAAGCTGGCCCTGCAGGGCCGGGGGCGCCAGGACCCCCAAGGCGGGCTGGCCCCGCGGGGAGGAGCCCAGCAGGGATCCCGCCCTTCTCTCGCTCTCACACTGGCGTCCGCCGACCGCCGGGTCTCCCTGGCAGAGGCCAGACTGCATACCCCAGGGGTCCGGGGACCTGCCCCATTCGCTTCCAGGTGCACGCGTGAATGCGTGAACAAACGCGGGAGTCCATGGAGCCCCCACTTGCACGGTAGGGCGCGGAGGGGCTCGGGGAATTCACACTGCGCCCTGGGGTCGGCCCGGCCCACCCCCCGCCCAGCGGAGCCCTGGAACCTTCACCACGACCAGGGAGGAAAAATAAGGAGGGAGCTTTATTTACTACGGGGGGGGGGTGGGGGGTGGGGGGGGGAGGCCGGCCTCACTTGGTGATGGTGTTCCTGCGAGAGAAACGAGCGCGTCAGCAGAGGGGCAGGTGCCCCGGCCCCGCCCTCCGGCCCCGCCCCGGCCCCACCCTCCGGCCCTGGCCCCGCCCGCCCTCCTGCCCAGGCCCCACCCTCCGGCCCCGCCCCCTCTGCCCCTCCGGCCCCGCCCCCCAGCCCCACTCACGCGTTCATGCTCTTGCCGCTGCCGCTGAGCACGATGTAGGGCGTCTTCTGGGCCTTCTGCTTCTCCTGCAGCAGCGCCACGGTGCCGAGCGGCGTGTCGCTGGAGCTCATCTTCTTCAGGAGCTGTGGGCCGGCCGAGGTCAGCGCGCGGCCCGGGGCGGGGCCCGCCCGCCGCCCGCCCGCCGCCCGCCCTCACCCTGCACCCACCGCCTCCTCGTCCAGCTTCTTCATCCGCCGCTCCGTCTTCATCTTGCCCGAGCCCTTCCCGTGGAAGCGGTGGGACAGCTGCCGGAAAGCCTGGGGACACAGGGCGTGGCGGGCAGCTGCAGGGGCCTGGCGCGCCTCCACAGGCACAGGGCCACCCCGCGCTGGGCTGAGGCTGTGGAGGGGGTGGGCGAGGCCCCGGCATCGTGGGGACCCAGGCGGGGTGTGTGGGGGGGGGGCGTGGGGCCGAACAGGTGCAGGGACCCAGCGCTGCCCACGGAAGGCAGAGGTCCCGACAGCTCACTGGGTCACCCCCACCCCGTGGGCCAGGGCCCCGCTCACCTCCTTGGGCGTGAGCTTCCGGCCCGTCTCGTCCACGTACTCGATCTTCACGTCTGGCTTGTAGCCGTCCTTCTCCTTGAAGTCCTGGGTGAAGCCCCGGTACTCCTCCCGCCGGCTGTACTTGTCATCGATGGCCCTGCGCGCGGCGGGGGCGGGGCCTCGGCGTGAGCCCCCGCCGCCCCCCGCAGCCCACCCGCCGCCCCCGCGCCCGCCCGCAGCCGCCACCCCCGCGCCCGCCCGCTCACATCTTGTCCTCGATGCAGTACACGGCCGAGGGCAGGGACTTGTTGGGTGCTTTCACCCGCGCCACCTTCTGCACCGTGGTCTCCAGCAGCCCTGCGGACAGAGGCCGTGAGGCTCTGGACGGGCAGCCTCGGGGCAGCTGGGGGAGCCGGCGCCGGGGGGGGTCAGGGCGTCAGGCCCGCTTTACAGACAGAACTGAAAACAGCCCCGTGCCAGGGCCACCGGCCACCTGGGTGCTGACCCGTGTCCAAGCCAAAGCCACCGCCGTTTCCCCGCCCCCGTTCCTCCCAGACAGAGCCCTGAAGGCAAAGCCGCAGGGACGGGTGCCCGGGGCCGCCCTGCACAGGGAAGGGCGATGGCTCAGGGCTTGGGACTGGCGAGGAGGCGGCGGCGGGGGGGGGGCAGCAGAGGACAGGACCGCGCCACCCAGGGCCTCCCAGCCCCACCCCCCAGCTCCGGGGCCCACCTTTGTTCTGACACAGGAGCAGGGCAGCGGCCAGGCCTCTGTTGACGATGGGCTCCTCGTCCAGGATGGTGGTGGAGGAGGCAGAGAACTGGGGGAGCACGGGGTGGGGGTGAGCGGAGCACCGGGCCCCTACCCCTCCCAGCCCAGGGCCCCGCCCTCCCCGGCAGCGCCCTCACGTCCTGCTGCTGCTTCTCCTCGTCCAGGTTGACCGTGCTCCAGCCAATGTTCTCCTCCCCGTCGGATTCGGAGCCGCCGTGAGCTGAGCGCTCCTCGTCTCGCTCAAAGTCCTGGGGCCGGAAGTGCAGGTCAGCCGGGCAGCCCCGCCCCGCCCCGCCGGCCGCCCCCTCCCGGGGACAGAGCAGGCCCGGGCGCACCATGAGCTCCTCCTGCTCCTCGCGGTTGCCGGCCAGCCCGTAGGTGGGGATCTCGCCCAGGGTGCGGCAGAACTCGGAGGTGGCGTTGAACACGATGGCGCCCTTGCGCTCGGGGTCCTCGTCCTCCTCCCAGCCCCGCTGCCGAGACTCCAGCTTCCTCACGATCTCCACCACCTGGGGGAGGGAGCGGCTGTGGGCAAACCCAGAAGGTCCTGGGGTGACGCCATAGAGACCAAGGGACCCACAGGCCCGCCCTCATGGCAGCAGGCCACTCCCACCACGCACACGCCTCCAACTGGCCGCTCCTCCCGTCCACCTGTGCACCTCCTCCCGTCCACCTGTGCACCGGGCCGCTGCTCTGCGCCACAGCCCTCCGTGGCCGCCTACGCTGAACTAATCCAGGATCCTGCACGCCCCTCGCCTGACGAACTCCCACAGCCCCTCCTCCAGAGCCCCCCCCCCCCCGGGGCGCACGGCGGCCATCCTGCCACTCACGACTCCCAGTCTGGCCTCTTGCTCCCACCCTGGGCACCACACCTTCTGCCCCCCTCCTGGCACGGCAGATGCTCGGCCGCACACACACGAGGGAGGACCCCTAGGGTCTCCCCTCTCTAAACCCCCAGCTCCCGTGACCACAAACTCCTCGGAGAAGCTTCTAGACACTACATCCACTTTTGCACCCCCTTCCTTTCACTTCCCCCCCACAAAGACCTATTTATTTATCTGAAAGAGCCACAGAGGCAGAGGCAGAGAGGTCTTCCATCCGCTGGTTCACCCCCCAGGTGGCCGCAACAGCCGGAGCTGCGCGGATCTGAAGCCAGGAGCCTTTCCCAGGCCACAGCAGGGAGCTGGATGGGAAGTGGAGCAGCCAGGACTCGAACCAGCGCCCATTTGGGATGCCGGCACTGCAGGCGGCGGCCTTACCCGCTACACCGCAGTGCCGGCCCCTTCACTCTCACTACGTTTACTTTTTAATGAACACCATGAACATGAAAGGGCACATCTAACACATGCACAGCTTTTCAATAATAAAACGGGGCCAGCGTCGCGCGCTGCCCCGTGGCCCGGCGGCCTGGATCCGAGAGCTGTGAGAACGCTGGCCGCTCTGCTGCTGCGCCAGCCCCTGCCAATGTGCCCGAGGGCAGAGCAGGCGCCAGTACTCGCACCCCAGCCGCCCACGGCGAGCCCGGATGGAGTTCTGGGTTCCGGCTTTGCTCTGGGCCGCTGCAGTCATTTGGGGAGAGCCCTGAAGGCAAAGCCGCAGGGACAGGTGCCCGGGGCCGCCCTGCACGGGGAAGGGCGGACGGCTCAGGGCTTGGGACTGGCGAGGAGGCGGGGCAGCAGAGGACGAGGACTGCGCCACCCAGGGCCACCACGGACACTGGCCTGACAGTTCCCATGCTGCCTGGGATGCCCACCCCCACACTGGGGCACCGGGGGCCGAGTCCTGGCTCTGCCCGACTCCAGCTTCCTGCCGACTGCGCCCTGGGAGGCAGCGGCCTCCCCTGCCCCCACGGGAGCCCCACTGAGTTCCTGACTGCGGGCCTCGGCCTGGCCCAGCCCCAAGTTCTTGGAGAGCGCGCCTGCAGGCAGGAGCTCTCTCTCAAATACCAAGTTTGAAGGTTAGACGGTGAGTTCCTCTGCGAGTCACACAGAACCCTTTCTGCGACAGCGACAGAGCCGAGGCAGGGACTCACTCCCGTCTGTCTGCAGCCTATGCGCAGGCGCACAGGGACGAGGCGCACCTACCCTCCGAGGCAGGGACTCGCTCCCGTCTGTCTGCAGCCTATGCGCAGGCACACAGGGACAAGGCGCACCTACCCTCTCAGCCGCTCTCGAGGCCCGACACGCGGCCCTGGTCCCAGCCGCCCCACGTCACCGCTGTCTGCACACGCGGTCAGCACTCCAGTCCCTGCCTTCCTCCAGTTCCGTCTGCCTACACGGTGTTGCCCCATAGAGAGGCCTCGCGAACTTGACCAAACCACACGCTTGACCTTCCCCAGGGAAGGTTTGCCCATCCCAGGAAGGGCCCGGGTTAGCCAGCAGTGCGAGTCTGTCTTGGGAACCCTCCTCAGCTTCTCTCACACACCCCACGTGACCCCTGGGCAAACACTGTCACCTCCCCCCAGGGCACTGCGGGTCCCAGCACTTCTCCCCGCACGCAGGCCTACACCGCAGGCCTCGCCTCCCGCCTGGGCGTCGCCCTGCCTCCTAGCTGGTCCCCAATGCCTGCCTTGTCTCCAGGTCTTTAAAAAGCAGAACGTGCAGACGCCCCTGCCGCCTCGGACTGCTCCTCCGTGCAGCCCGGGGCTGTGTGGTCCCCGCGTGCTGACCGCCCAGGACAGCGTATGCACACCCACAGCGATGAGGGCGAACACTGCACACCCACAGCGCTCCGGCCATCGCTCCTTGAGCCGCATGGCCACTCCTGCCCCAGCCTTGGGGAGCGAAGGCACTCTCTCAGCGTGGACCCTCCCCTAGGATACCACGAGGCTGCTTCACTTAGATTCTGGGTCAACAGTCACCTCCTCCAGGAGGCCTTCCCTGACCACCCTATTTCAAGTAAGACCTCTGCCTCGCCCCAGCCCTCCACTGGTGCTACGGCGCGTACTGACCCTCGTGCCCTCGCCCGGATCACAGCTGCCTGCGGGAGACAGACTCGTGCTCCAGGTGCTGCCGACTGCCGTCAGGAGTGACAGGGCTGTGACGGCAGAGTCCAGCCCCGCCAGCCCCACGCCAGCTCCTGGTCAGCACAGTGTGGGAGGCAGGAGAGAGCAGGGGTCAAGGTGTTCCACTCTCTGCCCTGATGAAGCGGCCCCAAGACACTGACCACAGTGCCCCCTGGAGGTGCTGGCCACACCCCCTGGGGGCCAGGAAGTCACACGGGCTCCTCCCGGCCTCCTCTGCTCATTGCGCGTCACTGTGCGCCCACCAAGGCCCAGCCGTCCTCCGGTCACCACCTCCACGCCTGCGCCTGCTTCCTCCCGCCCAGGCCCTGGCCAGCCTGTCACTGGCTCTCCCTTCTTACCCCACCGTTTCCCCGTCTCCTCCCCTCCCCTCTTTTTAAAACAGATTCATTTGAAGAGCAGCGTGAGGGAGAGAGCTGGGCCAGGCCACAGCCAAGAGCCAGGAATGCCATCAGCGTCTCGCACGTGGGCCCACGCCCCCGGGGACAGGGATCCCCCCCAGCCTCCCGCCAGCCCTGCCCAGGCCCCAGGCCGGGCCACGTCTCGCCTCCGCACCCCTCCCATCTGCCAGGTCTTCACTGGGAAGCAGAACAAGCTAACCTGAGCCTCCCCAGCTTCCCCAGCCTCAGCCCCGCCGTCCCCGCGCCCCTGCCTGCGAATCTCCCTCCCACCACGAAGCTGTCCCTCTCCTGCCTTGGCACCGGCAAACGCCAGAATCTCCATCGCTCAAAGAACATGCCCGTGAGGGCCGGAACCTCAGCCGGGTCCCGCGGAGACCGCCCGACACTTCCCGGGCCGGCTGGCGTGGCTGTGAGTGGGGCTGGCGTTTGCGCAGCGCCACGGCTGCGAGGGCAACACCGTGAGTTCAGAGCCAGGCGGCAGAGTGACGTGTCCCGGCGTCTGCAACTTCGCCCCAGCAGAAGCACTCGCCCGCGCCTCGTCTCGGGCTGCGCAGCCCGGCGGCCCCACCGCGGCCATCAGCCTCGGGCCTCCCGTGCACTACCCGATGCGTCCATGCCAAGTCCGCCCAGCCCCGTCGGAAGCGCCCTCCCGAGCCGCCAGCCTCACTCCTCCACCTGCACCCCCCCCCCGGCCCCCAGGGCCCCACGGAGGAGCCGCCGCTCGGCAGCTCTAGAAGTCGCCCTCGCTGCTGCCCCCGACTCCTCCACCGCGGCTCCCTCCAGCCTGGTCTCGCTCAGGACCCCCACCACGGAACCCTGCACGGCCTGACACCTCTGTGGCCGTCTCCTCCCCCACAAGAGAGGCGACAGCCCCTTCCCACGGTGTGCTGCGGACACACATGGGCGCCCACGCAGGCCAGCGATGACCACACCTCAGCTCACAGCGCCACCGCGCTCACTCTGCTCCAGCCCGGGAAGCCAGGTATGTCCCCGCCGCCTCCACCCACGTCACTGCAAAGCTGCTCCCCTGTGTTACACACGTCCCAGTTCAAACGTCACCCCTCAACGTCCGTCCCTGAATGCTGGTCTGAGACCCCCGAGCCCCGGCCGTGCGCTCCCACCCTGGTTCTCTCGCCGCTTGCAGGAACCACTCTGCTCACCCCGCGTGCACAGGGCCCCTGCTGTCCCCACAGTCCAGGAGCTAACGGCCAGGGGCCTGTGCCGTCCTGCTCAGCGGCACGCACACGGCAGGCATTCGGCCAGCGGTCGCCCGGGGAGCGGCGAGGAGCCGCCGATGAGCGAGCCCCTGCTGGTGACCGCTGCGGAAATCTAGAACCCAGCTCGGAGCAGGAGAGCCTGGGGGTGGGCCCGCGGGCACGGCCGCCACCGCCCCGGATGCACGTGCCCACAGGCACTGCCGCCCCCCCGACCCAGGTGTGTGCCCGCGGGCACTGCCGCCCCCGACCCAGGTGTGTGCCCGCGGGCACTGCCGCCCCCCGACCCAGGTGTGTGCCCACAGGCACTGCCGCCGCCGACCCAGATGCGCGTGCCCACAGGCACTGCCGCCCCCGACCCAGGTGTGTGCCCGCGGGCACTGCTGCCCCGCCCCAGATGCGCGTGCCCGCGTGCCCGGCCCAGCCTCACCTTCTCGCCGCTGTCCCGCAGCTGCTGCAGCTGCCGCAGCCGCCGCCCCTTCTCCAGCTGCTTCTGCAGCTCCAGCTCGGCCTCGTCCTCCTCCAGCACCGGGGAGCCAGGGGGCGGGGCGCCCTCCTCTGGGACACAGACAAGCCGCTCAGCGCGCCGCCGGGGCCCGGGCTCCCGAGCCTGCCCTCCCGGCCGGCCCCTCACCCTCGTCACTGATGTCCATGTTCTCCACGCGCGCGTCGTCCGACGGCGGCAGCGGGGGCACCGGCTCCTTCTCCTCCTCCTCCCCCGGGGCCTCCTCCTCTGTCTCAGGCACTCGGCGCCGACCCCGGCCCCGTGACCTGGGGGCAGGAGGACCCTGCAAGTGAGCAGGCGCCCCTGGGCCAGCCCAGCCACTGCACCTGACCCGGGTCCCGGCCCACCTGGAGCCGAAGTCCCCGTCCTGACTCTGGTCCCCCAGGGGCAGCAGGTCATCCGCCCGCATCACCACCTCCTTCTCCTTCTTCCGGATTTTCTTCACCCTCCGCTTGGTCTTTTTGAAGGTGACCTGTGGGCGGGGCGGAGCGAGCCGTGAGGCAGGGCAGGTGAGGAGGGCTGCCCGGGACAAGAAAGGGCTGCCCCTACATGTTGCCCCCACGGGAGGGGCGTGGGGCAGCTGTGGGGGAAAAGCCAGGGTCGCTGAGCTCCTGAGTGGGAGAGCCAGGGCTGACACGCGGCAGCCGGCCCACAGTCCACGCGCCACTGCCCCGGCCATGCGGCCCTCCGAGCGCTACCGCCGCCCTGGCAGCAGCCCGAGGCAGCAGCTCCTGACACCCCCGGGCCAGGCGGGCACCCGCGCCCAGCCAAGTGACTCAACCCAGGCACCAGCTGGCAGACGGCAGAGGCTCCATAGACACCCGCACCGCCCCCGGGCTGCCCTCCCGGCTCCCCCCGAGCCGGACACCCCACACCGCCCCCAGGCCGTCCTCCCGGCTCACCCCCGAGCTGGACACCCGCACCGCCCCCGGGCCGTCCTCCCAGCTCACCCCCCCCCCCGAGCTGGACACCCGCACTGCCCCCAGGCCGCCCTCCTGGCTCACCCCCAAGCCGGACACCCTCACTGCCCTCAGGCCACCCTCCCGGCTCCCCCCCAGAGCCAGACACCCCGCACCGTCCCCAGGCCGTCCCCCCAACCCCGCTCACCCCCGAGCTGGACACCCGCACTGCCCCCGGGCCGTCCTCCCGGCTCCCCCCGAGCTGGACACCCGCACTGCCCCCAGGCCGCCCTCCCGGCTCACCCCCAAGCCGGACACCCTCACTGCCCTCAGGCCACCCTCCCGGCTCCCCCCCAGAGCCAGACACCCCGCACCGCCCCCGGGCCGTCCCCCCAACCCCGCTCACCCCCGAGCCGGACACCCCGCACCGCCCCCGGGCCATCCTCCCGGCTCACCATCTCCTCGGGCGTGAGGTACTCGGAGGCGACGCGCGGCCCCGCCGTGCTCAGGGACTGAGCCTGCAGCCGCAGCTTGGCCCGGATCTCCTCCAGCTCCCGCTCGCGCAGGCCGTCGGCCGTGCCGCCCTGCTCCAAGCGGAAGGAGCGCGGCCGCTCGCCCTCGAGCTCCTCGTCGTACTTGGACAGGACAGAACGAGGCTTTTGCTGCAACGCAAGAGGCACCAGCTGGGACCAGGCCGGCTCCCGGGGAGCCACAGAGCCACGGCCCCTCAGACGCCCGCCCCCGCCCGCGCCCTGCCGGCCCCGGGACGTGCCTGGGCCAGGTCGTCGACGCTCTCGTCCGCGTACGGCAGGTAGGCGGGCCTCTTCCTGCGCAGCTCCACGTTCTTCTCCGCCCGCTCCTTGTCCAGCAGGTTCACGCTCACCAGCACGTCCTCCTCCTCCTGCAGCACGCCTGCGGCGGGCAGAGGGGCCGCGTTCACGCTTGCCCCGGCTCGCGGCGCCCATGCCGGCAGCCGGGCACCCGCTCCACTCACCTTTGTCCTTGAGGGTGAGGATCACAGTCTCGCCCTCCCGGAAGGAGTCGATGGCGTGCTCCACGGTGAGGCCCTGCAGGTCCCGGGCGCTGTACAGGTCCTGAGCGGGGAGGGCTGGCTGAGGCGGGGGCTGCACCCGCCCTGGGCTCCCAGCACCACGCTGGTGGCGCCCCCGCCTCACCTGCCGCCTCTGCCCGAACTCCTCCTCCACCAGGGTGCTGACGCCAAACTCCTGGTCCATCTCCTCCAGCAGCTTGGCCTGCGGGACGGGGGGGCGTGACCTCAGGCCACCCCGCGTCCCAGAAAGCACCCGGGCCAGGATGTCCCCGTCAGACGGGAAGCCCCGCATCCCAGAAAGCACCCGGGCCAGGCTGTCCCCGTCAGGCGGGAAGCCCTGCAGGCCAGCCGCTGAGAAGCCGGGACGGGCTGGGCTCTGAGCCGCGCTCTCCGCCCCCAGGGCGCCCGGCGCTCACCCTCTTCTCCGCCAGGTCCTTCTCCCGCTGCAGCTGCCGGCTCCTCTCGATCCAGGCCGCCGTGTCGTCCAGCCAGGGGTCGTCCTCCCCCAGCGTCTTTATCTTCCTGGCGGGAAGCAGGTGATGCGGGGGAGCCCAAGCCCGCTCCGCGGCGCGCCCCCGCCCGCCCCCGCCCCCGGCCGGCGCCCCTCACCCCAGCTTCTGGTTCAGCAGCCGCTTCTCCTTGGCAGCGGCCAGCTTCTCCCGCAGCTCCTCGCGCTGCCGCAAGGCCATGGGGTTGATGACGTCGGCTGTCACGGGCTCCTCCTTGGTGCCCGCCTCTGGAAGGGGGGCCCAGACGTGAGGCTATGCTTGCCCATGGCTGGTGGGGAGAGGAGGGAGCCACTCACCCTGCCCCCTGCCAGCTCAGGGGCCGGGAGGGGCAAGGGAGGGGAGGATCCTTCATTCCCCACCCCCTTCATCCCCCCCTCCCATGCCACCCACACAAGTCAGGACCCCTGACCTCCCACGGCCTGGGCAGCCTGGGGCAACCACGCATGTCCCTCTGCCCTGTCACAGTACCCACGGCCGCTGCCCCCGCAAGCCAAGCCCAGGCTCCCGCTGTGGCGGCACGGCAGGCCAGCAGGGGGCGCTGACTCTGCTCCAGCACCCGACTTTGTTCAGGTGCCCTGCGGGGTGGCCTCCCCCTCCTAAAGGCCCTGTCAGCCCTGGCGGCTCTACACTCGCTCTTCTCTTCCTCAAGACTTCATTTACTTGTTTGAATGGCGGAGTGACAGAGACAGAGACAGAGAGAGACTGAGACTGAGACAGAGACAGAGAGACAGAGAGAGTCTTCCATCTGCTGGCTCCCTCCCCTGATGCCTGCAACAGCCAGGGCTGGGCCGGGCCACAGCCCGGAGCTCCATCCTCGTCCCCGCGTGGGCCAGCACCTGCTGCCTCCCCGGCACCAGGGGGCCAGGCCACGCCCAGGCACCGCTGTGCCACAGCATCCGCCCTGCACTCACCCTTCTTCACGGCATTGACCTCCAAGGGTTTCAGCCCCAGCTTCGCCCGGAGTTTACTGAGGACAAGAGACACGCGTTAGCGGCTGTCAAAGGGGGCACTCGTGAGCCTGAGGGTCCCACTTGGCCTGACCCAGGCCGTCCAGGGCATTGGGAAGGGAACGGGGACCCTAGGCCTGGCTGCCCCAACCAGTGAGCGCCACCTCCCTCTGGCCCTTGGGTGACCCCACACTCTCCCAGCAGTCAGCTCGGGCAGAGAGCCCCTGCCCGCCCTGGGGGAGCCCCTGCCCGCCCTGGGAGAGAGCCCCCTGCCCACCAGGGGGGAGAGCCCCTGCCCGCCCGGGGGCGCCCCTGCCCGCCCTGGGAGAGAGCCCCCTGCCCACCCGGAGGGAGAGAGCCCCTGCCCACCTGGGAGAGATCCCCTGCCCGCCCTGGGAGAGCCCCTGCCCGCCCTGGGAGAGAGCCCCTGCCCGCCCGGAGGGAGAGAGCCCCTGCCCGCCCTGGGAGAGAGCCCCTGCCCGCCCAGGGGGAGAGCCCCTGCCCACCCGGGGGCGCCCCTGCCCGCCCAGGGCTGCGGCAGACGCAGGGCTCTCACTTGGTCTCCTCGATGCTGAGAGACGAGGCATCTCCGGAGCTGGTTTTGGAGCCGGCAGCTGGAAGGACAAGCGGGGGGCTCAGGGGCTGCGGGGCTGCGGGGCTCAGGGGCTGCGGGGCTCAGGGGCTGTGGGGCTCAGGGGCTGCGGGGGCTGCGGGGGCTGCGGGGCTCAGGGGCTGTCGGGCCAAGGAGTCGGCCCTGCTGGCTCGGACGTGCCCCAGGGTCTGTCAGCCGGCAGAAGGCAGCGGCCCGGCGGGCTCCCAGAGCTCTGCTCCTACGTCCCCTCCTCACCCAAGACGGCCACGTCCTGCCTCCCTCCCTCTGCCCTCTCTGCTTCTCTATCCCCTGTGCCCCCTGCCCCTGCTCTGGCCACATCGTACCCGAGGGCAAGACCAACCAGCCCTGACGCTGCGGCACGGGCAGTCATGTCGGGGTCTGGCCGCCCCACGGGGCGGGGGTGGTGCCGCAACGCGGCCGTGTCCCGGGTGCCACCCAGGCGGTCAGGAGCAAACAGTGTCTGTTCTGCGCTGCATGTGGGGCTCAGGCGCAAAGCATTTGGGGCCTCCTCCAGCCCCAGGTGAACCCCGGAGAGGAGGGAGCTGGGCACCGTGAGCCGGCCCTCCCCGCACCCCCCACCCTCCCCCTCTACCCCACAGCTGCCTCCTGCACCCCGGCCCCCGCCTCGTGTCACCCCCTCCTCCTAGCACACTCTCGCCCCACGCACCCCGACACGAGCCTTCCGGGTGTCCCCGACCCTTGGGCGACTCATCTCCTCTGTGGCATCTTCCTGGGCCCGCTACTAAAACCCCAGCACCCCCCAAGCCCTGGCCCCGCCGCTGGCCACACCCTCGCAGGGGGCTTCCGGGGCTTCCTAGACCCTCTCGGTGCCCCCACGCACTCTCAGAGCCCAGGGCATCACCCCCTGCCCGCCTCTGTCACCCTCCCCCAACCACCGGGTCCCGGTACTCCCTCCTCGCTGGGGCAGCTTCCCTCCCCCGCCAGCCCTCCTGCCGACCTCTGGCCACGACCTCATGCCTCACTGCCTGGGGTCTCCACCACGAACCCCACGCGCGCCGCGCGCCAGCAAGCCACCTGCTGAGACCGCACGCTTCCGTCCACCCAACGCAGAACCCCGCAAAACGAGAACCTGCGTGCTCACGGGGCTGAGCGGACAAAGCCGAGCCCAGGCCCGAATGGCCGGTCGGGGGCTCTGCTCACTGCTGAGCCCAGAGCCCCGGGCAGCACCGCGGACACTGCCGGGCTCCCGGGGCCCCGCCCCGCCCCTCACCGGCCTCGTAGCCGTCATCGCGCTTCTCCCGCTTCACGCGCCGCTCCGAGGGCTCGGCCTGGCTGCGATCCCGCCCGTGCGCACTGCTGCGGGCCTCGGCCTCGGCCCCGCGCCGCCCGCTCCCGCGCTCGCTCCCGCGCTCCCGGCTCCGCTTCCGTCGCTCGCCGCCGCTGCTGCCGCCGCCTCCACTCCGGTGTTTGTGCTTCTTGTGCTCCCGATGGCGCGGCGGCTGCTCGGCGGCGCCCCCAGTGCTGGCCGCCGCCGTCGTCCCGGCGGCCTCCTTCTCCCCACGGTGCTTCTTTGACGACCCCATGGTGGTCCGTCCGCCTGGAGCCGGGCAGCCGCCGAGCCCCGACGACGCAAAATGGGAACACTTCCGGGTCGCACGGCAGCCGCTGTCCTGTTGCCGGAAACCAAGAGCGGCCGCTTCCGGCGTGCGCGTTGGCGCTTGCCCCGGAGGCTCATGGGAAGGCGGGGACGGGCTCGGGTCCCGACGGGGCTCTGGCGGCCAGCCCTGGGCCGAGCGGCGCTCAGCTCGCTGGCTTTCCCGCTGCGCGCGCCCCTTACGGGCGCAGGATTAGCTTGGAGGAGACGGGATCGCAGAATGTTAGGGACCTAGAGGCCATCTAAGCCAGCGCCCCGGAGCTGGAAGCCCCTCAGGGCCGGCCCTGGGCAGGTGGTCCATTCCAGTGGACTCCGGGGATCTCGGCCCCATCGGGCAGCCCAGCCTCTGGGCGCTGTAAGCAGCGAGCGCTGCCTTTGCACGGGTCCCTGAGCTGAGCTGGATTTTTTTTTATTTTTTATTTTTTATTTTTTTTGGACAGGCAGAGTTAGACAGTGAGAGAGAGAGACAGAGAGAAAGGTCTTCCTTCCTTTGGTTCACCCCCCAAATGGCCACTACGGCCAGCGCTGTGCCGATCCAAAGCCAGGAGCCAGGTGCTTCTCCTGGTCTCCCATGGGGTGCAGGGCCCAAGCACTTGGGCCATCCTCCACTGCACTCCCTGGCCACAGCAGAGAGCTGGCCTGGAAGAGGAGCAACCGGGACAGAATCCGGCGCCCCGACCGGGACTAGAACCCGGGGTGCCGGTGCTGGGCCTTGTTTTTGAACCTCTGCTGTGAGCTGCTCAGGGAAGTAGCCTTCAAGGCCGCGTCCGTTGTGCCCTGGTCACTCGTGAACTGGCCCCAGGACATATGGGGGAGATGGAATAGAGAGAAACGGCCATTGTTCTTCGAGACGCCCACTGGGGAGCAGGGCCAGGGCTGTGGGGACAGAGCCAATCCTCCCCACTGGCGGCTTCCCCACCACCACCACAGACCCCCACGCTGAGTTTGCCACAAAACCTTTAATTTTTATCTCGGGGACCGCTCGCCAGGTCCACGCTGGGGGTCGGGTGCCTGTCAGGCTGGCCTCTGGGGGGCTCCATCCTTGGGCTCTGCCTGCTCGTCTCCGTGGACCTGTGGCTCCTTAAAGACAGACAGCGGCCGCTGAGCACAGCTCCCACTCCCACGTGGGTCCCAGCCCGGCAGCCGTCCTGGCTTCCCGTGCGGCCCTGGGTGGACGACCGCCCCTCCTCAAGTCCCCGCTGGCTTGTGAAGTGGCCCACGGTCCCTGCCCTGAACCGTGTACGTGGGGTGACCCACGCGGCCCCCGCCCAGCCTGCCTTGGCCTCCTGTTTGCTCCCGTGTCCCTGGGCGAGGCCCTGCCCCTTGGGCCTCAGCGTGGCTGCCCCGGCCCCGCGGCCTCACCTGGGTTTCCGGGAGGCGCCCTCCGCATCGCCGCCCTTGCCAGCCTCAGCCAGCAGCTGATCCTCATCCAGGCCCAGTGCCGACAGCACCTGGGAGAAGCGCCGGCTCACCGTGAGCCGGGCGTTGGCCTGGGGGGACGGAGAGGGACTCCCGGTCTGCACTCCAGGGCCCGGGGCTCCCCGACTGCCCCGCCCCGGCACAGCCTTCACCTGCATGGCTTGCTGGAACAGGTAGGGCCGGGCCTGCACCCGATGCTGGATGCCTTGCAGCTCGGCTTGGTACTCCGTGAAGCGCTGCCGCTCCTGCCGCCTGCGGGACAGACGGGCCTGGGGCGGCTCTCCGTGCACACGGCCCGTCCCCCCGCCCTGGCCTTCCTGCCTGGCTCTGGGCGCCTAGTCGGGTCAGCCAGGGCAGGAATGAGTGCCCCGATCTGCTGGTGGCTGGGGTGGGGGGAGGTGCAGGGACTCCTCCGAGGCCAGACATAAGTTGTGGGTTGTACAGCCAGGGCAGGATGGCCTCCAGACCACTCCCAAGGGAGGGGCCGGCACTCACTGCCCAGTGTGCACAGCCTCCCTGTCCCCACCACGCAGCCCTGGGCCCCTCACGGCAGCTCTGGGCGGAAGCTGTGGATGTTGACTTTGGGCAAGGCCCCTGTCTGGGCTCAGTTTTATTCACTGTGCTGCACAGGGGGTGGGGAAGGTGGCTAGCGTTCTCTGTGACACAGAAGTACTTCAGTAAGTTCATGGAAAAGCCCATTAAAAGATCCATTTAGGGGTCAGTATTGTGGCGCAGCGGGTTCATCCGCCACCTGCACTGCCAACACCCCGTATGGGCGCCAGTTCCAGTCTCTGCTCCACTTCCGATCCAGCTCCCTGCCAATGCACCTGGAGATCTGCAGAAGATGGCCCAGGTCCCTGGGCCCCTGCACCCACAGATGAAGCTCCTGGCTTCGGTCTGGCTCATCCCCGTGAGGCCACTTGATGATCTCTTTTTTTTTTTTTTTTTTAACATTTATTTATTTACTTGAAAGTCAGAGTTACACAGAGAGGGAAGGAGAGGTAGAGACAGAGAGAGAGAGAGGTCTTCTTCCATCCACTGGCTGCAATAGCCGGAGCTGCATTGATCTGAAGCCAGGGGCCAGGAGTTTATTCCAGGTCTCCCACCTGGGTGCAGGGTCCCAAGGACTTGGGCCATCTTCCACTGCTTTCCCAGGCCACAGCAGAGAGATGGATCTGAAGTGGAGCAGCTGGGACTCAAAGCAGCACCCATATGGGATGCCGCTACCGCAGGCGGTGGGTTTACCCACCATGCCACAGCGCCAGCCCCTCCTTCTCTCTAACTCTGCCTTTCAAATTAATAAAATAAATCTTCAAAAAATAATGGTATAATTAGGGGCCAGCATTGTGGTGTAGTAGGTTAAGCCTCTGCCTGTGACAACGGCATCCCACATAGGACCCGGCTGCTCCAGTTCTGGTCCAGCTCCCTGCTAATGGCCTGGGAGAGCAGGGGAAGGACGGGCCAAGTGCCTGGGCCCCTGCACCCGTGTGGGAGAGCAGGAAGAAGCTCCTGGCTCCTGGCCCAGCCCCATCTGTTGCAACCATTTGGAGAGTGAATCAGCAGATGGAAGACCTCTCTCTCTCTCTAACTCTGCATTTCAAGTAAATAAAAAACAAACCTTTTTTTAAAAGATAACTGTAGGGGTGAGCATTTGTCTCAGTTAAGACCTTTCTTGGGATGTCAGAGTGCCTGCTGGGACTCAAAACAGTGCCCATATGGGATGCCGCTACCGCAGGCAGTGGGTTTACCCACTATGCCACAGCGCCAGCCCCTCCTTCTCTCTAACTCTGCCTTTCAAATTAATAAAATAAATCTTCAAAAAATAATGGTATAATTAGGGGTTAGGGTTAGGGTTCCTGCTAGTGTGCGCCTGGAGGCAGCAGGTGCCAGCGTAAGTACTTAGGTCCCTGCCACCCACAAGAGACCCAGAGGGAGTCCCAGCTCCTGCCTGCAGCCTGGCCCAGCCCCACTGTTGCACTTGAGGCGTGAACCAGCAGATTGAAAATTCTCTCTCCCTCTCTCACTTTCTTTGCCTTTCAAATAAAATGAAATCATTTTTGCGTGAACCTTTAAAAATGATACAATCGGGGTGAGCATTTAGCTCACTGGTTAAGAACGCCTGGGAGCCAGCGTCCACATCAGTGTGCCTGGGCCGAATCCTGGCTGCACTTCTAATTCCAGCTGCCTGCTAGTGCGCACCCTGAGAAGGCAGCTGATGGCTCGAATGCTTGGGTCCCTGCTACCCCCACAGGAGACATGGACTGAGTTCTGGGTCTTGGCTCCAGCGCTCTGGCCGCTGGAAGCATTGGAGGAGTGAACCAGCAGATGAGAGATCTGTCTCTCCGACAAGTAAGGAAATAAAAATTTGCCTGACTTGTGAGTTCACTTCTTAGACAAAGCTAGGAAGAGAATACAACAGATGGCTCTCACTTGACCGTGAGCAATGGCTGGCTCGGGAGTAGGGCGACAGGGGCCGTGCAGGTCCCACGGTAACCAGTTCCATATTTTATGACAAGCATATCTGGCCTTGCAGATCGGAAAACAGGATGGGAAAGTGTCATTGGCGCCTACACGATTTTCACCGTGAGCCTTTGGCGGCGGAGGGATTAGAGTTGACTAGAAGCCATCAGACTGCTCTCCAGTGTGGTCAGGGCTGGGTCCGCTGGGTTCTGGAATCCGACCCCCAACCAGCCCCAGCCGTTCCCCGCCACCCAGCCCTCTCAGCCCAGGCTGCCTACCTCAGCTCCTCCAGTTTGCGCTGGTTGGCCCAGGGCCTCCGGCCTGCGCGGGACCCGTAGGTGGCCAGGCAGCGGGCTACCTGCTGCTGCACCCGTTGCTCCCGGGCCCGCCGCAGCTCAGCCTGGCGCCGCTCCTCCTGCTGCTGCCGCTCCCAGGCCTGCAGCAGGCTTCTTGGGCAGGGAGAAGGAAGAGAGAAAGGTAGGAGCCGTCCAGGGGGAGAGGGGGCTGGTGGGGCGTGGGGGAGGCTGGAGCAGGGGCCGGGGGCCCAGAGAACCCGGGTTCTGGGGAGTGGGGTTTGTCATGGAACTCTGATGACAGAGAGGTGGCCCTTGGCAGCCCAGCCCTCAGCCCCGGCTCAAGGCCTTTCCCGGGTCACTTTCCCAAAGCCTCCGGCCCACCCGGCCAGCAGGGAGCCCCGACTCCGAGCCTCTCGGGCCCTGGAGCCCCTGGGCAGCCTGGGCCCGTGGCAAAGCAGCTCTCCTGGAGTGCAGGGGCCAGATCTTGGGCTTCTCTTTGACCTCCTGATCCCGTGGGAGCGGGGGTCGTGCCTGCGTTTGAGGCAAAGTTGGACGGACGGACAGACGGACAGGTGGGTGATAAAAACAAAATGGGGCGTGGAAGAACACATGGATGGGTAAAGGTTGTGGACAGTTGAGCACACAGCAGCTGGACAGACCCGGAACGTTCTTCCCCAAGCCTCACGCTCACCCCCTTCTTGTCCATCAAGGAGGCCACAACCAGAGACACGGTCCCTAACTACCCCCAGGTATCTCCCATCTCAAGCTACACATTTTTTAAAATCTTTTTTATATTTTATTTATTTGACAGATAGACAGTGAGAGAGAGAGACATAGAGAAAGGTCTTCCTTCCATTGGTTCACCCCCCAAATGGGCACAACGGCTGGCGCACTGCACTGATCCGAAGCCAGGAGCCAGGTGCTTCTCCTGGTCTCCCATGTGGGTGCAGGGCCCAAGCACCTGGGCCATCCTCCACTGCCTTCCTGGGCCACAGCAGAGAGCTGGCCTGGAAGAGGGGCAACCGGGACAGAATCCGGCACCCTGATTGGGACTAGAACCTGGGGTGCTGGCGCCGCAGGCAGAGGATTAGCCTAGTGAGCCACGGTGCTGGCCCCAAGTTACGATATTTTTTAGATGGTCCCCAAAAGCATAAACAACAAAAGCACAAATACACAAAGATTTCCTCAAAGCAGAAAGCTATGGCACAGCAAGCAAACCGAGGAGTCGAACGACCCAATCAAACTGTGCGCGAAGGAGGCGGCAGTGTGGCTTGGGGCGCCCGCATCCCACATCAGAGTCCTCTCGTCTCAGCACTCGGCTTCCCATCCAGCTTCCGGCGAACGCGCCTGGGGAAGCTGCAGAGGACGGCTCAGGTACTGAGGTCCCCGCCGCCCACACGGGGGACGGCGACGAGGTTCCCGGTCCTGCTTCGGCCTGGCCCAGCCCCGGCTTTGCTGGGCATTTTAGAGTGAACAGTAGATGCAAGATCTCTCTCTCTCTCTGCCTTTCAAATAAATGAAAATCATTTTTTTTTAAACTTAAGAAAGTGTGATTTATAGACACAAAGGAGCTCTTGCCCTCTGCAGCGATATGGAAGAAGCTCTGGGCCATGACGTGAGTAGGATAAGCCGGGCACAGGACAACAGCACACCAAGGACAAGAAAGCAGAACCGGAAGAGGCTGCCGGTGTCGGAGAAACTTTGGCCAAAGGGTGCAGGAGTTCCGTGGGCAGGGAGTGAGCTGCAGAGTGTGCGGGAGAAGGGGGGGGACTGCGCCTAACGGCAGTGCCCCGTGCACCTGCCAGTCTCCCCCGTTCTCAGCACACGCGGCATAAGCGGGCAAGTTCACTCAGAATTAGCGGCATCTCCCACGAATGCACAGCACACATGTTTCCAAGCATCCTGCTGTACACTGCAATTGTATGCAGTTTTTATTTGTCAATTTAAATATTCTTTTTAAAAAAAGAATCGGGGACTTCTCCCCATCCCTGGGGAGTGCCCAGGGCCTGTGAGCCCGCCTCTCAATCCCTCCCAGAGGCACCTCCTCCCTCCTTCCACATGGCCGCTCCCACCTGTCCCTCATCTCAACCACCCCTCACAGCCCAGGACACCCCTCCGCTCCCAGTCTCCTGTCCAGGCCCACGCGGAGCAATTACCCGACCGAATGGACATAACTGCCCAAAGGCCTCTCTCCCGGGCCCTGGGCGCCCAGAGTCCATCTCCAAACCCCGAGGCCCGTGAGCGCATGCTCAGTCTGTGTTGCGTGAATCACACGATGCATGGGTTAAGGAGGGCGGGAAGACGAGGCAGGGGATGGAGGCAAAGCGGCCTGTGTGGACGAACAGTTCACAGAGAGATGGGTGAGGGAGTGGCTGACTGGATGCCATCAGTGGGTGGGCGGGCCGACGGATGGCCGACGGGTGGTTGGGTTGTCAGAAAGACTGGTGGACACAGGGTGGGAATGAAGAAGCGAAGGCGGGGAGGACAGCCGGGGGCTCCGGGAGAGCTGGCTCCTGCCGGCTCCCCGCCCTCCCCACTCTTTCTCCGCACCTGGTGGCCTCCTGTCGCTTGTGGAAGGTGCGATTGGGGAGGCTGGCAGACGGGAACGTCTCGTCGTCTCCCAGCACGTGTGCCTTCCCGCTGCGGTCAGAGGCCTGGACGGGGGTCTGGAGAGCTTTCCAGGGCTGCCTCTGGGGGCCTGGTTCGGTGGGGCCAGATCAGGGCCCACCCTCGCCCGGCCCGCGGGGGCCAGCCCAGCCCCAGGGCTCAGCCCCGCGCTCGCTCACCGCAGTCCAGGTTCTGCTGCAGCTGCCTACGCAGCATCTCCAGGTCCCAGGGCCCCTCCAGCTCCCGGGCCTTCCGCCTCCTCCTCTGGGCCCCGGGGAGGTGGCCGGAGCTGGGGCTGCTCCTGCGGCTCTGGCTCCAGCTCTGCGGGTCCCCAGGGTGCTGCCCCTTTGTCGGGGGCCCGGGCCTCCTCCTGTGGGGGGCCCCGAGCTCCTCGTCCTCGTCCTCCTCCGTCATTTCTGAGCACTGGTCCTCCTCGGACAGCAGCCCCTTGCGGGGCAGCTGGGGCAGCTGGCGGGGGCTCAGGTCCCTCCCGGGCTCCTCCTCGGTGCCCATGGCCTCCCCCTCCCACTCCAGCGCGGGTCCTGCCGGCTTCCCCGTCGGCCAGAGGGCTCGCTCGCTGGGCACCTCCAGCCCTGGGTTCTCCCCTCTGCCCGGAGGTGAGGGGCTCCAGGCCCCCAGCTGCTGCCTCCTCTCAGGGCTTTGCACCTCCATCTTCTGGCAGAAGCCCAGGGCGTCCGGGAGGCTGGCCACGGACCCGCGCCGGGACCTGAGCTGGGGGAAGGGCGGGGCGTGGGGGCCGGGGGCCGAGGGGCCGCTGGGCTGGGACCCCGCGGAGGCACTTGTAATGAAGCTCTCCCAGGCCCACTGGAAGGGGAAGGAAGGTTTCCGGGGAGCAGCGAAGACACTGAAGAGGGAGAGGGCGGGGCCGGAGTCGGGTCAGGGTCCGGTCCGGGTCCGAGCCACGCCCACCCGCCAGCCCCCCTCCAGCCCGCCCCTGCCCCTTACTCCTCGGCCTCCGCGCAGCTCTGGGCTTTCTTGCTCCTCCGCCGGGGCCTGTGGTCCTTCTTGGACGTCTGCCTCGCGCTCTGAGACCTCTGCAGCAGGCTGCGAACCGGGGCGCCCTCGCCGCTCCTGGGGTTCCCCTGGGCGGAGACGGGGTGGGGAGAGGGGAGGCCACCTCTGCACATCCCTGGAGTCCTTCTCCTCCCCTGCACACCCTGACTGGGCCCCTCTGAGACCCATCACCACTCTCAAGTCTTCCTATTGAACTAGCAATGGCTGGGGCTGGGGCGCAGTGGGTTAAACCCCTGCCTTGCAGCGCCGGCATCCCATAGGAGCGCCAGTTCGTGTCCCGGCTGCTCCTCTTCCCATCCAGCTCTCCGCTAATGGCAAAGCAGTGGGCGATGACTCAAGTCCTTGGGCCCCTGCACCCATGTGGGAGACCTGGAAGAAGCTCCTGGCTCCTGGCTTCAAATCGGCGCAGCTCTGAACACTGTGGCCATCTGGGGAGTGAACTAGTGGATGGGAGACCTCTCTCTGTGTCTCTATCTTTCTCTATCAATCTGTCTCTCAAATAAATAAAATAAATCTTTGAAAAAAATAGCAACGGCTGCCATTGATGAGGCTCCTGCCACCTGCTCGGGCCTTTCTCCCAGAACGCATCTAACCACGCCCGGGACCCAGGTCTCACCGTGAGCACACATGGCTGGGAAGCCGTGGAGCCGGGACCCAGCCCCGTGCCATCTGTCCCCAGCCAGGAGGAGTTCACGAGTCCCCAAGGCAGAGGGATGAGGACCGTTTAAGGGGTGGGTGTGCCGATGCCCTGGTGTGCCCCAGAAACACACCCAATTATTCCATCTCAGTTAAAACTGAAAAATCAGTGAACAAACTGAGAGAATGAACACTAAATAAGCAATAAAGACCTCGTCAGATGAAGCAGTGTAACGAGTGGACAGCTCTTCTGACGTCCCGTGTGATCCCGGAAACCTGTCTCTCCTGCAGGGTCCACGTCCCCTGGATCACACCGTCACCCCGATGTCACCCTGTGCCCCTCCTCCACCCCCTCATACCCCTCCCCTGGGGCCTCAGTCCAGTTCTGGCCCCTGAGCCCAGTGCCCGCCTGCCTCTGGGCAGTTGGAAGTCCCCCCCCACGGGGCCCCTCACCTGCTCTGCCTGGGGGATGCTGGACAGAAGGTCAAGCAGCCTCGTGGCCGTCCCTGGAGCCTGAGACCGAGGGTCCTGGCCCGGTCTCCCGGGTGAGGGCCTGGCCAGCTGTGGGTGGGTGTGGAGCATGTTGGTGTCCTGTCCCGTCCCCACCCCCACGTCCACCACAGCGTGGAACTGTCCTTCCGGCCATCTCCACGGTAACCGCTCCCCAGCCCGTCTCAAGGGCTCTGGCTAAAGGGACCTCAGGGAGGGGTCCGCCAGGGTAGGTGAGGACCACGGCCAGCCAGGGGACAGTTCAGCTGGACGGTGAGGAGCGACCCAGGCCTGGAGGCCCACAGGACCAGCGCCACAGCCCGCCGCCGCCACGGACCCTGTGTGAGCGGCTTTCCTGCCGTAGCCTCGGCCTGTGTTTCCCCGTCCATCCGCAAAAGGGACCCCAGGACTGGGTCACTCTGGAGGCCCAGGCAGGCTGTAGGGAGGAGGCCTTGGGAGGAATTTCGGCCCCGAAATCTGACCCCAGCCTTTTTTGGCAGTGCCAAGCAAAGCTCTGGGATGTGAACCCCCACAAGGCCCCCGCGCCGGCCCCCGGGAGCGGCCTCGCAGGCTCTGTGACTGCTGCTCCTGCACCTGGGCCGTGGGCCCGGCTCAGAGGTCTGCTGCGCGATCACAGGGCGAGGCTTGGGAAAGCGGGCTGCACGGCGGTGAGGACAGCGGCCAGGCGCTGTGGCGCAGGGGGCTGGCAGGTTGCCAGAGACGCTCCCATCACCTGAGCGTCTGCTGGGTTCCCGTCCCAGCTCCACTTCCAATCCAGCTCCCTGCTGGTCTGCGGCTGGAGGCAGCCGCGATGGCTCCGGGACTTGGCCCCTGCCACCCACGCGGGAGACCTGGCTCCTGACTTCAGCCTGGCTCAAGCCCAGCTGTTGCGGGCATCTGGGGAGTGGACTAGTGGATGGAAGACCTCTCTGTCCCTCTGCCTTTCAAATAAATAAAACAAAAAATTTTTAAAGATTTACTTATTTATTCGAAAGTCAGAGTTACAGAGAGAGAGAGAGAGAGGTCCTCCATCCGATGGTTCACTCCCCAATTGGCCGCAACGGTAGAGCTGCACTGATGAAGCCAGGAGCCAGGAGCTTCCTCCAGGTCTCCCATGCAGGTGCAGGGACCCAAGGACTTGGGCCATCTTCTACTGCTGTCCCAGGCCATCGCAGAGAGCTGGATGGGAAGAGGAGCAGCAGGGTCTTGAACCGGTGTCCATATGGGATGCCGGCACTGCAGGCCAGGGCGTTAACCTGCTGCGCCACAGCGCCAACCCCTAAAACAAATCTTTAAAAAAAGAGTTGCTAGTACTAATTAGCCAGGGCGTGGCCCCGTGAGAGGGGACCCTGGTCACTGCCGCCCTCGACTGCTCTCATTCCGTCCTGCACCACATCCACCGCGGGACACCCGTTCACTGGCCCTGGCTGTGCTGCAGACGAAGATCATCACCCGGATGCACCAAGTCCGCTCTTTGCGGGGCCAGCCATGCCCCCTGCCGTCTGTCTCCGCCGAATGTCACCCACGGGGGCTCTGGGGAGGACACACATGTAGCCTGCTCTCTTTTCAGAGCTGAGTCCCTTCTGAAACTCGGCCCATGGTTTCCCCGGCCAGCTGAACACTGCCCCTTGGCGGCGGGCAGGTCTGGGCGGTCTTCCCTCTTCTCCCCCCTCAGCGCAGCCTGCTGACGGCCTTGGGTGCACCTGCTGCCTCCCCCTCCCGCCAGGGCACATCTCAGCCCTGATCCCTGGCACCTGGTGCAGATGCAAATACCCACCACTCAGTCGGGGGGGGGGGGCGGGTATCTGGCCGCAGGCAGACGCCGCCTCGGGCGCCCGTGTTCCGGACCAGAGCACCCAGTCCTGGGCGCCGCTGTGCTCGCCTTCCCAGCTTCCTGCCGGCGCACACCCTGGGAGGCGGGAGCTGGCGGCTCCAGTGCTTGGATCCCCACCACCCAAGTGGGAGACCTGGACTGAGTTTCGGGCTCCCAGCGTGCCTCTGCCTGGCCCAGCCCCAGCTGCTCTGAGGATTTAGGGAGTAAAACAGGAATGGAATATCACTCTGTCTCCTTTCCTGTCTCTACGCCTTTCAAGTAAAGTGAAAATAAGTAATTTTTAAAATAAACTACTTGGATAATTATCTTAAAAAAAAGACTCTGTTTTTTGTTTGAGAGGTAGAGTTGCAGAGAGAGAGGTCTTTCATACGTGGGTTCCCTCCCCAAATGCCACAATGGTGGGAGCTGGGCCAGTCCAAAGCCGGGAGCCAGGAACTTCCTCCAGGTCTCCCACGTGGGTGCAAAGACCCCAAGCACTTGTGCCACCCTCCACTGCTTTCCCAGGCACATTAGGAGGGAACTGGATCGGAAGTGGAGTGGCCAGTCTCAAGCCAGCACCCATATGGTCTGCCGGCGCCGCAGGCAGAGGCTTAGCCCACTACACTACAGTGCTGGCCCCTGGACGATTCTCTTTTTACAAAATAGATTTACTGGGCCGGCGCCACGGCTCACTAGGCTAATCCTCTGCCTTGCAGCGCTGGCACACCAGGTTCTAGTCCCGGTCGGGGCGCCGGATTCTGTCCCGGTTGCCCCTCTTCCAGGCCAGCTCTCTGCTGTGGCCCGGGAGTGCAGTGGAGGATGGCCCAAGTGCTTGGGCCCTGCACCCCATGGGAGACCAGGAGAAGCCCCTGGCTCCTGGCTTCGGATCAGCGCGGTGCGCCGGCTGCGGCGGCCATTGGAGGGTGAACCAACGGCAAAGGAAGACCTTTCTCTCTGCCTCTCTCTCTCTCACTGTCCACTCTGCCTGTCCACAAAAAAAAAATATATATATATATGTATATATATATTTACTGGGCCGGCGCCGTGGCTCACTAGGCTAATCCTCTGCCAGTGGTGCCAGCTGATTGACCCTCCAAATGCCCACATAGCCGGTGCCAAAGCCAGGAGCTGAGAACACAGGCTCGTCTCCCAGGTAGGTGGCAGAGCCACCGCCTTGGCCATCACTGCTGCCTCCCGGTCTGCGTTAGCAGGAAGCTGGAATCAGGAGGCAGAGCTGGAAGGCACACACTCCGGTGAGGGCTGCAGGGGTCCTAACCCAAAGCCGGGCCCTACATGGTGATCTTGACCCACTGAAAATCTGACTCATGGCCGGCGCTTCGGCACAGTAGGCTAAGCCTCCACCTGCGGCTCCGGCATCCCATATGGGTGCAGGTTCGAGTCTCGGTTGCTCCACTTCCGATCCGGCTCCCTGCGATAGCCTGGGAAAGCAGTGGAGGATGTCCCAAGTGCTTGGGCCCCTGCACCCCTGTGGGAGACCCGGAGGAAGCTCCCGGCTCCTGGCTTTGCCCGGCCCAGCCCCAGCCACTGCAGCCATCGGGGATGAGCCAGCAGATGGAAGGTCTCCCTCTGCCTCTGCCTCTCTAACTCTGCCTTTCAAATAAATAAATAAATACATAAATACATAAACCTTGGGTGGGGGATGGAACCTCACTGTAACTGTAACTGAAGATTCCCTGGGCGAGTGCTCCCCAGCGGGCCGCATCTCAGCTGCGTTCCGGTCTCTTCCGCACTGATTTGCAGGAGTGCATTGTCTCTGGGAAGCAGTCACTGGGCTGTCCCGATGGCCTCCGAGGGCCTTGCTGGAACAGAAACCCTTCCCGGCCACGGCGTCCAGCCACAACTGCTCCCCCGGGGTTTGTGTTCCGGGAGGCTCCCGGGGCCCTGCCTCGCCCCTAGGTGGAGCATTTGCCTGCATTTTATTCTGTTCCTCTGCTGCTGGGCGGCTTCGTCCGTAGCGAGCGCTGTGCATCCCTCCGTCTTCCGGATTCTGTTCCTGTCTGGTTTGGACGAGGGAGGAACTGGATGCAGGAGGAAGCTCTCTGGCTTCTAGAACAACAACACGAGGAGACAGAACCGCCTGTTCTCGAACGCCTGCCTGGTGGAGCCTCTCTGGGCTGGGCGCTTGGGGCAGCAGCTGCTCAGGAAGCCCGCATCCCGTACCCGAGCGCCCGGGTTCGAGTCCCGGCCCCACTGCTAATTCACACCCTGGAAAGGCAGCGAACGACGGCCCAAGTCCTTGGGTCTCTCCCAGCCACTCAGGAGGCCCGGACGGAGTGCCTGGATCCGGCTTTGGCTGGTATAGGCTTCTGGGGAGTGAACTAGCACATGGGTGATCTCACCTGTCGGTCTCTTTGCCTTTCAAATACATGAAAGTTAAAAACGCGGCGGCGCCGGCACTGGTGCAGCGGGCGAAGGCACCGCTCAGCGTGCCGCATCCTGTCTCAGCGCGCTGGTGGGATTCCCGCCGTCACACATCCCGTCCACCCTAAGGCTGTATATATGATGTACCTGAAATTTGTACACCTTAAATAAATTTTTTTATTTGACAGATAGACAGTGAGAGAGAGAGAGAGAGAGAGGCAGAGAGAAAGGTCTTCCTTCCATTCATTCACCCCCCAAATGGGGTGCAGCTGGCGCTGCACCGATCTGAAGCCAGGAGCCAGCTGCTTTTCCTGGTCTCCCATGGGGTGCAGGGCCCAAGCACCTGGGCCATCCTCCACTGCACTCCCGGGCCACAACAGAGAGCTGGCCTGGAAGAGGGGCAACCGGGACAGAATCCGGCACCCATATGGGATGCCGGCGCCGCAGGCGGAGGATTAGCCAAGTGAGCCACGGCACCGGCCCCCTTAAATAAATTTAAAAAAAATTTACAAAAACCCCTCCCATCTAGTTCCCTGCTAGTGCTCCCGGGAAGCAGCAGACGAGGGCTGAAGTGCGTGAGTTCCTGCCACGCACGTGGAAGACCCGGATGGAGCTCCCGGCTCCTGGCTTCAGTCTGGCCAGCTCTGCTGAGGCCATCTGGGGGGTCAACCAGCAGATCTGTCTGTCTGTCTCTCTCTTTCTCTGCCTCACCTCTCTGTCACTCTTCCTTTCAGATAAATAAATAAATCTCTTGAAAATAAAATGATAGAGATCCATAAACAGCAGCATCTCTGTTGGGCGCCTTCACGTCGGACCAGACTGGAATTCTGGAATGGCTACGGATCCACCGACTTTTTTATATTTTTGTGCCAGTTTGGGCTTTTCCCATTTTCTAGAAAGGCGTTCATTTCGCTTAAGCTTTTATGTTTACTAGTTTGCAATTATTATAACATTCCCTGGTTTTTCA